AAACATATTTTTTTATAAGTGGATTTAAATTAACAATTTTATTTTATTTTCGATTTTTTTTAGCTTTTTACATTCCTACAGATACTCAAAATTTTGTTGGTTCGATTTCAACCCCCTTCTTAACCATTTTTGTGCAATCTGTATTCACCTATCGTACTTATTTTTTACATTATTGTTTTCATTTGACCATGTAAAACTGAATCATAAAATTATTTTAAAAATTTACATAATAAAGTAACTCAATATTGACTTTTTTTCATTCGGTATATAAAGACATAAAGATATAATCACCCTATTGAAGTTTTTTTTTTAAATTTTATTATTTTAATATGCAAATGTTTAAAATTACTTTATAATTAAGTTTTACGTGATTTGTTAACAATAGCACAAAAAGCAAGTACGATAGGCAAATTTTGATTTCATCAAAACGTTGAGCATAAAAATACCAATACATTTACAAACAAAAAACTGTCTAAATTTTTAAATTATTTAAAACCACGATTTTTGGAATAATTGAGCATTTTAAGGATTGTTTTAACCATAACATCCAAAGAAACTTTGAGTGACTTTTTTAAAGTACCATCAAATTAATCATGTAAAAACATACATTTAAAAAAAAAAAATCCAAAAATTCGATTGGGAGTTAAATTGCATTCATTCCTAAAATATAATTTTCATTACTAACCTACTTTACTGACCCATATATAGTCATTTAAAATGAGTTTTTATTTTAAAAATAGAATTATTACGTATAGGTATATTATTAATATATTTTGTTAAAGTATAAATAGGTGTTAGATTTTTTTTTTTTTGATTGATTATTGAAAAACAAATTGTATTATTCGATAATAGTACTTAAAAATGAATCTTAAATAAAAAAAATTGTATTGTATCCGTTTAACTGTTTTTTATTGTTTGTTAAATTAATTGATTTTAATCAATATATATAACACGGGGATGTAGCTCAGTGGTAGAGCGTTCGCTTTGCATGTGAAAGGCCCCGGGTTCGATCCCCGGCATCTCCAAGATTTTTTTTGACATATTTTATTTACATTATTAAAATGATTTCTAATAATATTTTATACATATAAAATATACTTGTATGTATTGTGTATTGTGTAATGTGTATTTATATTTTATTTATTACCGGTTAATATAGATTTTAAATACACCTAAATTTGTATTTATTGGTATTAACTGTTAAACAATTTACGAAAAAAAGTTACCTAAGTTTTATAGTTAAATAACTTGCATACCATACGGGGATCTAGCTCAGTGGTAGAGCGTTCGCTTTGCATGTGAAAGGCCCCGGGTTCGTTCCCCGGCATCTCCAACACATTTTGGTAATATTTTTTTTCTATATGGAAATCACAATCTTTACACATTTTAAAATAATGATGTTAATAAAAAAAAAAAATAGTTTTTCTTTTACAGAAAATAGATCTGTAATTAATATAACTTCTGTAATTAAATAATTTACAATTCAAACATTTTTATTACATTTTATGTTTATTCTACTATTTTACTATAATAATATACTGCATCGTTTGAGTGATTAGAAAATTAAATTACAGCATAAAGTATTGTAGTGTGTATGCAGTGACTTCCTACCGGTGGTCCGCGGGCCTGTCACATGTGGCCTGCCTAACTATTTTACATCTCCCCCCTCCCAAAAAATAATGTGATATTACTATTTACATATCATGTCGTGGTACATACAACTTACCTATATTATAAATGTATAAACCTGTAATATAATAATATAATGTAAAATAGTATAATGTATAATAATGTAGATATGTAACCTACCTTCCTAGTGTAAAAATAACAACCTAACTAAATTATTATTATGGATAATTTAATGAAATAATTGCTACCATTCTAATTTTAGATTATTAAACTAAATATAATTACCTATTTAATATTTTTTTACAAATATAATATTTTCTAAAATAATTAAATAATACTATTTTTTATTGATAATCGCATCAGGGGATGTAGCTCAGTGGTAGAGCGTTCGCTTTGCATGTGAAAGGCCCCGGGTTCGATCCCCGGCATCTCCAAAAATATTTTTGCACTTTTTCAGTACTTTTTTGATATATTTTTATTATTAATATATTACGAATTTATTATTAAACAAATTGTAATTGTAATTACAACATTATTTCTGTAAAAAAACTAGTAAAATTTCGAGTAAATTGCTTTAATTAAATTCGTTAATTAATTAATTAAATTTTGTTATTAATTGTGGTGTAGTTTATTACGTCAAATAGTCAAAAAACTTAAAGTAAAATAATTAAGTTGGTTTTATTGTATAACGAAGTTTACATAATAATTATATTATATTATAGACGATGGTAAAATGTCATTTTTATCTATAGTTTTAGGTTTATCTTTTGATAAAATTCATATTTTAAGGTATCTACGTGCCGCTTAAAATTAAAATTATGATTCATTTCAAAATTCCATTGTCAACATTTTTTATACGTACCTGGGTATTTAATATTTTATTTGAAGTGTAGGTATTAGGTTTATTTATTTTACGATATTATATTTTATGAGGATGGTTTAAATTTTGTCATTTTTGTTTTTGATTTTAAATTTTACTACCTCTACACATATCTATACTTATATCAGAATTATAAAATTAAAAAAATTTCCACCAAATAAATCGTTAAATGTAACTAAAAAGTTCCCTTTTCAAATATAAAAATGTTTTTAATGAAAATGTAATCAATTTTAAATATTGTTTAAATAACCTATACTTACTTAAGTTTTAAGTGAATGATGACGATTACCTATTTCAGTACTATAGCCAAGGGGTACTAGAGGCACGTGGAGACATAATTGTTTTTTTTTTCGTAATGCTGTATTACAGTTTTCATAAATTTGTAATTAATACTAATAATAAATTGTATTATTAGTAATACTATTTTAAATATTATAAAATATATTTTTTATATTAGTATGTATAATATATGAATTACTAATTGCAAAAGGGAACATGTTCAGATTACCAGATTACCATGTTCATTGCCAGATTTATATTTATCTACTTTGATTAAATATTTCTTGTAAAAATGTGACATCAATTTGTTATGGAAATATCAACAGCTTAAATATTTTAATTAATCTGTTTCCAGATTTTGGGGAATAATCAATTTAAGAATGGCCAACTCGCTATCAACTTAAATAATAAACTTTAATATTAAATTAATAATTAAATAATTACATTTCCAAATTCAAAAATAATAATAATAATAACACAAATTCTTAAAAGAATAAAAGAATTTTTAATTGCAAAAAAAAATGTATTACCATCTCTGTGTTTTAAATACATTTAAAATGGTTAAGTGTAGAAATAATGGGACATGTTCAATAATCTAAAATAGTTCGTGTTAATTTTTGGAAAATATCGAGATGATTAATTTTTAAAAAAGGTAGATAATAACGTGATTTTTTTATTTTTACGACTAGCTCTTTCTCAGTCTTGCCTAGACAGTTTTTTATATCTTTTATAAATAGTGGTTTTAGGGACACGTCCCTTTCGGCAATTAGTGATATATTATCTTAAAAGACTACAAACTATATTTCAACTTTATATTGTAAAACGTATAATTAATATAAATAATCAGTGATAAGGAAATAAGGATATCATCAAATAACGGGTGATAAGTATTCTAGCTTATTAAAAACTAGATGAAAAAATAAGTGCCCCCCTTCCCGAAAATTTTTTCTGGCTACGGTATTTCAAAGAATATAGAAAGGTACCGGGTAATCTTCACTCTGGAACCTCGCGTGCAGGCCCACGGAATTTGTGTTTAAAATTCTACAATTAATTTGTATTATATATTATAATATACATTTTAATCAATTATAATAATTGTTTATATTTATTTACGATAATTATAATAATTAATTTACATTCAAACTATAATACTTCACGCTTTGACTAGATAATTTGAAATTAATATTTTAATCATTTTTAAAGTAAAACTATTATCACGATTCCGACAATTATGTTTATTTTATTATATAGGTATACGTAATAATTGCAATGGATGATAATAATAAAAATATATTTCTCTTATATAATATACTCGTATGTCCGTATATACCTACTGCATAATATAACGATAGAATTACATAATATAAAATAAAAACTGATAATACTGCTGATGAGTGTACCAATATTACAGGTTGGAATTTGAAACGTCGGATACATTAAGTAATTTAATATATTTAGATATACACGTAACGATAAATCATTGCAAATGAAAAACGATTCCGAGCGAAGCCTTGAATCAAATTTTCTAGTAGACTTATTTTGACTTCCAGAAGTCGAAACAATTAAACAATTATAAATTACTATATAAATAGCTTAAAAATGGTCAGATTGCTTTGAAAATGTGTAACACTACTTCAAAAAAATGTTAATATTATATTATTCGGTGAAAATGTTAGGTTTAAATGGTTATTTAAAATGAATGACAATAAGAAACAAAAAAAAAAAAAAAATCGAAAATCCGTTATTCTGTAAAATTTCCCGGCTTTTCTTACGTTGTTGTCCTAATTATTTATAAAACCACAAAAAAAAATCAAAAAATAATTTCTCCAATGCACTAACCATAGAGAAGATAGTGCGACCGGAAACCTCTCTCGATGTTGATTATCGAATCAAGAATCAAGAATCTTATAATAAAACCCATACGTTCTCCGCTAATAAATTCTGTGTCTTAAAATGAAATAATAATTATAATTATTTTATCTGCTGGCCTTTAACGTTTCAAATAATAATCATATAATAATAAAGATAAATTGTTTATAAGTCGTGTGAAATTGTCTTTCGAACGTGCCGCGTGTATTGCCCGGCAAAGTACCTATATAGCCTCTAATTTTGGTTCAATATTGTTCGCAGAGGGTTTTTTCTTTTAGAGGAGTGGGGTGGTGGGTATTCGTATATAGTGTGTGTAGTAAAAAATTGGCATTAAAAATTGTCGGGGAAAAAAAATATTTTTAATCCGCGACGGGCCAGCAGCGACGAGGGCGACTATTTTTGATCACCGCGTTAGTCCCTCGGATCTCGCATTCGTTGCTGCTCAAACATTTCATACTTAGAAGTGCCGGACGAGAGAATTGTACTCTGTATAATTTCCTCTTTTTTTCTTAACTCTCCGTGATACTCTATCGATAATAAACATAATAGTGTTCGGTGTTTAAAATAATAGTTTTATTTTTCAAGTGGCTGCAGTGAAACGGGACTCGAAAATCGTCCGAAACACCCGGACGAAAACAAACTTGATGTGAGTTGTTTTTTTTTTTTTTTTTTAATTTTTAGATAGGTATACATTTTTTTTAATGCATTTTTATTGTATATTTTTTTTTCGACTCGTTACAAATCAAAAGTGTAAAAATTAATTTTCCTTTGGAAAATACCTATACACACTGTAGGTATACGTAATATATTGCGGGAAAATAATAATGCTTACTTACTTTATTTATTTGTTTTGCATAATAAATATATTATTTTATTAAACTAATCATCTTTCGGATGTAAATGTATTGGCCTTATGCTACAAATTATATTATATTATACCTATACCTATGAATTTGAAAATTTTTTCATATTCATAGGTAATATAAAAAAAAAAAAAAAAATGATATTTTAAGTAGATACAGGTAATTATAGGTATGGTACTTAATTTATTTTAAAAAAAAAACAACGAGGTAAATTTTTTAATTTTAAATGTAATAGGTATTATATTATTATATTGCTCATTTAATATTCGAATATAATATACATCGTGATTGATGATGCATTTTTATATTTTTACAAATACCTAGCTACATACTTAACTGTATAACTACAGGTACCTATCTACATTTTTTTTTTTATTTATTTATTTATTTTTTTTATTCGCTCTATAACGATTCGTTAAAGGTTAAAATGAATTGATTTTGTTCGTTAACTGCGACTACTGACGCGGGATAATAATAATATTTTGTTTAATAATTTGCCAATAATTAGAATGATTTCGTTTCCTTACGATTATATTGGTGTACACATAGGCATATATAGTGTCACAATATTATGTACAAATTCCGAATAGTTTCAACTGTCTATGTCTAGATAAATAGTAACTGTAACGTGCAATTTGAATTATTATTCAGAAGGCTTAGTGTTTACACATAGCGTGTGCACGTCAATTATTCCGCGAGGGGAACATAAATATAAAAAAAAAAAATAAAAAATATACAGTGTAATAATATGATGTGGGCAATTTAGCAATTATTTTAACGTTTGACCTAAAATTATAAATTTGTACGGCGAAACGTACAATTTCACGTGCCGAAAACAATTGGCACAGGTCATGTAGAAATATCATTTTACAAACGGCAGACTTTAAAAATACTAAAACCTAGAATCATTTTTTTTTCACTCTGCATAAAATATATCTCCTATGGCAACTTACCAATAACATGTGTTCCATAAAAATATTAATGGTATTTAAACTATATAATAAGAGGTGAACAGAAATGTTTATTTTCTGGTTCTCGCGCGGCGTTCTTATACGTTATAATAACGATCGTTTTCCCCCCAAAAAAAATTAACTGTACCTACGATTAAAAATTGATTGATTTAAAAAAGAAAAGAAAAATAATGAATTTTCTAAAACGATTTACCTAATTGTAGGTACCTGTAGTTAATCGAATACGACGTGTCTTCTGAAAATGTCGGAGTTTCAATTTTTTTTTTTTTATTAAATTCGTCATTTTTTTTATAATTTTTTAAAGTTTAGAAAAAATAACACACGGACATGCTTCCCACGATGCGTGGGTCACTGTTGTAGGTGAAAACTCGGGAAGGTAGAGGGGAAATTTAATCCACATCTATACGCAAAGATTAATCATTGCTAACGAAAAACGATTCGGAGAGAGTTCGGTTATACACGTTTTGAAAGACTATAATATTTACGATTTTAAATTAATACATTTTATACATTTGCCCTCCCCCCCCTCACACGTTGATTATGAAAACCCTTGGGAAAATCAATAAATTACCACCCCGGTCAAATTTCCATTCTAAAATTGTTGCGGCTTCTAATATTACGTTCGAATGTTATCTACGCGTGGGAACATTGTTAATATAAAGTTTCGGCAGGCGCAAACAATGGAAACTGTCGAAACGCCTAAGGTAGGTACCGTTATTGTACCTAGACACAGTACAATAATATGGGATGCGGGCACGCGTAATCATCGGTGACATAATTGTACAAATAAAACGACGGTTTTCGTTGCGTACGAAAACATTGTTAAAACGGCAATAATAATAAATAGTAACGAACGTGTCGAAATAAAATGATCATTTTTTCGTCGGATATCCAGGGGGGAGAGAGAAAACCCGTCGAAATGGCGACCATTCTGGGACCAGCGGGGATTTCACGGGGGAAAAGTGTAGCGCCGGGGGTACGTACACTACGAACTGCAATAGTTTAGACGAAAATAAAATGATAACGGCGTGTAGGCGACCGGGGGACATGCGGCGGTTACACCGTAAAGCCGTAATTAATAGCGACGGCGATAAGTAATAATAAAGCGTACGTCGTGGAATTAATTTTAAACGTAGGTACCGATAAACAATCATGATAATGTTATTATAAATTATTATTATTACCCATAGACGGGTACGACCTGCGTCGTAACAATTAACACGCGACTCGTCGGCCGTCCCCCGCGCACGTTTCAATTTCTTATCACATTGCACCGAACGCGTTATTCCGTTCGGTTCGTCGCAGCCACTTTCTCGAAATTCGTATTTTGTCATTTTTTTCGCGGCTGTGACTTTATGACGCGCGCGCGGATAGAGCGGACTCGGCTGGCGGGTACCGGTCGAACGAACGGAATTTCACGCGTCCGTGTTTTGCACAAGTGTTTTCTTTTTTCTTCGCGCCGCACACGTTCAATGTTCAAAAACAATTGGATGGTAAGCAACTACGAACTATATCACCGACGGTGATAACCGAGTCTTATCGTTGTTATAGAATTGTTCGTGACCAAAACGGTCCGACTCGATAGTTTGGCGTGAGCACCGCTTTTCTATTTTTCCCCCTAGACGGTTAATATTAAATATTCGGTACAGTTAAACGAACAAATTGTGTTTGTCGATCGATTCAGAACGATGTAAATCGCGCATAAATGAGTTTTCGGGCTCTCCCGAACAATAGTGCAATTCGGTTTTTGGCGCTGCTTACGCCGAAAGCCTGCAGACTTGTTTCACTCGGGCGATAGTACCTACTCGGGATATTACCCACGGGAGAGAAATTACCGAACGTCGGGGAGAAAAATAAAAAATGTAAAGCGGCATTACGAGACATTAACGGGAAAACGCGCAGACAGCCGCGTACGCTGCCGTGTGCTGGCGATATCGATAATAATATTAATAAGATAAAATCGTGACCGAGAACAATCGATTGGGGAGACCGGACCGCCGACCGGCACGGCGGCGTCGTGACGTCAGCGACCGACAATCAGATGCGCGACGGGCGGCCCGGCCGGGGTGGGGAACGAACCGGCTTCGTTGATAACGGACGCCGTGTGTTTTACGTAAAACGTTCCGATTGGCCGCCGCTCCGTCCGGTAGTCGTCCCGTCTCCGTCGCACCTGCAACGTATACCCCGACGGCCGTTCCGTCGGTCTTTCTTTTCTTTTTTCTTGGTTTTTTTCCCCCGCGCTTCTTCCGCGCTCTCAAACACCCCCCTTCCGTCGTTACCAGTCGGGTTGGAATCGTCGCTACCGCCACCTTTACACGCCATTTACTACAGTAGTACAGTGCGTTTTACAAAAAAAAAAAATTCTATTGCATTCAGCGTTACGTACGTACTCGTCATAATAATAATAATAATAATAATAATAATAATAATTTGCCGTACTGGCAAATCATTTTTTTTTTTTTTTTTCGGTGTCTACAACATCATTACTTTTGTCGTTATTCGTATCTTTCGTCGTTCCGATTAAAATATCGCGTACCCGTTCCGCAGTATTACAATAATAATATTTGCCTACAGTGTATACACATTATATAGAGGTATATAATATTATTAATTCACATTGACGTTGAAATTTTTACGCGCGCGCGACACGTCAATCAACTGATTTCGCGGCCCGTACACCACACGCTATAGATATATAAATCTTATGCCGCAATGCTGAGACGCTAAAGGTTTGTATCATATATTGTAATTATCGACTCTAAAATGTACATCCAACGGTACTGTCTACACGCCGACACGGCAATGGTCGTATGTTACCTTTACCCATTACGGTTCCGAAACGTTTAAAACAGTGTACGCCACCAACGTCATTACTAATCGTCGCTGCTTTCTGTAAATCATATTTCAACATAAATACCTCGTGGTCAATGCGTTTCTTTCGTTTCACCTTTTGAGTAGGTCGTTGACAGTAACCAAATATAATATCACGGCCCGTAGGAAGGTGCACGGTACAGGCAGTAACTGGGTGTATGTACAGTTATAAATACCTTTGATAATCTGAACTAGGTACATTGTGGATGCGATAGAATATCTAGTCTAGGTCAATATACATTGTCATGGTGTTGTCCCAATTTTCGTTGACACTATGTACACATTACATATGCATGACACTTGTTAGACCAAAATTAAAAATTTTGCATATCTACTCGTTAATCCCCCTAACGTTTATTATCTAATAAAATGTACTAAATCTGGCATGTACTTAATATTTTAAGGATAAAAAGCGTATCAGTAAATATGATAAATAGAGATTAATAAATTGTGTAAGCAGTAGACTAATTATCAAGGCTAACAGTTTTTATCTGCATGTAGGTAGCTAATTTTATAATGCAAATGCAATTTTTATAATGTATATTAAATGAGGGGTTCATATTAATAAAGTTAATTATGATATTTTGTTCAGTAGTTTTTAGCCTTGTGAGCATTAAATTTTAAAATTTTAATAAAACACTCATGTACCTAACTTACCTATTACCTAGCAGTTAAATATTAGGTTTTTTGAAGAAGAAGAATTCTATGATATTACCAATCATCTACATTACAAATAATTAACAAATGTTCTGATTTGTTTAGGTATGTTTTAAAAAATAGTTATTGGACTGTAATTGTTTATTTTGCACATAAGTGTGTCAACATTTTTGTATTCATTATTATAATTTATTATTTATATTATATTAATTTGTAACTTCTTCATTATTTTGATTGCAATCATAGTAGAGTATCAACTCCATATTTGATTATTGTCTTTAATATATTAATTAATTTTTCTTTAATCAATATTTTTGTTTGTGTAGTCGTATAAGTGTTTATAATAATTACAGATTATCAGTTAACAAAATGTATGTACCTAATATTTTTGGAAGGATTATTATTTTATTTAATTAAAAATCAATCTATACGAGTGTTAGGAATAGGTACCTTCTTATATACATTTCAGTTAATACTTACATACCTACCTAGTACCTATTTAAGATGTAAATAAGCAAAAATCGCTAACCATCCGTAATATACATGTATGTTACGAATTTTTAAATTACTTAGTAAAAATTAAAGTAGTTTAAAACACTATGTGGGTACCTATTTAGACAACTTTAGACTTCATGGATTAATAGGTACATTAATTATTTTCACAGATTAAAAATCAAATATTTATTGTTAGTATTTGTATTACTATTGTACTCCGATTTTCTTTGATCCATGAATGTTTTAGACACTGTTGTTTTATGTATGTTAATTTATTTATTTATTTTCAGAGGATATACAAAGGATCACTGTGAATGTTATATTAAAGGATCATTATTTTAAACCACCAAGCCGTCCACAATGGAGGACGCCCACGCGAAAACCGTGGATGAAGTAAAAAACTTCTTCAACGTAGATCCAGAAAAAGGTCTAACACCAGATCAAATAAAACAATATCAAGCCAAATATGGACCAAATGGTATGTATTATAAATTTATAAATGTATAGATAGGTACACCTATGTGTTTCATAATTCCCTTTTGCCTTTGAACATTTTATGGCATCCTTGATGGTGTCTTTTCAAAAACATACTATAGGTAGTTAAAATATAACTAAATCGTACTTAAGAATAAATAAAAAAAATATAACAAATTTTAACATCATATATTTTAATCATAACATTTCAATACAGCAGGTTTTTATTTATATTTAAAATGGTTAACTTTATAACATATATTATTCTGTCAATTGTGCTGTTTTAATAAACTAAATTTCCCTTTTTATTCCCTAGTTATTGATTCTTGAAGTTTGCCTGTTACCTACTTAAGACATTTTTTTAAGATTGTACATATTCAAATATGTACTTAAATAATTATTTATTGAACAATTATAACATTTTTATCTTACAGTTTTGATTTTAAATTAACCAAATTCATCTTAAATAGCTTATATTTGAAATATTTTATTTTTTAACAAGTGCATTCAATATTTTTAGATTATTATATAAATTAAAATTACTTTCTTAACTATTTGTCATTATAATTTGTTGGCCGATTTCAAATAGATACCTAATTTATTGATTCTTTTAAAAAATACTTATGGGACCAATGGAAAATTGCTACTTTACATGTAATATGGTAACACTGTAGTTACATTTCTAAAAATATGAGTAGCTTACTTTTTTTGTTGGAAAAAAAAAAAGGAATTTCATTGACTTTTTCATACATATAAAATTTAGTACCTTAAATATTAATTCTTAAAATTAAATTGAAGTATTCCTAATATAGTCAAAGAAAGCTCTTTAAAGTCATTCAGAACTGAACTCTTTTTGATTATAAGTCAAATTTGTTTGTCCTGGCTGAGTAATGAAAATATTCTTTTGATCAAAAAATCTCTTTAAGTTACAAAATTTGCTCTATTTTCATATGAATAATATTTAGTACTGGTGCACAATACGCTACCAATATCGCTACAGAAGAATAGTACTCTACTTTTAACCACTGATAGTTTTATAATACTGTTTCATCAATGTTCCAGAGTTTTTTGTTGAAATTTCCTTTAAAAAAAAAAATAAAATTACACTGAACATGATCAAAATATATAATTTAAATATTTGTTAGGTATTTATTTCATAAATATGCAACACTTATAAAAATCAATTAAACTGTTTAATTAGCCTTTTGATACCTATCATCTAATAATGTTTTTTTGTCATTTTTGGGACAATATTACCTAACAGTTACCAAGCAATTATTATTGCGTATCTCAATTTACCAAAAGTACATTTTTTAAAAATTTAATTGGTGTATAATGATAATTATAAAATATGACCAAATGCACTCATAATTTTTTATTCAAAACTTTTAATCCACAAAATTAATGTTTTTATGAATAAAGTTTAACAAGTTTTAATATTTTTTATACTAAACTTTATGTTGTGAATCTACCAGTCATTTGAATATTAATAAATTTATAATTTATGGTACAATATATTAGTATTTGTATTAAATACCTAAGTAGTAAATTAATTTAATTGTAGTACATTTTTATTTATAAAGTTTTTTTTTTGTTTTAGGATTCCAAGCACATAATTAAATAAAATCCTTGCAATAGAAATTTTTTTTTAAATATTTTTGCTGATCGTAATTTTTTAAGCACGTTTATTCCAGAGATAGTTTATAGATCATTTTTTGGAAATTTTTTTCTAAGCTCTAATTATGAGACTCAAGTTCCTAAAAAATAATTAGTTTTTAGTTGACCTAATATATAATATAAAATTTAAATTTATTATCAAAGTTATCATATCTATTTAGTTGTATTAGATAATAGAACGTATACCTAATCATATAAAATAAATAATACATGTTTTAGGTATTTTATTTTTGTTTGAGAAAAATAACATTTATAAAATTATAATTTATGTAAACTTTGTCATTGAATTTTAAAGTTATATTATTTTCAAGAATTTTCATTTATAATTATATTTTTTGTACTTATTACTTAATTAACATGGGTAAATCTTGTTTATTCTTTTATTAGTAAATTGTATAATAAGTTACAAATTACAATGTAATAGTTGTCCATGAAAGCATTCAAAAAAAGATTTAGTTTTGTATAACCTTGACCAATATTTTAACACAATTTGGAAGTATTTGTTTATATTTTTATTAATGTTCTTGAAATTAAATAATTATATTAAATTAATTGGATATATGTAAAGTTTAGAGGTTTTTCTATTAAAATATTAGTTTTTATAAGCAGTTTGTCATGAGTTGATAAAAATGATTTTTAAGTATTTAACTTTTTTGAATTTAATATTAAAATATATTCTTGAGAAAGCCTAAATATCTATGAATTTAAATATAATAGGTATCTATATATTTTTTCTTGGAAATATGATTTATAGTATTACTAATTGTATTACAAATTAAAATACCTTAACCAATATTAATTTTATTATTCATTATAGTAGGTAAACATTTTAATTTGAATATTGATAAATAATAATATTTATAACTTTTATCATAAATAGTTAATCATTAAACTAAGAACTTGTCTAATACAGTTGGGCGCATAAATATATTTGTATACATACACTTGTCTTTGGGAAAAGTAATTTAATGAAACCTGTTTAATTGCACTGAATTGTTTTTAAAACTAATTGCTTTTACAATATACAATTTATTTATTAAATAACTATCTTTTTTTTTCCCAAGTGTTATTATTGTAGGTATACACCTAATTATTACATCAGTGTATTGTTCCAAATTCAACTTTCCAAGTTTTACTGTAAAAATTAGTTGAAATGTTAGGTTATCAATAAGGTTTTACTTTGCTTGTTGCAAACTATTATGTAATATTACTAATATTCTATCTCCATTGGCAAGTATGTATGTTGCATACATGATCATATAATTTTTTTTAAACTTCATTTAATGTGTATGCTACATAACCACATAGATATATACATTTTATCTCTATTACTCTTATCTGTTTTTCAAATGTTCATAAATATATAATAATTGGTATCATAGTTTTCAAAAACACAAAATTAGTATACCTAACTTGATAGCCCTGGTATTTTATAAAAATATATACATATATATATATATATATTACCTAATGAGTTATAGTAGTATTATAAATTAGTTTTTACTGTATGAAAAGAAATTGGATAACAATTTTAAAAAGGTAAACTTTTATTTTAAATTTAGATGTGTGAAAATTATAGAACTGAAAAGAAAACATTTGAATGATCTTAAATTAACTTTATAACCTTTATTGCTTAGAATTTAGAATTATTTTTAATAAATACACAATTTTACTATGTTTGAGACACATTTAAATGTACAATTGTCAAAAATCAATGGTATCTTCATATTATTATATATTTGTTTTCATTAAAATGTATACTATCGGGAAGTGTATTGGGTTAAAACATGATTATTTTATGGTGCTTAATAATATGACTGAAATATTTATCTATTGTATTATCACAAGTTATTCTATTGTTATTATAAAAATACATTTTTTTTTCAGAATTGCCCGCTGAAGAAGGTAAGAACACAATCAATTAATTATACATAGTTTTTGAATTGAAATTTATATTTGATTATACTCACTTAAACTACTTAAACATTAAATAACCGCGGTTAAAATACTTTTTTTTTATCGTTTAAACCATTTGTATTTGAAATAATTCTTATATAGTTAAACAAATAAAAATTATCACTTTTTTTATATTAATGGTCTTTAAAAATAATTAACCTCTACATTTGAAATAAGTGAATAAGGTTTTACAATTAAATTGTTTTTAAATTTTTAAGCTTGATGTTTAAGTTAATTTTTATAATAGATCAGGATGTTCACTAATTACCACACAATCACAAAACATAAAATAGTTGAAAATCAAAATACTTATCCTAGAAAAATAGACTATATATAAAATGCAATAGATCTTATTTTACATAATACAACCATTAGAATAATGTTTAGCTTAAAGTTTATTATTTTTATAGAGTATAATATAAAACATGTGTATAACCAAAATTTTAGGCAAATCAATTTGGCAACTTATCCTCGAACAGTTCGATGACCTACTAGTTAAAATTTTACTATTAGCTGCTATTATATCTTTTGTAAGTAATATATTTTTTACTCAAATGTATTTTATTCATTATCTAACTTTTTTTTTTTTATATAGGTATTAGCATTATTTGAGGAACACGATGACCTAAATGAAACACTTACAGCTTTTGTGGAACCATTTGTTATATTACTTATTTTAATAGCTAATGCTGTAGTTGGAGTATGGCAGGTAATTATTTTAATTTTTGACTACTCAGTTATATGTGCATGTGGGTTTAAATCTTTAATCATACGATTTTCAAATTATTTGATAGTCTACTGTTGTATTAAATATTAATATGATATGAGTATTATCAACTTTTAATAGTTAATAAATAAATAGAAAAATTTTAACAATTAGACTTTTTTAATTATTAGTTATAGTATTTAGCACAAAACATACTTAATTAATTGATAGTACCTACTAGCTATTGTGTTAAATGTCGAAGTTCTCAAAATAATTAGCCTTTCTGGCTATATTTCAAAGTATTAAAGTAATTAATAAATAATGATATAAATAACTTCTGGCAAAATGTGTTTTAGGTAGGTGTTAAAAAATTAATAAAAATTCATTACAATCTATTCAATCGATTGTTATAATTAGATATTTTATTGTTCTAAATAAATAAGGAATTTGAAAATCTCTTTTGTTTGTATGTAAAAACTTTTTAGTGGCCCTGGCAGTTGATGATTGATATATAATTTTGGCTCCATATTAAATTAATTGGCATTAGTATCATTCACCCACAGATTTTTTTCAAGCACGCACTTAGTGAAGTATTTTATTATTTTCTTGTACTAAAAGTGCAGGCATTCATTTTTAGAACTATGTTGGTTGGATCTCTGTATTAAGTTTCATTAAGTTTCTTATCTATTAATTTTTTGTGAAAATTTAGAGTAATCTCATTTGGCATAAAAAATATACCTATCATCTGTAACAATTGATCTAGCTCATGTGCTAAATTATTATTTTAATACAAATAAACTAAGAGTATCTAATAGTTTTGTTTTTCTATAATTTATCTTTTGTATTTATTTATAATTCTCAGGAACGAAATGCAGAGTCAGCCATTGAGGCACTTAAGGAATATGAACCAGAAATGGGTAAAGTTGTCAGAGGTGACAAATCTGGTGTACAAAAAGTCAGGGCGAAAGAAATTGTACCTGGTGATGTTGTAGAAATATCTGTGGGAGACAAAATTCCTGCTGATATTAGGTTAATTAAAATTTATTCGACTACTTTGAGAATTGATCAGTCCATTTTGACAGGAGAATCGATTTCTGTAATAAAACATACAGACGCTATTCCAGATCCAAGGGCTGTGAACCAGGTTGGTATTTAATAATTTAATAATAATAATATTGCATTAATAAATAACCTAATTATTTTTTTTGTTTTATTTTAGGACAAAAAAAATATTTTGTTCAGTGGTACAAATGTTGCGGCTGGTAAAGCTAGGGGTATTGTAATGGGCACTGGATTAAATACTGCTATTGGTAAAATCCGAACAGAGATGAGCGAGACTGAAGAAATCAAAACACCTTTGCAACAAAAATTAGATGAATTTGGTGAACAACTCAGTAAAGTAATTTCAATCATTTGTGTTGCTGTCTGGGCTATCAACATTGGTACATAGTTACATCTAATTATTTATTTATTTATTATTAATATTTTTTATATATTACCTTAAATACTTATACTGACTCATGATTTACTTTATAGGTCATTTCAATGACCCCGCCCATGGTGGATCTTGGCTCAAGGGGGCAATCTACTATTTCAAAATTGCTGTCGCCTTAGCTGTAGCTGCCATTCCAGAAGGTTTACCAGCTGTTATCACTACTTGTTTGGCTTTAGGTACCCGTCGTATGGCTAAAAAGAATGCAATTGTCAGATCGTTACCTTCAGTTGAAACCCTTGGTTGTACATCTGTTATTTGCTCTGACAAAACTGGTACATTAACCACAAATCAAATGTCTGTTAGCAGGTAAAAAAAAAAAAAAAACAACTTATTTTATAAAAGTATGCCTTGTCTTTATAATTTAACTATTTCAATAGGATGTTCATTTTTGAAAATATCGAAGGAAATGACAGTTCATTTACTGAATTTGAGATCACAGGATCAACTTATGAACCAATTGGTGAAGTATTCCTTGATGGCCAAAAAGTCAAAACTTCAGAATATGAAGCATTAAATGAAATGGGAACAATTTGTGTGATGTGTAATGATTCAGCTATTGATTTTAACGAATTCAAACAAGCTTTTGAAAAGGTACACATAGTAAGATGATCCTAATGTTTAACATTTCATAATTTTTAAATTATTATAGGTTGGTGAAGCCACTGAGACTGCTCTAATAGTATTGGCAGAAAAAATGAATCCAAATAATGTTTCTAAAATTGGATTGGACCGCAGAACAACAGCCATTGTTGTCAGAAATGATATTGAAACCAAATGGAAGAAAGAATTTACACTGGAATTCTCTAGAGATCGTAAATCTATGTCTTCTTACTGTGTTCCTATTAAACCTAGCAAACTGGGAACCAGCCCCAAATTGTTTGTTAAAGGAGCACCAGAAGGTGTTCTTGAAAGATGTTCTCATGCCAGAGTTGGCTCTCAAAAAGTAATTGTTTTGATTTTATCTATGTGTAATTGTTATTAAACATCTTGATCTTGTTAATTAAGGTTCCTTTGACAAATGCACTCAAGAACCGTATCCTAGAATTAACCCGTAAATATGGTACTGGACGTGATACCCTCCGTTGTTTAGCTCTTGCTACTGCCGATAACCCAGTTAAACCAGAACAAATGGACTTGAATGATTCAAATAAGTTCTATACATATGAAGTAAATTTGACTTTCGTTGGAGTAGTTGGTATGTTAGACCCTCCTCGTAAAGAAGTATTTGACTCAATCCAGAGGTGCAGAGCTGCTGGTATAAGAGTTATTGTTATTACTGGTGACAACAAGGTTTGCATTTTATAGATTTACCTTTACAACTTATATATACTAATTGGTGTGTTAATTTCTAGGCTACTGCTGAAGCTATTTGCCGTAGAATTGGTGTATTTACTGAAGATGAAGATACAACTGGAAAATCATATTCAGGACGAGAATTTGATGATCTCTCTTTGGCTGACCAAAAAGCTGCTGTAGCTAGAGCTCGTCTGTTTTCTCGTGTAGAACCTGCTCACAAATCTAAAATTGTTGAATACTTACAAAGCATGAATGAAATTTCTGCTATGGTAAATTTTTAAGTTCAATATTTTTAAGCAAAATCAACCTATATAATGCATTATATGTAATCTGTATTTTAGACTGGTGATGGTGTGAATGATGCTCCAGCGTTAAAGAAAGCTGAAATTGGTATTGCTATGGGTTCTGGAACAGCCGTTGCTAAATCAGCATCAGAAATGGTATTAGCTGATGATAACTTCTCATCTATTGTGGCTGCAGTTGAAGAAGGCAGAGCTATTTATAACAACATGAAACAATTCATCAGATATTTGATTTCATCCAATATTGGTGAAGTTGTTAGTATTTTCTTGACTGCTGCACTTGGATTACCTGAAGCTTTGATTCCTGTACAACTTTTGTGGGTTAATTTGGTTACTGATGGTTTACCAGCTACTGCACTTGGTTTCAATCCACCTGATCTTGATATCATGGACAAAGTAATGAAAAATTAATTTGAATGTTTTAATTTAAAATATGTGTATTTTTTACTCATGGTCTATTTTTGTGAAGCCTCCACGTAAAAGTGATGAAGGTTTGATTTCTGGCTGGTTGTTCTTCCGTTATATGGCTATTGGTGGATATGTAGGTGCTGCTACAGTTGGTGCTGCTGCATGGTGGTTTATGTACTGTGAAGATGGACCACAAATTTCTTATTATCAACTGGTATAATGTTTAAAATTAATAATATTAAACTAAAATTAACTAACTTTTTTTGTTAGACTCACCATTTATCTTGCATAAGCGGTGGAAATGAGTTCAGAGGTCTTGACTGTGCAGTATTCCATGATCCTCATCCAATGACAATGGCTCTCTCTGTATTGGTCACAATTGAAATGTTGAACGCAATGAACAGGTATGTTAGATTAATTTTCTTTAAATTTTTTATAAAAATTAAATATAAAAAATATAATTTTTAGTATGAATTTATGGTTTTTTTTTTGTTTTTTTCATAGTTTATCAGAAAACCAATCTTTGATTAGTATGCCACCATGGTCGAATTTGTGGCTTATTGGTTCCATGTTGTTGTCATTTACTCTTCACTTTGTTATTCTCCATGTTGACTTCTTATCGGTTTGTTAAAAAAAACAATACTTTTTACATTATATTTCAGTAACTCAAAATGTATGAGTTCTTTGTATAAATCGATCTTTTTTTTAATTTTCAGACTGTGTTCCAAGTTACTCCACTTACCTTTGATGAATGGATTACAGTAATGAAGTTCTCTATACCTGTAGTACTTTTGGATGAGACTTTGAAATTTGTTGCTCGCCGGTTCACTGACGGTAAGAGCGTTATCGCAACGGTGTGGGGTATCGTGCTCATGTGGTCCGTGTTTTTCGCCATCATCGTTTACGGACCCTTGTAATGGACACAAGAAGGCCACCGTCCTTTATGCTTCTTTTCCCCAAAAAATTATATTTGAAAAAACACATTCTGATACATGTACAAAAAATTTCTCTGGCAATTAAACAATTTTTAAATTATTTTTTCTTTGCTTTTTCGTATTGTGACACAAAATTAAGACTGAAAAAAACTAACCCACCCCCTTAAGTAAAAACCAAAAATAGAAATTTGATTGCCTTTAACACATTGTTTTTATTATAGTTAATTTTTAGAAATGCTCTATTAGAGACATCTAACTCTTTGTAAGCTTGTAGTAAGCCTCAACAGAAAAGAAAATCATGTTTAATTTTAAGATGTTCAGCATTTATTGTTGGGTAAGAAAATAGTTCTAAAATAATGTGTTTGGCGTGCCTTTGGTCCAGTGATTTTTATGCATATGGTAAGGTGTGTTTAGAATAATGGACGAATCGTTTGTGATTTATCACTGCCAATAAGATGTTTTATACTTGTATTTTGTATTAATATTATTATTTTTTCATTTTTCAAAAATTAACATCTGGTGTGTGATTTAAATTAATGTGTTATAATGCTTAAATTACATGCAAATTATATTTGACCCAACATCAGTTTGCACATAATTAATATTACTTTTCAATCCATTAGGTAATTTCTGAACTTTTTAATTTACAATAAACATTATAATATAGTGTGTGGGTACAACATATCGGTCTAAAATTTTGTACTATTATAATATATAGATATATGCATTTGTTTAGTTTTAATAAATATAATTTAGTAATAAATTTATATGTATAGGCTATTCAAAATGTGCGATTTATCATTGGTTAAAGTAAATTTTGAAAAATGTTGTATTTATTAAATCTACTTACTATGTAGTATATATATATTATATTATACTATAGTATAGTATGATGCAGTAAAATATAAAAACATCATGCTGTGGGATAGAATTAAATATTAAAATAATAATAAATCGCATATTTAACATTTCTATTCTATGATCTATTAGTTATCTATGAATGGTGTTTTTAGTCAACTATTAAAATATAATGCGGTCATTAATATTTTTACACATTTATACAATAAGGTATTTTAAACGATTTGATAACACCAAAATTATAGGCCTTAATTTAAAGAATGTATTAATTTATATAACTGCATTTTTTTTTATATATATATATATATATTTTATAGATTTTTTTTCAACAGATCTTATATTCTGTTAATCTAGTAAATTGTTTTTTTTTTTTTTTTTTTTTTTTTTTTTCTTAACAATTTGGTATTATCAAAAATTCAGGATAGTGTGTAACAAATTTGGGTATACTTTTTCTAAAACAATTCTTTTTGTAAGCTTTTTTTCAATCATTCCATTTTTTTCTTTCTAATCTATTGAATTCAAATGGGTGGGTAAATTTTTAAGTAATACAGAATAATTGACGAGTCATTGTATATTTCCATTACATTTTTATTGATATAATTTATACTTTTGTCTTGATATTAATTAAAATAATGCAACAATTAAATGTTGTATTATTGTGCCAATCTAAATTGTTAACAGTCTATTTCAAATAGCATACAACAATAAAATATAGAATGTATACAATGAGTAATAATTATTTTAAATAAAAATAAGTACAAAATTATTTTTATATGCATAAAAGTCATCAATTTCAAAATAATTTATTTTGTCCCAGTCAATCATTCTGTATTTTAAAGTAAATTCAAATATCCAAATTTTTTTTATACATTTACCTATTATTAAAATATTAATATTCTACTAGTAGTTAATTAGAAACACATTTGTAAATATGTTTGTTTGTTTAAATATTACAATTAACAATAAAACATTTGATTATTGTTTTGTTAAATAAAAAAAACTTAATGAAATCTTTTCATGCCTTTAATGCAAACATATCACTGGTGGAATTTTCTTAAAGATCATCAGTAATCCTCGTATATGTCTGGAATTTATCGCACTTTTGATGTCTTATCTAATAATTAAGCTTGTGTTAGGTTTTGTCACAACAGGTGATTACTGGTGGTCATGTCATAAGACATGATATACACCAAATTATTACGCTGCACCAACTCGCTTTATTTTAATTCACACGTAATGATTTAAAACAACAAAAAACAGTTCCAGCGTAATCATACTAAATTTGGGAATGATCTCGTATTATCAATTCGGTGTAATAAAAAAAAAAAACAACAAGCCACATTTTTGTGACTGTACAATTAAATAAAAGTCGACCGATCGTGTAGTGCTATTGCTGCTCTCTCCACTTAACAAACTATTGAAACGGTTAACCCCGAGATCGTTCCCTGTGCGTGCGTAAGCCTAGGAATAAACCTAGAACACACGCCTGTACAATTTAATGACGTTTATAATAATTATATTTTTATTTTTTTTTTCATTTATTTACCGTGTGAAGCTTCTTTAACAACTAATATCGTTCATAAAAGTTCAGCGTGGTGTAATTGTATTATAATATTATTATATAATATGATGATGATGTTGTTGTTTATCCGCGTGATGAAATATATAACTTATAGGTTCGCAATCGACTATAGCCCGTTATTATGATATCGACGGTCAAAAAGTAGAACGGGACAACGGGATGCCGGCGGGCAAACCGCACGCCGAATAAAAATAAATGACGTTTTTTTTTTGAAGTTTGTCCACCCCCCAACACCCACCCCTTTTCGTCCGTGTACGCGCGATTTTATGATTTCGTGTCGCGGTAAAATGCAACCACCGCCGTCGACCAATGTTTGTTTGTTTGTACGTTTGTTTTTTTTTTTTTTTTAATTATTTATTTAGAAGTAGTAGTAGTTTTTAATTTCGTTTTTTGTTTTTATTATTATTATTATTATTATTATGTGTACATAGTATTAATACAATAATAATATATTATAGCGTGAGTGATTTTTTTTTTTTTTTTTTTTTTATCAATTACGCGGCACATAATTCACGCGTTAAGACCGAATATATATATATATTATTATCGGATTATGTATTCGCGATTAATACGGACGTTATTATTTGTTTGTTTTTTTTTTTTCCTCTAGTATATTTAATTTTTACATTTTGACTATTGAGTAAATATTATTAATTACCTGTAACGTTTATTGTAGACGCGTAGTGTAACGATATTAATCGATTGTGCTTGCCGCTTATTTTTGTCCGTAAAAACGTATTTCGACGCCAGTCGCACATTTTACACACATCATTCCTCCCGTTTTCTCCGTGTCTCTCTCGCTCACTCACTCACTCTCTCTCACTCTCTCTCTCTCTCGGATTTAAACACAATTATCTATTATAATAATAATACCGTCCGCTTTTTTTTATTATTGTTTACCGTGTGTTTCGTTCGCGCAATCGGATCGCAATCTATTTGACACGATAATATATTTTTACGGCGTGTCCATATTATAGTGTCGTACGCTTTCCCCCTACACCCCCCCCCCTCCCGGACATGACGTTTTCGTAAAAAGTGCGTTAATTTTAGACGAACGTAAGCGAATTCTTGTAGAAATATTGCACGCTGTAGTTGAGTTTTTTTTTTCTTATCGATTTCGCCCGCGGTAGAATGTTATTGTTAATCTAATTCATTTTTTTTTTTTTTTTTGTAACGCGTTTATGTATGATATTTTATTCGATACGAACGGCATTTCTAGCAGTTCTTGTCAAATATCCGGCGTTTCGTTCGAACCCCCGTTTTAAGGAATAACGAAATATTTTCTATGTTCGCGAATGCTATACGAGATATTATGTATCGGTAACTGTACGTCCTCCTCCCCCAACCCATAGGTACACGTCCGGTGCGTAAAATTCAAAGGAAAAAAAATCCCGGTGGTTTACGATACTTTGCGCGCCCTATACACACACACACATAATAACATAACATATCACGATTAGTTCACAATAAGAGTACTTTCAAAAACACAAAATCTCAATGATTTTTACTATAATATAAAATATGCGTACGCCTCTAATGTATATTGTTGAATTGTTTGTTAATGTTTAATCGTACGTGATTTTATAATAATATAAGATTCAAATTTATTCTCGTAATTTTTATGTTAACAACGCAATAACTACTGTTACCGCAGGGAATCTAGTGGATTTGGCTGGACAATTTTTTTGGTAAATTGATTTCAAACGACCAGTAAAACCCCCCCCGAGTAACGCGATAAAATCGCCCGATTATATATTGTTCCGTCGAAAACGGCCAAAAAAATCGTCCGGCTATGTTTCGCTCCGTTCGTAGTTATTCGTAATCTAATGTGTATACTACACGACTCCGAAATGCTGTGAAAATACGCGATTTCGTCCGAACATCCGTAAATGTATGTTTGATAAAATAAAAAGAAAAATTATTACGATAAATAAAACGGTTTTTCGGTCAATAACAATTGCTCGTTGTTATTATTGTTGTTATTATTATTATTATTATTATTATTATTATTGATGCCGGGAGTGGTCCGGATTAACGGTTATTAATTTATCTGTTTACTCTGCGTGTTGTCGCGTCTCGCCGGGATTAACCGCGTCGACGGCGAAATCGCCGCGAACCCGCCGGTATTTTTCGGCGGCCTTTTAACATTTTTCCCCTCCGCCGACCCGGCGGTTAAATGACGACGACTCTCGGGTCGTGTCGTTTATCCGTCTCTATGTCTCTCCGAAACCGCCGACCGTAACGTCTACCCGGACAATGTTCATTCGATTACCGCGGCGGCGGCGTGTCGTCGATGCGCGAACAGCGGAAACGCGCCACACCGGTGTACAACACGCGCGTGCCGTGAGACGTCCGTAATTCGTCGCAGTGGCGGCGCGAGATGTTTTTACGTATCGCCACCGCTGACCAATTGTCTGCGACCCGGCGCGTAAAGTTCGGAGGGGCCCCCGTCCGCGTTCCTCTGCCCAAGTCCCGCGGCGGCACTGAAAAAAACAACCCCCGACTTCGCGCCGCCGCCGCCGATTTATCGTACTGAATCGTTGCGTGTTACGGCAATTACTCGTGGGCGCGCGAACGTTTCGCGGGCGGGATCGGTTTAAGCCAGTGCCGAGCACACACATTCAGTCCGGATTCGCTTTGTTGGAAATTTCAAATCAAATATTCGCGGACAAAGATTTGAAAAAAAAAAATATATCGTTACGCGACTAGAAACTATTCATGTGCGTTGATATTCGTAATTGTGTTTAATACTCGGATTGACCCGTCGAACTTTTGCCCGGCACCGGTTTAAGCACCTCCCGTAATGTCGATTTGAAAAAAAAAAAAATAAATAAATAAATACGCGTATTCAAAGTATTTACTTGACAAGTTTGGGAGGGGGGAGGTGGCTGAACACTCCGAACCTTCTCCCCGTATTGTGACGACAATGTAGTACTTGCTCCTAACACGAATTTTTTTTCGATTCGTTGCGTTACAATAAGCCGCCGTAGTGTTTTTTTTTTTTTTTTTTTTTTATTTAGTCGGTTTTATTCACTAACAAGTTTTTCGTTATTGGACATACCTAACAGTATATTTTGTAAAACATTAATAACCGCCGTGCGAAGAAACCGCGGGGCTGTCTGTCAACACAGCGAATGTATACAACAACAGGTACACACTCCGCGTACCCTACCGCCGAAAAGAAGCCACTCAAAGGTATGTATGTTAACGCTTTTTTCTTTTTCATTAATAATATTTAAATAATCGCTGTGAACAGCGTAATATTCGTTTCGCGGTTTCGTACCGTAGAAACTATAAATCGGTCGCTAACGATTGCGTGAAATCATTCTCGCTTTCGTCCCCCCGAGGAGAAGAACTGTTTTCCACTGGGCTACTCGGGTGAAACGGTGAAAAAACGCGGTTCGCTCGGAATCTGTTGAATCCTTTGAAACGATTTTTCGACATTCTTTGTGTAAACAGAGCACTCTATCTTTGTCTTATCCCTTACGAACACGCCGGCGGCATTTCCCTCGGTCGTCGGAATCCCGCGCCGGATCCGATTTCCAACATTATTATAAACGTTGCCGATTCGGTACGGTGTCCGCGGACCTTTGTGACCCGAGACGAAAAAATCTCACTACTACTACAATGGCGGCCTTAACGCGATACGATTCGAATTCGGCCGGGCGTGTCGATTCAAAACGAACCAACGAGAACTGCATTAACATCCTTATAATGACGAATGCCGGTATGTAACAGTCTCTTGTATTCCGCATCAACGATTATCATTCCGTTGTTTTTTTTTGACCGTGGCATTTTCTCTGTCCACAAACGGACACGCGGTTGATTCCGTTAGACTCCCGGTAGCGTGAGATTTTGCTTAGTATGTTGCTACTGGAACGCGGACAGTAGATTTTGTGAGAAAATATTGAATATAGTGAAGGGTAAAAAGTAACCGAGGAACGTCGAACAGTACAGTACAGACGTGAAGGTCTCGTCAATCTGCACACGGAGTGTTTGTTTGTTTTTTTTTTTTTTAACGGAGGGCGCGCAGTGGACAATCGGAAATCGTCAAATGTTTCGGTCCACTGTCTTCTCTCGATCGCCTTTTTCGGCACGCGGGCGTTAGGTGTACTGTGGGTAAGTGAACCCCCCACAGGATTTATGATACCGCGTACACTAGTCGCTCGGCAATTCGAAAAACTCTATAAATCGGACTAAACGCTTGGTGGTTCCCCGAGAAAACCTCCATAATTAGAAGAAAGTACGTACATGTATTCCGGTCCTCTCGGTAATTCCGAATTATTATGCCTGTCGGCGATGGGAGGCACTCGGCAATTCGAAATTTTTCGTCACAACCTGTACCTAGTCGAATTTCTCAATTACTGTAAGCACGTGTACAAGCGCAACAATTAATTCATCTGTAACGCGTACGCAACAATATATGTTATACTCAGATGCTCGACGCGCAAACAAATTTTCACCTCCCTTTAATTCGGATCGATCGGTTTTTTCCCCTCTCGTTTTTTATTCGAACACTGTCGGTGAATCGAAAACCTCTGTAGATCGAAGTATTTTAGATCGGTGCCACGGAAATTTCGAATTGCCGGGTGACTGCGCCGCGGCCGTAGACGTGGAACGCGCGCGCCCGACGGCGAAACGCACGCCAATAACAATACACGCGCGTCGGTCGTGCGGCGCGTTTCTCGTGACGGACGGGCGACTTTCGCGACGGGGTTCGTGCGTTTTTTGTCCGGGGGGTCGAAAATGACCCGCGGGCGGAAATATCATCGCCGGGATCGCTGTGCAGGGGCGTCGGAGTGCCGAAGCTATTCGTTTTTTCCCCTCGAAATCAATTCACCGCCGTCGTGGCGCAATATTATTGTTATTGGGTTCTCGGCCGCGGTAAAAAAAAAAAAAAAACCGAAAGAAAAACGCCGCGCGCGGAGACAGCACACGAGTTCTTTTTCCGTCCCGGCGCGCGCGCACAGTTTCGCGTCCGCGGCGGTTTCGTTTTGTTGGCAATGACCCGTCCCGTTCGACATTCAGACGACGACGATATTTCTATCGACACTGCCAACGCGTTTTTGCAGGGGCTGGGGCCGAGAACGGACGGAAGCTCCCGTCGCGCGTTAAAAATACCGCTGTTTTTTTTTTTTTCTACCGTGCGTTTTCCTCATCGCCGTGACGTCTCTACACGCGAAATATTAAGTAGCACATTTATGTTGTTGTTGCGCCTGCCGTCCGGGCGCGCGCGCCGTTTTCAATGTCGTTTCGGCGAACAAAAATAAAACCGCGCGTTAATAAATGTCGTGTAACGGCCGAGATTGTCCGTTTGCCGAAAAATAAAACAAGTCGCCGCCGCGTAAAAATAACAACGATAAAACGATGACGAACCGACGGAGAACGGTCGTTGGCCCGGGCGTGTATTTTCAACGGACCCTGTCCCGAGTACGGGCCGAAACGTAACCGCGCCCGAGAGTGCCTAGGGTTTTCGCAAAACTTGACCTACTTGGCCCGGACACCGGGGCGTTTTTTTTTTTTTTTTTTTTTCTATCGAATGCCGACCGCGCGTCCGTTGTGTTCCCCTCGTCGTTAAAAAAAAAAAAAAAAACCAAACAAACAGATAAACCGATTAATCGCCCGCTTAGCTTTTGGACATTATTCAGTTACACCCGTCCAGTGAGAGTATTTCCCGCATAAAATAATGGCGTCCGGGGCACGCGGGCAAGGAGAATCTTCCGAACCTGCTTTTGAAAAGAATTCCCTGTCCGACAATGCCCCCTCCCCCGACCCCGAGGAAACGCGCGTCCTACGCGTCGCGAATGCCCTGTACCGCCGAACGGGCGACAATACGCCGCGGGCGCAGGGAAAACGGAAAACGTTAACCTACCCGTTGTTGGTTGGTCCGAACCCGATGCCACAATGAAGTCGGCGCGCAAAGTGTAACCCGGAACCGGACCGACGACGAAAAATCGGGACGGGCCGGGCAGTGAACTCCGCGTGCGGTCTGTAAACGCGCGGCTGCTGGACAGTGGTCGCGGTTTTCCGGGGGAGACGAGTCGGATCCGTCCGCTCGGACGCGCGTTTTCCGGGTTTTTCTCGCCGATATATTTCGTCGTCCGCGGGTCGTCTGTTTAACGTCAACCCCAGACTACCGCGAACTATCGGAAGACGTGATTCGCGTTCGCGTCGTTTCGAACACAAACCCGTCTTTTTTTTTTCCAGCGAAATTAACCGCGGGAATCGGTGGGTAATTTAAAAGCCGGATCCTAAAAAAATGACGTTTTCCAATCAATATTATGTCATGGTTTTTTCTCGTCACTTGACCGAAATACGTGCGTTTCCCGCATTAGGTGACTCGTAGTTTTCGTATTTCGGGGCCAATGGGATGGGTAGATACGACCACCCGAGTCTCTCCCCCCCCCCGCGCACTCCGCACTGTACGGCGTTGCGACGTTTGTAATAGTCGTTCAGAGGTTTGAAACAGATTTCACGCGGATCCAATAGATTAGATGAGAACGGCGAGATTTACGAAACCAATAATAGTTCTCGTTAAAACCATCGCCGGATGGAAACTCGTGAGATTACGTTTCCCGAAAATTCCCCGCCCTCCGCGAACCTTTTTGAATATATTTCGCGGGGGTTTCCCCCCCCGAGTTCAACAGTTCTACTTGATATTACGTTTAGATAGGTGTGCCTAATACGAACTAACAAACGTTTGGCGTCCCGCCGCCGTTTTATTGCGCTTTCGGTACTTAAACCGGCGGTCCAAGTATACACTTGTTTGTAGCGATGTGAAACGAGAGAGTTCGAACAGTAACGAAATACACGCTATTATTTTATTGCCGGCCGAACGATAATTTTCGGTCGTGATTATTGTATTTTTTTCGTAAAACCGTCCTATTTGTGTTTTCAGTTTCCTTGTCGGTGCAACAGCAATGGTGAAGAGGCCCCGGTCGCCCGTCGCGTGGACGCCGCACAACAGACACACGTCACAACACCCGAGAGGCGAACTTGGCGTACGCGTTCGAAAAAAATTACAACAATAGAATTTCAACCAACACGACACGGGACGGCGGAATACCATCGCAACAACACGACGTGTATAAGATAAAAAAAAAAAAAAATAGGACAAAATTGAAAAACGCAAAAAAAAAAAAAAAAAAAAAAAAAACAAATATAATAATAAAATAATAACGTAGTCGGCGTATAATAAAATCATTATTGTATAATAAATATAGTTAGACTGTTTATTGGTTTAGGTATAGACAAAGTACAAAACGAACATATATTTTAATAAATTATACGTCTTCTTCAAATATATACATATATATATATATATTGTATTATTATTATTATTATTATTATTATTATTACATTGTATTATTGTTAGCGTTGTTATACCATATTATTATGATAAATAATAATGGAAAAAAAAAAAAAAAAAAAACAAATATAATAATAAAATAATAACGTAGTCGGCGTCAGTGCTGGTGTGTTATTTGCGCTTGAAAAATAAAAATAAAATAATAACAGTAATAATAGAACGGGACGACCTGTTCGGGGAGTAGGGGTCCGTGCCTATCAGACCCGAACGCGATTTTATTTGTTTTGCGTGCCGCCCTCAAGTGGCATTTTTATTTTTTGCGTCGTGTTACGGGCGTCCCGCCGCGTAAAACGTCAACGGCACACGAGCGCGCCCGATCGCATCCCATCGTTTTCCGCAAACGCCGGACTTCCGTAAAATTAGGTGCCCGATAATATAAACCACAACAATGTCTTCTTCCCGCTTGTTATAACCGCCGTTTGTCACACGGTTGTCCCCTACAAAGTTGTCTGGTTCAACTTATACCCGTGAGAAAATCACCGTTGATGTTGCGGATAACGTTATTTATTGTTAATACGATAAATGGCCGTTTTGTATGAAGCGCGTGTATTCAGGGTCCCGGCAATCGTGCTGCCATCATACATTATTACTATTTTTTTTTTATATAAACTGACCATATTAATATACATCGTATTTTCCAGTCAAAAATGATAAATGTCACCTTTTTTTTTTTACTACGAGTACCTAACCATCATATCGCTCTAACGACAATTGGTAATTTCCGTGATGGCATTCATGTGTCAGGTCGCGATGTACCGTATGTGATGTACACTTTCTAGCGATTTCACGTAAATACAATACAGTTTTTGCATCATAGTATTTATGATTAAATGATTTTAAAATTCAACTATACACTTCAAAATCCACAGAGACAAAGTGGTATTGATACGTCTGAGTACATAAATACATATTATTTTACACTAATATGTCAATTCATTGAAAATAAACAAAATATTCAAGTTAATATAACATATTTAATTCCAATAATAATAATAAAAAAATGTTAATAATAAAGCTTATAATAGATATTAGATATTATAGAATAGCTTATTGTCTTTTATTTTGTTTCGCACATTTAAAAATAATACTTAATTTATTTGTCAATAACACATTAATAATTAATTTAAAATATATTTTATATAGAACTATATAAAAATAAAAATATTGTAAAATTGAAAAATTGTATAAATAATAAAAACTTACCACATAATTAATTGACAGATCATAATTTTATTTATTTCTAAAATAATTGTGTAAAAACTAGTTTTTTATGCTGGAAATTTAACATTTTCCTAGTACCATAGCCAACAAGGCCATTCTTACATACATACCATACTCGGCTTGTCTAAAGTATGCGGCTCTAGGATCTGAATCGAATTCTGGACTGATTTCGAAAACTCTGGGCAATGGGTGCATGACAATCATCTTGCGTTTTGCTTTGTTCATCACTTCAGGAGTGACCACAAACAGGCCACATGCATTTTGGTAGCTACTATCGTCAGGGAATCTTTCTCGCTGTATGCGTGTCATGTATAGTACATCAGTCTTGGGTAGAGCTTCTTCGAGAGAAGAAAAGTTTTCTTGTGGAACACCCTGAGCAGCGACAAACTGGATTACAGATGTAGGCATTCCCAGGTTTGGAGGACTCACGTACCGTAAATTTACTTTATATAGAGTCAACAACCTAAATGGAAAATAGGGTTTATTGGGTAAAAGATAAAATCAGACAAATGTATGAGTCATTTCAATATTATTTACCTAGCAAGGGAATGTACAGTTCTGCCATTTTTAAGATCGCCGACTAATGTAATAGTCAGGCCATTGACAGTACCAATTTCTTCTCTGATCGTAAATATATCTAGTAACGCTTGCGTAGGATGTTCTCCCGTTCCGTCTCCAGCGTTCAACATAGGCTTACGACAATGCCTAGCAGCAGTCTACACAAATACACAAAGGCAAACCATTTTGGATAATAATAATTATATACAAATACCAAATATCTTACCCTAACTGCACCAGGTTCTGGATGTCGCATAACAATTACGTCCACATAGCCACTCATAACTTCAACAGTGTCTAAAGTAAAATTTAAAAGTATTAAAGAATATAGATGACATTGGTTTGAATCATGGTTACAAATATATTGAGCTATGGGTTTCAATATTATTAATCACCTTCAAGAGACTCTCCTTTTTGCACTGAGCTACTAGTTTCGTCGACGTGCACTACTCGTCCACCTAATCTTTGCATGGCCACTGAAAAACTGCAACTTGTTCTGGTACTGACTTCATAAAATATCAGGGCCATGACCTTTCCCTAATAAAAATACAGGTATTAATTAACAAAATACAACTGGAACATAGTGTTATACAGTGTATACTAACTCTAAGAATGTTGTCCAAGGGACGTCCCTTGATGACGAAAACTTTTAATGATTGTGCTAAGTTGAATATATCATTTAATTGTTCTTTCGAGAACATATCAACAGACAATATATGACTGTGTGCTAGGCCATGCGTAGGAATCGGCGTCAATAAATTCATGATATCATCAGATACGTGGTTTTGATTCTTGCTTGGTGATAGTACCGTTTCTTTGTGCATGGTTAAAATACAAGTATCTTTTGAGTCAAAATGCGGCTTCTTGAATTCTGCTTTTACCCCAGTCACACTTTCAATTTCTTGTACCACTTTTTCTCGTATTTCTGATAAAACATTACTAAACAAATCTGAAAAATATATTTTTTCTTTAAACATATATATATATATATAGTATATACAAATGGAAATATTATTTTTGATATTACCATGGACATCGGTTTGTATTGCAATAGGTGCTGAAATACTTAAAGTAGCCTGAGATCCGGCATGAGCATGAGTCTTTCCACCCAATGTTGGATCACGTAGATCATGCCCAAAACCAGGCTCAGCTAGCACTTTTCCTTCAATACAAACCACTTGACCGCGCAAAACAACTCTATGAATTGAGCCTTTAACTTGTTTTCCAGCAAACGGTGTCCATTTGGCTTTAGAATAAGTTGTTGATGACGGGATTGTCCATTCGGTATCCATATCGACTTCAATGTATGTTTCTGGCTGAACGGGCAATCCAAGAATTCGCATGGGATTTGTATACATTTTTTCAACAATATCCTGTAATTATACAAATATTTATAATATGTCAGTATATTTCTTAAATTTATATGCATTTTATAGCAAAAAAGGGAAGGAGAATAAAATTGGGTTAAACTGAATTACATCAATTTATAAAACTTTAACCATATACCTCAATGGAGTTGTTGGGGAGTTATATTGCACAAACAAACAGCCCATGTTTATATTATTCAAATTTATTATTTAAATGCTGTACTGCCACACATATGCTCCACTACACTTCCCATGCACAAAATTAAAAGTAGAACATCTCATCAGTAGATTGACGGAAATCAAAAATGTCAACATCAAAATGTATTTAAACTAATACTCCGTATTTTTATAGAATTTGTTTTATTAGTTAATATTTGAAAATAGAAAGAATGTAGTCAATCCATCCCCAAAATAAGGGTGAAAAAAATTAATACATTCTGAGATATTACAAAGATTATATTTTAGTTGGGCATCTTATACATATTGATAACACAGTTAAAAATATTTTCAATAAATGTAAATACAAAAAATTATATGACATTCATTGAATATCAATATCTAAAGCCGTGCTGCTACCAGGTATAACGGTGTGGAAGATGGTGATGTACTCTTATGTACTCTTGTGCTCATATTTTACTATACTACGCATAGAGATGAAAATCATAAATACACAGTTACCAATCTTATGATTGAGTTAAATATAAAAACAAATATTTTAATCAGAATTTAATTTTATTAATCAATATATTTTAATGATCTTTCTAATTTTGGGTTCTGAGTGAAGCGAAGAAGCATATGGTTTTACAAAGATGTTTTTTTTTTTTTTTGTAGACAACTTTTCTACAAGCAATTTTGCTCCAATTTTTAATGATAGCAATGTTTCTAAAAGAAATTTGACTGGGGAAGTACTTTAGGGAGTTAATTTTTTGATTTTCTCAGCAAATGGGAAAAAATTGGTAAGTTAAAAAAAAAAAATAATATTAAAGATAAAATATAATTATTTAATTATTACCATTTATTGCCTATTTAATTATTTTACTATAATATAACATATATATTGTTAACAAAACATCACTACCAACTGAACTCCGTTTAGAATCGTTTTTTCTTTGGCAATGGTTAATCACTACTAACAGATATACATAAAATGACCTAGAATAATGGTTGCACTCGTCCTTATTATCCTATGACGTATTTATGAATAACCTTCCCAAATTTTTAATAAACATAATACAAATAAAATAAAACTTAATGTACCTTGATGGACAAACGTCCTTCATTTACTGCGTTTAACAACAATGGTAGAACCGTCTCAAGGCCTGGAAAACCAGGTGGAGCTGCATCACTAAGTTTCTCGTCCAATGTATGAGGAGCTGTAAAAAAAAAAAACATTCAATATTAGAGTATTTTAGAATACCTAATTTAGTTATTTTAATATAAGTGTTACCGTGATCAGTAGCTATGCAATCAATATACGCCATATTATCCCAGAGTGCTTGTTGATCTTCTTTGGTACAAAGTACAGGACGCACTTCTGATTTGTTTGGTCCAAGATGCACAAAGTCTTCGTCGCACATAAATAAATGATGTGGAGCTACTTCACATGTTACCATCACACCCTAAAAATTAAAAAATATCTACCTAGGTACTATATTTAATTATATTTAGGTGACAATACCTTCTCTTTAGCAGCTTTAATAATAGTTATTTCCGATTTACGAGCTACATGACAAATATGCACCGAGCGATTGTAGAGCAAAGCCAACATGAGCACCGCTGCACAATTTTGATCTTCAGCGTGTATACATAAAGGTGCAGTTTTTGGCCAGTTATCAAAATGCTAATAACAATATTATTAATTGATACTTTAACAGTTATTTGATTATTTACTAAATTCTACAAACCGATATCCATGAAGATAGATTTGTTAAGCGCAATGTACTAAATGTTTGGTTAAGGTACATTTTGAGACCAGCAAATTGATTGGCGTTTTTAGCAATATTAATACTATTGGTCATAGATGCGCCTGCAAACAGAACATAGTCGCACCTGGCTCCATTTTTTGCACACTGTCAATTTAAATAATCAATTAATATTAAACTATTATAAGTATTAACAAACACTAAAAATGTGTGTTACCGTTTTGGCCAAATCATAAGCATTTTGGTCTACTATAGAAGGATTGGTATTAGGCATAGCACCGATTAATGTAATACCTCCAGCCAATGCTGCGGCTGTACACGATGCAAAATCTTCTTTGTGTGTAGCACCCGGTTCACGTACATGCACGTGGATATCAATTAAGCCAGGCAACTTCAATAATCTTTGAGAGCATATACAATCTATATGGGTTTTCATTTGTGGGTTGCACCCTTTTCTAACTATTGCCTAAAAATGTAAAATAATATATTTTCTATCGCACAACAAATAAGGTCGAAAAGAAATAAAGTAGTAAATATATACTTCAATTAGAAGTTTAGCACATTTAACATCAGTCACCAATGGAACAGAATGCTCAACGGCTAATCTACGCATACGATAACCAGGAGTGAGGAACGAAGCGACTCTGTTTGCTCCACTGACCATCATAGGCGCATTTATAACAAAATCAAAATTTTTATTACTCAAATACTCTGCCATACTGATCAGGTCACCTCTTGTTGTGTTTATACCAATGTTATCGAATCTCCAATCACATGGGGTCACCTATAAAAAAATTACTTTATTACTGTGCTTAAGTAGTAAATAATACATTTATAATCTTACAGTAACTCCTTTTGTGTTATAATTATAATAATCAGCTGTGCCACTGCTTCCAAACAATTTATAGCCCATTTTCTGCAATGCTTTAACACTATCGAGTAATTCTTCTTTATGCTAAAATTACATTTCATTTTTAAATTTTTATGAACAATATTATTTATCCAAATATCACTTTAATTTTTCCAATTGATAGAAAAATGTTGGCTCCAGGTTGAGGCAGCTGCATTCCTGAACTTATCATAGCTTTTAAGTATGCTTCATAGCGATTCTCTCCGAAACAAGCTACTTCACCAGTAGATGACATTTCCACTCCCAACATGACATCAGCTCCTAAATTTACATATTAAATACATAAACACACATTTATAGTAAAATTATATCACAATTGTTTACCTGCTAACCGAGAAAATGAAAATACAGCTACTTTAACTCCAACTCTCCCTTCAACACCGCATAAAACGTCTACAGGTTCTACTTGTTCTCCAATAATCACTCGTGTAGCCATTGCAACAAAATCATGTCCTAAGGTTTTAGAAACAAATGGGAATGATCTAGATACTCGTACATTGCACTCGATTACTTTGAGTTCGTTGTTTTTGGCAATAAGTTGCATGTTTAGCGGTCCGTTTACATTTAATGATGAAGCAATAGCCCGACATATAAATTTAATCTTTTCCAATGTTTCTTCATTTATATCTTGTGGTGGTGTGACCAACGTAGCATCTCCAGAATGCACACCAGCGTTTTCAACATGTTCACTAACGGCCATACATAAGATTTCACCATCCTTAGCTACAGCGTCCACATCTATTTCTTTGGCGTCTTCGAGGAATTTGGATATTACCACAGGATGTTCTTTCGATACATCACTAGCTGATTTTAAATACGCCTCCAAATCTCCATCGTTGTGCGCTACATTCATTGCTGCACCACTCAAAACATATGATGGTCTAACTAAACACGGATATCCTACTTCCTGACAAAATTCTATAGCGGATTTTAAATCTGTAAGCTCTTTCCACCTGAAAATATCAAGTAAAAAAATTATCAAAAATGATATTATGTATTGATTATTTTATAACTTTTAGTTATAAAAACCTGGGCTGTAATATCTTGATTCTGTCTAACATCCTCGAGAATTTGAATCGATTCTCCGCTCCATCTACATTTTCCGGCGAAGTTCCCAATATACGAGCGTTCTGTCTGTGTAAATCCATGGCAATATTATTAGGCAATTGCCCCCCCATACACAAAACCACTCCTTCAGGATTTTCCAAATTGTAAATATCCATAACCACCTTAGGAAAAAGTAATAATCATATAATAAGTATAGTAATTATTAGTAATTGATAACTTATAGCTATAAAAAAAGATACAGACATAAGTCGCACGATGGGTGGGCCACTATTGTAGATGAGAAGTAGGGAAGGGAGGATATAGAGGGGAATTTATTGTATATTTTTACTATCAAAAAACAATTCTGAGCAGAGTTCGGCTAAATATGTTTTAAAAGGCTACAATATTTACAATTTGAAAAACATTTCGTAAATTGTCCAGTTTTTTTTAAGTTTTATTCCAATTATTATGAAAACTCCTGGGAAAATGAAATAACCTTCTAAATGTACTACCCCAATAAGATTACCTTTTAGAAAAAGTGCTTTACTTGAAAAGCAGAGAAAAATTGCTGATAGAAAAATTGTTCACTGCTATAAAAATAAACATCATTGTAAAATTAATACATCCCTTGCTCTACACAAAATCTAAGATTATTATAGGTGAACATAATGTTATAGTCTGAAAAAAATTAATATTAGTGCATAAATGAGCACTAAAAATGTAAAAATATGTCAAATAAAGAGTAAAATAGTACCAAAACTTTGAAATACACAACACAAAAATTATATAGCTTACTTGGTTTCTAGGATCTAGCAAAATAAATATACAAATACGATGAGTTATGAGCTCTAATAATAACTATCAAAAATATAATATAAATACCTCAAACGATATTTCTTCAAAGTATAAACGATCACACATATCATAATCTGTGCTAACTGTTTCTGGATTACAATTGACCATGATTGTTTTTTTACCAAGTCTTCTCAATTCTCTAAGACACCCCACTGCACACCAATCAAATTCTACGGAACTTCCAATGCGATACACACCCGAACCTAAACATAAAAAAAAAAATTTATATCAAAATACAATTGTGAAAAAAATTTGTAGTTATAATTTTTACCAATGACCATAATATAATTTGATGGGAAAAATAAGTCACTGCTAGTCGCATTATAAGTCAAATATAAATAATTTGTTTCTGCGGGGTATTCAGCTGAAACCGTATCTATTTGTTTCACAAATGGTGTTATTCCTTGTTCTTCTCGTTTTTTCCGTATGACCAACTCTGTACTTTGAACAAGAGACGCAATTTGTTTATCAGAAAACCCTAGACGTTTAGCTTTCAAAAGCTGTTCATAGGGGACAGATGGATAATTGTAAGATTCCAACACAATTTGGTGCTTTATAATATTTTGCATCTTGTATAAAAACCAACGATCTATTTTTGTTAATTCATTTAATTTGTCCACTGAATAACCCTGCTTTAAAGCAGCTGCTAAAACAAATATTCGTTTATCAGTTGGTTGTTCTAACTCTGTTTCATTCACAGCTTTTAACGATGGATCAAAGCCAATAAAATTTTCATCTACCATACGAAAAGCTTTTTGGAAAGCTTCTTCAAAATTTCTTCCAACAGACATCACTTCACCAACACTTTTCATGGAACTACCAATCTTATAAAAAGAAAAAAAAACTTTAAATTGACCACATCACAATATTACTTAATATGGTTTTATCAATAATATACCATAGTACTAGCTCGGAAAAATTTACTGAGATCCCAACGAGGCATTTTTACAACACAATAATCTAAGCTAGGTTCAAAACATGCAGTAGTACTTGATGTCACAGAATTTATTATATCGGGTAAAGCAATTCCCAGTGAAAGTTTAGCAGCCACATAAGCCAATGGATATCCAGTCGCTTTGCTGGCTAAAGCTGAACTTCGTGAAAGCCGAGCATTTACCTTTAAACCGACAATTTACAATTAAATATTTAATTATCAAGATATGAAATTTAACTGAAATAATTTACTTCTATAATATAAAATTCATCACTTGTTGTACTCAATGCATATTGTATGTTACATTCACCTATAACTCCGAGATGCCGTACAACTTTAATTGCCGTCGTTCTTAATTTATTGTACTCAGAATTAGACAACGTTTGACTAGGAGCTACGACAATAGATTCACCTGTGTGGATTCCCAATGGGTCAACATTTTCCATGTTACATACCTAAAATTATTAAATAAACATAAATTATTTAATAAATAATAAATAACTATTATATAAGACTTACTGTTATGCAATTATCGTATGCATCTCTTACTACTTCATATTCTACTTCTTTCCATCCTTTTAACGATTTGTCTAAAATCATTTGAGTACTATTGGTAAAACATTGTTTTGTTAATACATGTAATTCTAATTCATTGTTTGCAAACCCAGAACCCAAACCGCCTAAGCTGAAAGCACTTCTCACAAGAAGTGGATATCCTAAAATTGTAACTGCTTCCAAAGCCTAAAATTTACATCATTGTTAATTAGTTTCAATAGTAAATGGTACATTAGTCAGTAAATGGTAAAATGTTATTATACTTCTTTAAATGATGTAACGACAGCACTAGGAGCAACACGTTCACCAATTTCCATGACTTTATCAGAAAACTGTTTGCGATCTTCTGTAGCTATAATTGTGTCAATTGGCGTTCCCAACACTTTGATGTTGTATTTTTCAAATATGCCGGATTTCTTCAACTCGATTCCGCAATTGAGTGCAGTCTGTCCCCCGAATGTCAATAATATACCATCTGGCCTTTCAGATTGAATAACTTGTATAACAAAATCTAATTCTAAAGGCAAAAAGTATACTTTGTTGGCTAGACCAAGAGATGTTTGTACTGTTGCTATGTTTGGATTAATTAGTATGGTAACAATGTTTTCTTCACGCAAAGCTTTTATTGCTTGAGATCCAGAATAATCAAATTCTCCAGCTTGACCAATAGACAGTCCACCCGAACCGAGGATTAAAACCTTTTGAACATCTATTAGCTTTTTAGGGATTTCTGGGTTTAATTGCTTTTTAAGCAAGTCCATTAATTTGTATTCATTATTGTTCTTAGTTTTCTCAATAGCTTCTAAAAATACATCAAATAAACATTCTAAATCTTCAGGCCCAGGGCATCCTTCTGGATGAAATTGGACACTATTGAATAAATACAACCATGATATAAATTACTATAAATATAATTGTAATTATAGTCATCAATATAATACAATTGATTAATACCTGAAGAATGGTAATGTATTATGGATGATTCCTTCATTAGATTTATCATTGACATTTGTAAATAACGGTGTCCAATCAGATACATTGGGATCTACAGCATACCCGTGATTTTGTGATGTCATGTAGCATTTACCAGTCTTTCCAAATACACAAGGCTGATTTTGACCTCTGTTTCCAAATCTAAAATAATAATAATAATAATAATAATATATATCTATTTTGATTAAGAAAAAAAAAAAACAAACTTCATTTTATAAGTTTTACATCCAGCTGCCAAGGCAAGCAATTGGTGTCCAAGACAAATTCCAAATATTGGCTTAACATTTGAGGTTTTTTTGATTACATTCTGTATGTTTAAAATGGTTTCTTTATTTATTTCAGGATTTCCAGGACCATTACTAAGAAATAAACCATCATAATTATCAGTATCATCTAAAGGGTAATTCCATGGCACAATGTCAACTCGGGCACTCCGATTTACGAAGCATCTGATTTGATTAAATTTTGAACCACAATCCAGAAATCTAATTCTAGGTGAACCATGCTCATTGTATGTTTTGGGCATCTAGATAATTGACATTTAAATTTTTAAAAACAATTTATTCTATTATTTTATATGAAATGTATTCATAGTATGTATTCAAGTACATTTGAAATACATTTCATTTTTTTTTTTTTATTTAAACAGAACTAGAAAGAAATATCACAAAATTTACTAACTGAAATTGAAACGTCTTTGATCAAGTTAATCTTGTTTGGATTAACTACAGTTTTAAAACTTTTATCAATATTTTTGTCTTTGTTTACAATTTTTCCAAGAAGTGTCCCACTTTCTCTAATATGCTTTGTCAGTGCACGCGTATCTACTCCACAAATGGCAGGAATTCCACTTTCAGCCAACCATTTGTCTAATAATTTTTCACTACGCCAATGACTTGGACAATCACATACTTCATCAACAATCAAGGCGGAAATCCATATACGATGTGACTCAAACCATCTAAAAAATTCAGCATAGTTTATTTAAGACAATGAAAATTGTACAATAAATTACATTATGTACACTATTCATATAATTTGAATTGGTATATGAAACAAAATATTTATTGATCAAACAATTGAAATAATTGTTTAAATAAATTGTATATTTTTGGCAATTAAATATTTTATAATGGATTTATATATTAATTTTAGTATTTTTCTAATTACCTAAAGGTACAAAACTAAAATGTAAAAATACAGCTAAATAATGAAAGACACTAAGTTTTATAATAAATTATGAAAAATTAAAAATTCTTTAAGATTGTGAAGGAGTGTATTGTATAATTTAATATTTAAACTAGGCAATTTATACTAATAAAGCTTAGTTTTTAAAAACATATACAATTTTGAGGATTCGATTAAAAGTTGCGTATCCTTTATTTCCTTACTAAGCACAGTATTAAATGGAGTTTAACAATAATTACAATTTTCACATTTTTACTATTGACTGATTTTATTAAAAAATTGCAAACTTTTAAAGTCTCAAACCAAAGATAATTTATACCTTTGATAGTATCATGTCCCCCTTAATTTTAGTTTAATATTCTTCAATAAAAATAAATATTAGTATTTGGCCTTTTTACCAGTAATCTGTTTTTAATCCTTTGGTTATTTCACATTCCGTTTTTTCTTGTAAATATGTGATAAAGTAATAATATTAATTAGTTGGGTATACAGTGTGTTCTCAGGAAAAAAAAGTAATAATTAGTTGTATACTTAATTAATTATAACTGCATGCGATACTCTTTAATATGAAAATATTCTATTCTTAATTTTTATTTTGTTATTATTATTATTATCGAATCTGGTTGCGCTACAGAACCTGTAATAGATACTTTGGACTATTTTATATTGAAGGATTAGCAGTTTTGTGGAGAAATGCTACCTTTAGATTTAAAATTATATAGAATGGTTGTTCAGTGTTTACAAAATCAAGTAATGGTTGAATTTTTTCAAAACTAATTAGAATGAACATTACAGCTTTGATTACAGCTACCCAATACTGACTTATGGGTGTGAAACCTGGGTGGTAACTAAAATAGATGAGGATAAAATTAATATTTTTGAAAGAAGAATACTATGCCAAATAAATAGTCATATTATAGAAAATGGAAAACATAGAAAACAAAAGCTAGGAAATTTACCAACTATTCAAAAAACTTATTATCAATGTATATCTAAAAATCAAAAGATTAGATTGAGCTGTTCATAAGTGGAGATTAGAAGGTATGGCAAACCAAATTATTATTGAATTGAAAAAGTCCCGAGGTCGCCCTAGACAAAGATGACTGCATAGTATGAAATCAGATCTTGCCTAAAGGAATAAAAATAGAAGACAGCAAAAACAGAGATAGGTGGAAAAGGGTGGTAGAGGCACCAAAGGTCTCATTAACTATAAAAGCTGATAGAAAAATAACAATGGACGTTATCATATAAGTGTATCAACATCATATTTACCGTTTGATCCCGTAAATATCGATATCGTCTCCTGGAACTCCATAATTGCCCACCAACGGATACGTCAATACCAGCAACTGTTTATAATATGAAGGATCGGTTAAGGACTCAGGATAACCGACAATACCCGTTTGAAATACTAAATAATAATATATGGTGCTATAAATATTATAATAGTATACAACAAAATAATCGACGTACCAACTTCGCCATCAACAGGTAGAACCTGACAACCAAAATTATACCCAGCAAATTCGGTACCGTCTTCTAAAACGAGTACACATGGTTTGCGGTCCATAGCTGTAGTAGATATATTTTCTTGTAAATGATTAAATAGAAGACCGATTAAATAAACAAAAAATCGAACGAAAAACAATAATTGTACAGTAGTGTGGAGTGTAAAATATGAACAGTTCTATAGCTAATTTAAACGGTTTCTTTATCAAAAATGTTCGACTATTAAATAATAGTAACCAATGAAAAAACACGTGACTCCAATATAGCGGTACATTATTTCATAACCTTACTGATTGCCGATTGGTCTTCAAAGACTATATAGATTTACAATATATTTTGATCAGTCAAAATATATCATTATTGTTATCTCTTATAGACCTTAGGGCCCAAGGTCTAAAAAAGACGGGCTTGCAATTCGTCCCAATTTTAAGGGCATATCCCGGTGTCCCTGACGGTCATTCAGTTTGGCCGAGAGAAACATATTATTTAATAATAAAACATACAAAAATATTGTACATTGCATCATTATATCATTATCAATGATAAATACCAGTAAATTATGCCGTAATGACCGTACATATATTTAATTAAAACTAATTAAATCTAAAAAAAAAAAAAAAAAGGTCATTTAGTATCGTTTCCCAGTATGGGGATTTTAAAATCTGGCAATTCTATCTTGGGCTGTCCATCCACGATTTGTGGTTTCATTGACCTACTTAAACATACTTTTCATATTATATTATTAAAAATTTGAATTCATGGCCGATTGTATTAGTTATTATTCGTTACTATTTTTATAATTAACGGTAATTTGTATTCTATTCTTATTAATTGTAAAAGCGCGAATCAAGACATTGATTAAATAGTATGCATATTATTTAATAAAAAATATATTTTAATTAATGTCCAAGGTATTTATTTATTGAATTAATTCATTGTGTTGCCCAGACCAATCCAGATGGAAATATGTGAACACATAAATATTATAACTGTTAAGCGATTAATGTTCCCTATAGCTATTTGATAGGTAATTAAATAAATTGATTACTCGTTTTATAAATAATCAGAACATAACCCCACTTCTGTAAAAATCAACACTATTAATTGTTATGAAATAAAACTATGATGACAGCAGCATATATATTTATATAAACAAAACAGTTATTATATTTTTATTTATTTTATAATATTTATAACATTAATTGTTAAGCATAGAGAAATAATTTTATTTTTGATGTAATCTATATAAATTAACCACATGTAATAAATGGACAAATGAAAAAAATATATAATAATATTATACAATTATCTAAATTACTAAAAAAAAAAAAAAACAAATTCTTTATAAGTAAAACTAACTCAAATAATAATAATCTCTAATTTTAAGGAAATAAAAACATTTTCAACAATTTTTACAAATAAGTATTTACGTTAAAATATTAATGGAATGTGGATTTATTCAGCGACATTGATGGTAATAGTTTTACCTTTAGGATCATCAAATCTATCCATGATTTTGATGTCCATTATCATAGTGATACCCCATGTAACAATAAACAACATAAGGGCACTAACAAATAAACCAGCCAATATGGGCGGTGTAAAGAAAGAGTCTTGTGCTTGAGGATCATTGAATTTTTCATCCCCTGTTGATGTTAACCATGGTTGAACCTAGTAGTAAAAATACAATAATTATTTTTATTGTTGTTCAATTTACAAAGTGTACCCCTATGGGGTGCATTTTGAGTGTAACTGAAAGAAACTAAAAGTAGATAATCAGGAGTAAGATTAGAGTGAAAATATACAGGAAAAGTGTAGAGCCATGAAATGGAATATAAATAGTATAAATATTAATATTAATATAAATAAGAGGCAATTTTTAAAAAACAATTGTTAAACAAACTTTTTTTACGGAGAGTAAGTTAATTATTATTTATTTATTTTGTATGCTTATGGCATTTGACTGGTTTATATCACACAGATGATAATAATAATAGTAAAATAACAAAATAACTACTTTGAATTCTTCAAATCATTTTACTTACAATAGGGTTTTTACGTAATAGAGTATAATAATTAAATTATATTTTTGGGAAAACAGCAAAATTTTAAATGTTTGTTTTTATAATAAAGATTATTTTCTGAGTATTGAAGATTTTGCTTACCACTGCAGTTTCAATATAATTACATTTATGTACTATTAATTATTATTTGTATTTAAAATAGAACTTACTTCAATTAATAGCATTTACTATACATACCCAATGTGATTTAAAGTTAGTAAACAGTTATTTCAAATAATTGTATAAATACATTTCGTTTAACTAACCTGAAATGTATCATTAAATGTCAACACTATAGAACCATTAGTGAAGACCACAGGTCCTTTTGAGAAGTAAGACAAACCAAGTGGAGCACCAATTGTTTGATTGTTTTTTGGTTCAAGTAAAACATTAGCAGAGCCTAATTCAAATTCAATTCCTTTTAATGCCCATGTGAATGTTGTTTTTTCAAAACGAAAACGTAATATAATTTTTTCTTTGTTATATGTAAATGTTGAACCGATTTTTATTGCTGAATCGCGTAAACCAGTGGTTGGCTGTAAAATAAATACATTGTTATTTGATATTTGTTAAAAAATTTATATTTAAAACAATTTTATATACTTCAGAGTTTGTGCCTTCAACTGTAAATGTTACATTATCAGCTGTTAAAGTTGGATAGCTAGCTGAGTATACTAGTGCGTTTCTTATTTTAGAATCCTTTAAAATAAAATGTTTAGATTCAGTAGCCATCAGGTGTCTAGTTACTAAATGATGATTATTTGATAGTCCTGACTTTTCAATCCATGGATTTAGTTTACCAGAAAATACTAAAACGACATTGGTGTATTGTTTGCAAAGATTATTAAACATGTTTGACATATCATTATTATGTTTGAGTAATGTTGATTGTCTACTATGATCTTTCATATTATCTTTTTCATTGAAATCTGCTAAAGCTATAATTTTTCCAGAACTATTATGTATATATGTATTATCATTATAAGCTTTCACAGTGAAACCATTTTTTGATAACATTTCAACAGCTTTCTCTGGTTGATCAACTGATGGGAAGAAGCGGCGATCTTTAACATTTTCAAACAATTGGAATAAACTGTGACCATCAGTACCTAGAAGATAAAACAACAAATTGGTTGTTATTCATACAAATCTGATTATTCCTTGTCAATTTTCCAATGCAGTTTTAGTACAACAGATTAGATTATTATTTTATAACCTGAAAAATTAAAACTTATTGATAATAAATTGTTTTTTGTTAAAAAACTTACACCTAATATGTAGGCACTATTAAGAAAAATATTGAAAAATATAAAAATGTATTCACTCAAAAGATATAATAAAAATAAATATTCAATTACTTATTTTAAAATTATCATGAAATTTATTAAAATGATTACAAAAACACTATCTTTACTCTTTCGGTATATATACAAAAAACATTATCAATGTTGCACTGATAGATTGTATTTATCATTTGGATAGCACTACCCAATAATTTGTATAGTTAAATAAAAAAAAAAAAAAACCGAGCATTTAAAAATAGATAGTTTGAATTGTATAAATTTTAAGAAAAAAATAAACATATTTTCATATAAAAAAAATTTTTTTTTGATGTGAAATTTTGGCAATATTCATAAATAAAGTGTGAAGAATTGTCCCAGGCAAAACAGTGTCTATGATTGAATTACACACGGTATATCAGGTAATTGGAAGAGACGAGTTTCTGTATTTCTCTTATATACGTATGACAGAGATTTAGACGTGTTTTCATTCCAACATACCTAATGACCATGTGAAGCAATAAGAATTCTAGAAACAGATTTTAATTTATTGTCAAGTACTTGAGATTAACTTTACCACTTAACTCCTAAAAAAGGAGTAGGTAATTAAAAAGTCAAATAAGTAAATATCTCAAATACACTTCACTAAGCGATTCGCAGCGATCAGTTTTGTATTTATATTGTCAGAAATTGTAAAATAAAATAAATACTAGGTAGTATTTCCGTCAAATACATTTTGTAACTGAACATAAATAATAGTCATAACATATTATCACATGGTTATAATGTTTATCATTTGAGTAACAATTGAATACAGTACAATATTATTCTGTTTTCTGTACTACAGATACTTCTCAAAATAACAAGTTATGTCCTAAGACAAAAAAAAAAAAATGCAATGTTGATGCCTTATTAAAATGGCATTTAAATTCCAAACCTATTTCACACTTTATATTTTCTACCAAATATATTGCTCCAATAGAAAAACGGTAAGACATTGCATTCATTGCATTTTTAACCTTAATGATAAGTATTTAAGTTGTTCTTTTTAATAATTGAGTAAAAAAACCAGAGAAAGAATGCATGAAACATGAATTTTGGACAGAAAACTTATATTTGACTTTTCTAGAAGTAGTAAAATCATATGAGCCATTTAAGAATTATTTATAGATGTGGGTACTCAATGGTTAAAATTGTGGTTCTCTAGTTTGTGAGTAAGAAAGTTATTTTTAAGTCAGTTTTATTTTCAGTATATTTTTCTTATACCAACGAAAAACCAGAGAAAAACATAAAAAATATGGCAAAGTATACACAGCATTTGGATTTTTTGTTGTTATTAATTTTTTTGTACAAAAATCTACATGATTCGTAGTAAGATTCACCAATGATAGAGCTCTTAGGAAGAATGAAATGAAAGTATAATTGTTTTTATAAAATAGAACATGATTAGTTCTTCTTAGTGGGTTAATTTTATTGAGGGAAATAAATGTGTTTCACTATCATAATTTGTATATTTAAAAAAAAAAAAAAAAATTTATTTAATAAAGCTGTTCATTTAAATAGGTAGATATGAAGTTTTTTTTACCTAGAAAATATTATTATTAGGTAGAACTGGAAAAAAACACTGACTGCATAAAAAAATATGCAAATACCTAATTAATAGATTAATGTTGATACATTAATAATGAAAACTGTACATATTCTGTACAAATTGTTGGGTTTATATTACCTTTCATGGTGAAGTCTTCGAGGCTTAGTTCATCATCTAAAATCACGATGACTTTAGTATCATCATTCCAGAGAGATGCAAGTAATTTTTTAAACCCTAAAGTGTCTATAGATGGTTGATACTTGGGTAAAGTAAGTAGTGGAGTAATTCCGCAAGAAATAGCTATGGTCGGTACATAATCGCCGGTGGTCAGCGAAATAGCGCACAAACAACCGAATATTAAAACTGGATACATGGCCATTTTCACAGAAATAACACTGCTTAGTTATTCACAGAGTAAAAAGCATCCTCATTACTCGTTGAATATTCCTAGATGAAAATATAAAAGTGTTTTACTTTTGCCTAATAAACTGATAAGAAAAAGTATCGATAAAGGGAAACGCCCGGAATCTAACAGTGTAACCACATGTTTTATGGTCAATGGTTAGGTTGGGCCTACCTATTAAAAGGTAATAGGGCTGGTTTCATAAATGTATTATACCAGTGGTTCTCAATCTTTTTAGGACCGCAACCAAAACTTTCTTCCGAAAATCCATCGCGACCCGCTGCACGGTTTCACCTTTCAAAAAGTAATTTATGAAAACAGCTAGGAAAATCAAAAAATGACCTTAAAGTACAACTTCAGTCGGATTTCCTTTCAGAAAAAGTGCTGTACTTGAAAATCTTTGGAAAATTGCTGGTAGAAAAGTTGTTCCCAGATAAAAAAAATAATAAACATCATTGTAAAATCAATACATTTCTCGCTCCGCTTAGAAAACTTAAATTTCTTGGAATCTATAAAATTCCAAAAAATTTTCGAAACCCATAAAAATTAATTCGGGACACACCAGTGGGCGCGACACACAGTTTGAAAAACGCTGTAATGATTATACTATTGTTTAGCCCAAGCCTGTTTGAAGAACCAATCCAACACTGGCTTCTGTTGTAGACTTGTTCCTTGTAGGTGAAAAGTTGGGAATGTATGATATAGTTAGTGGGTAATTTAATGTACATGTATACGTAACGATTAATCATTAGTAATGAAAAACGATTTTGAGCGAAGTTAGGTTATCCATGATTTGAAAAGCCATAATATTTACGATTTTCGTCAAAATCTGATATTAAAATTTTTATAAAAAAAAATTATACATTAAGGGCACACTAATTTTTTTATTACTTTAAAGTACCATAATTTATTTAATTTTAGATTCTGAGTGTAGCGAAAAATGTATTGGTGTTACTAAGATGTTTATTTTTTCTTTATATTGTATACACAAATTCTACCAAATATCTTACTCAGATATATAAGCGCGGCACCATTTCTGAAAGGAAATGTTGTCCAGATGGTACTTTTGGGGGGTAATTTTTTGATTTTCCAAGCGGCTTTCATAATATCTGGGAAAAACCAGGATAAAACATAAGAAAAAAAGAAATTCATGAAAATAATGCTTTTATTATTTTTCAATTTTGTCATTTGTTGTAATTTAGTTAAAAATGTTCATAGAGACCTGAAATTCAAGCAGAAAACACAAATTTTATTTTTCTAGACATGGTAAAAGTTTCGAAACATTTGAGGCCATTTTAAGGCTTTTTATAAAAATTTAAATATTTTTATTTTTAAAAAAGTAACTTTTTATTTTATTATTTTTGGAAAATTTTAAGATAGACATTTTAATGTATCACACATTTATATCCTATGAATGGTTTCTAAGTAACATCCATTTTCAATTCTACTAATCCTTGTAAAAATTTGTAAAATTCAAACTCTTATTGTAGGATTTATAAATATAATTTTTAAAATTGAAGTCCATTACGCCTTGTAAGAAGTTTTCCTCTTTTTAACAAAAAAAATTATCAAAATCTGATTTTTCTATGAGGCGTAAGTTTTTCCTGTAAGGCATGTTTCTGAGGAAAAAACAAGTCACGCACAGTCTCCTTAATAAAAAAAAATATAATTATTTGTAGTCCTTATCTCTTTAATTAATATAAAAAAAAAAAAACAGAATTTGATTATCTTTATTATCTCTGGAGATATTCAAAATGTATATCTTCGTGGGATAGCCTGTATATGGTTGACAAAGCATCACTTTCAACTAAATTCTGCTTAGAATCGTTTTTTTTGTAAGCAATGGTTTATTGTTGCTTACAGGTATACATTTAATTACCTATAACAGTAGCTGCACCCATCCCCATTATCCTAGGACATCTTTTTTATTTTTAGAGATGTTTATTTCAAGTAGGAAAATAATTAGTAAAATTACAGATATTTGTATGAATAAAATTTGTACATATTTATATCAACATAATACTTATTTTATATAATACCAAAGAACCAGTTCAATTAAGACTTACTAGGACTTACTAGACATTTACTGTTTATTAAAATTATTAAAACTAAGACAATTGAGTTTTTACAATTTTTCATAAAAAAAAAACCGATTCCGGAATGATTTGTTTAATATAGTACGATAGGTACAACAAATTAATGAAAAAATATTAAAATAAAAAAAATATATCATACACACAATATTTTAAAAGTAAATATTTAACAATATTGTAAGATTTTTAGCATTAAAATAATATCATAATTTTATTTGAAAGGTACAATAATTTAATAAATTAATATACATAATTAATGTAAATCACTGACTTATAATATCATTGATTTTATAATATATAATAAAAGCAATGATAATACCTAATATATATGTATTAATATTAATATATTTAAAACTTATATTCATAGTATAGGGTAAATTAATAAATTGACACATTATAGGTATTCTCAAGTATCTATTGACAATTTTCATATTTTACAAAATGTACATTTTTAAAAATACAAAATAAAATATTTATAGATATATTAGTATATTTTAGTAAATTTGAAAAAAAAAATAAAAAATAAATAATCTGTGTAACATTTTAAATTAAGATACTCTTTATAGCAATTAGTACCATGCTTTTTAAATTGTACATTGTTATAAGTTTTATAACATAATAAACGTATATTATTGTAACTAAAAATCAAATTTTTATATTAACAAAGCAAAATGAAAAAAATGTATATATGCTATTAATTAACAAAATATGTGATAGTAAATATGTGATCTTAGTGGATTTCCAAAATCAAAGTGAATAATAACCATAAACTCATTTTATAATGATATATGTGTATATTTTACAAATTGAATTGATTTTTAATTTTTTTGTTTAATAATAAAATTAATTACAAGCAAAATACTGTTTTGTAGTCAATAACTCATGGTGATATGTTATTGAACTTGTTCAGAAACAATATTTGGTTAACATTGATCTGTAGTATAATCATTTTGAATCTTAATAAAAAAAAAGTTAAAACAATACTTAATACAAAACAAAATAATAAAATCCATAATAAAATTGTTCATGAATACAACAAATTATGTCACCTAAGAAACAATGTACATTATGTTAATAAGTTTTAATTAATTTTACCTTTTACTAATTTTGACATTTAAAAAAATAAATTAAGATACAACTGGACCTTTGTCTTTATTTGTATTCTTTCTAGTTATTTTAATTATTTTTCCATTTTGTCCTCTTATAGATACACTTATAGTGTCTGAAAAATATAAAAAAAATTCAATAAGTGTACTATATCATTTATATTTAATAATATTTACTCACTATCATCACATCTGCAGTCACACATTCTTTCAAGATTGACTTGTAAAGGTAAAAGTTTATACTTCACTTGTTGTTCAGCAACCCAAGTACTTGAAGTAGTAATATCATAGTTGTTATTTACAGTAGGGGATTTAGTTTTATTGTCATTATTTGAATTCTGATCTTTGCTATTTTCTAATATAAATGGCATAACTTTAGTTGATGCCGTTCCATTTTGAACATCATTTTTAGCCTGTGCAATCCTTTGTCTAGCTAATTTCCTCCGTTTTTTTAGAACTTTAAGGTGTTTTTTAACATTTTTATATCCCACAAATTGTTTGTTAGCTTCTTCTTCAGAAAATCCTTTGAAACCTAAATTTCCTTTTAACTTCATCAGTTGTGAATGAATAACATCTCGTTTTTCACTTGGAAATATTTCTGTGTGGTCAAAACCTTTAAATCCATCATCCTGGTTTTTAATTTTTGCATTATTTCTAAATTTCTGAAGTTTCTCATAACTAACAGCAATATCTTCAGAAGTAAACCCTAAGAATCCATCAAATGGTATTTCATTCTCAAGTGGTAGTGTACTTGGATTTTCAGTTTCTGTGCATGCAGTTGATGAAGTACTAGCAGATTCATTTATTTGAATGCTAGTACTACAGCAAAGTATTTGGTTTTTTTGTTTACACATTGTGATTGATGATGTAGAAGCAATTAAAGGAAAATTAATTTCATTAGATAAAATAGATGATTTTGTAAATTTTAATTTTTTAGTGCTAAAGTCATTGTCATGGTGGCGTTTTTTACTTATGCTATTATTGATAGAATCTGTTTGATTTGAAAATATTTTTAATTTTTGTTTGGGAACTTTTAAAACTTCATTAGAAACATATTCACTTTTAATAAAATTAGTGTTTGTATTCATACTTGATGGTTTTAGTTTCTTTTTATTTAGAACATTTTCAGCCTGTTTATTGGGCTCTGAATCAATTTTAATTGATTTGTTTGGTTCTGATATTTTCTCTAGTTTATTAGATTCTAAATCTATGTCCATTCGTTCATTTGATTCTAAATCAATTTGAACTTGTTTGATTGGCTCAGAAATTATTGGAGCTACTTGTTCATTGGGTTTTGGTGTTATTTCAACTTGTTTATTAGGCTCTAAAGTTACTTTCATATTCACATTGGATTCTAAAGTTATCTGGGAGTGTTTATTGCTTTTATAAATTGTTTCTACTTTTTTAATGGATTTTAATCTAATTTTCTTTTGTTTATTTTTATATTGTTTTTGAATTTCTATTGAAATTTCTTGTAGTTTTTGGGGATCTAAACCTATTTTACAATGTTCACTGGATTCTGAAGTAAATAAACTTTGTTGATTGAGTTTTGAAAAGATTTCCAGTGACTTATTGACTTTTAAAACTTTTTTAATATTTTTAGATGATTCTAAACCAATTTCGTTTTGTTTATTGAGTTCTTCAACTTTTTTAATATTTTTAGATGATTCTAAATCAATTTCTTTTTGTTTATTTAGTTCTTCAACTTGTTTAATGTGTTTTTTTAGTTCAGTATCAATTCTTATTTGTTCAGTGAGTTTTGAATGTTTCAAACTTTCAATTTGTCTATTTGATTCTAAAGCCATTTTAATATGTTCTGAAGGTATTCTAATGCCTTTGTTAGGATCTGAAGATATATTAAGTGGTTTTTTATGTTTTAAAGCTATTGGCAATTGATTTATAGCTTTTTCTGAAATTGGCCATTGTTGTTTAGGTTCTGCAGCTATCACAACTTGTTCATTCAGATCTGATTCTATTTTAGCATGTGTTTTTGGTTCTGAAGTAATTTCAATTTGTTTATTGGATTCTGCTGAAACATTCAGTTGGCCTTTTAATTCTATTTGTTCATGGTTTTTGGGTTCTGGAGGTATTTTTACTTCTTTAGTGCATTCGGAAACTTTTTTAAAGCATTTGTTTGGTTTTAAAGTTATTTCAACTTGTTTCTTGTATTCTGCAGCTATTGCAATATGTTTATTTGGGTCTGATTCTAAGTTAACATGGTTTTCGAGTTCAGAAGATATTTTAATGGGCTTATTAGTTTCTGAAGATATTTTACGTTGTTTATTAGCTTTTGATGATACATCAACTTGTTTATTATCTTCTAAACCTAATAAAACTTGTTCATTGCATTCTGAAAGTATTGATATAGGTTTCTGGGCTGCTGAAGTTGAGAGTTGTTTTTTAAGTTCTGCAGCTATTTCAGTTTGTGTATTGGGTTCTGGAACGGTTCTTATATTTTTTTTTAGTTCTGTATCTATTTCCAATGGCTGTTCAAGGTTTAAAGGTAATTTCACTAATTTATTAGACACTGAATTTTTTTCCATACTTACATTTGGTTGAAAAACAGCTGTACCATCTTTTAAATAAGTTGAAGCTATTTTAACTTGGTTATTGTGTTCTGATGATACTTCCCTTTGTTTTTTAAGTTCTGGGAAAGTTTCCACTTGATTTATAGAATCAGAAGATATATTCATTGATTTATTTAACACAGAATCTGTTTCCATTAGTTCATTTGTTTTTAAAATAGTTTGTAATTGTTTAATAGGTTTTGAATTTTTTTGAATTTGTTGATTAGATTCTGAATTTATTTCTTCAATTTGTTTATTTGATACTGAAACTCTTTTAGCTTGTTTGTTTGGTTCTGGAGCTATTTCTGCTTCTTTATTGTCTCCTGAATGTAACACAACATATTTGTTGCATCCTAAAATTATTGATGATTGTTGTTGGGTATCTGCTGAAATAGTATGTGGTTTAGTAGAATTTGCAGCTATTAAAGCATATTTATTGCCTTCTGAAACTATTTCCACGGCTTTTTTTAATTGAGAAGTTACTGTAAGTTGCTTATTTGGATCTGCAGTTATTTCAAATTGTTTATTAGGTATTAATGCTATTTCTCCGACTTGTTTATTACATTCTGAATTTGAAACAATTTTAACAGGTATTTTTGGTTCTGTAATAATCATATCTTGAATTTTAAAATTAGCAATGTTTTGGGGAGATTCTGTAGCAATTGTATCAATTTGTTTATAATATTTTGAAACTCTTTTAATTATTTCTAAAGCTATATTTATTTTATTACCATTATTGTATAGTTGTAAAAACATTTCAGTTAACCCTGAATCTGTTTCTACTTGTTCATTTAGTTCTGAATCCATGTTTTGCTCTATTCTTAATGGAAAGAAAACTTGTTTATTGTATTCTAAATTTTGTTTATCTGAAAATATTTGTAATTCTTTATTGATTCCAACGGTTGTTTGGTTTAGTGTAATAAAACCTAAAGGGTTCATTTGTTTTCTTTGTTTTAGTTCAATTAGCTTATTAAATTGTGAAATAATATCAACTAGATTATTGCAATTTAATTTTATTTCCCCATGTTTTTTTAGTTTTGAAGCTATTTCCATTTGCTGTATTTGTTTTGAAGCTGATTCACTTTGTTTATTGATTTCTAAAGTTTCTAAATGTTTAGTTATAGTTGTATTTTTGTCTTCAGGTTGAAGAATTTTCACATGACTGACATTGTCTTTATTATTTATTTGATTTACAGTAGTATTAATATCAGTACTATTATGAAGTAACAAATTTCTATTTTTTAATTTTTCAGCACTTTTATGAGAATTTTCACAAATTGATAATAAAATATTGGCAGCATATTCTTCATCAGTTTGAATACGAATAGCAGGAGCAGGAAATTCATTTTTCTCTTCTAATGAGCATTGGTTCATTCTTGCATCAAATTGGTTACTTTTAAAATTATCTGAAATGGATAATTTATCCTCAGGTTTATCAACAATGATTTCACCCCATTTTTGGTTTTTTTCTTCAATACTTCGATACTCAATAGAAGGAAATTTATATCTCTCCTCTAATAAACGTTCCTTTATTTTTGAATCTGATTGGTTACTTTGAAGATTTATGCTACTTGGAATGGATAATTTTTCAATGTCTTCACACAGTTTTTGTTTTTTCTCTACAACATTTGGATAATCAATGGAAGACAATTCATTTTTCTGCTCTAATGTGTGTTTATTTCTTTTTGTATCCAAATGGTTGCTTTTAATATTTGAGCTATTAGAATTGGATAATTTTTCAATATCTTCACTCTTTTTTTGTTTTTTCTCTACAACATTTGGATAATCAATAGAAGGCAATTCATTTTTCTGTTCTAATGTGTGTTTATTTTTTTTTGTATTCAAATGGTTGCTTTTATTATTTGAGCTATCTGAAATGGATAATTTATCCTTAGGTTTAACAACGACGGATTCACTCCATTTTTGTTTTTTTTCAATAATTGAACAATCAAAAGAAGGAAATGTGTTTTTTTCTTCAAATAAGCGTTCCTTTATTTTTGTAATTGAATGGTTACTTTGAAGATTTATGCTGCTTGAAATGGATAATTTTTCAAAATCTTCACTTTGTTTTTGTTTTTTCTCTACAATACTTGGATAATTAATAGAAGACAATTCGTTTTTCTCCTCTAATGTGTGTTTATTTCTTTTTGTATCCAAATGGTTACTTTTAAGACTTGAGCTTTTTGAAGTGGATAATTTTTCAATATCTTCACTCTTTTTTTGTTTTTTCTCTACAACATTTGGATAATCAATAGAAGGCAATTCATTTTTCTGTTCTAATGTGTGTTTATTTTTTTTTGTATTCAAATGGTTGCTTTTATTATTTGAGCTATCTGAAATGGATAATTTTTCAATATCTTCACTCTTTTTTTGTTTTTTCTCTACAACATTTGGCAAATCAATAGAAGGCAATTCATTTTTCTGCTCTAATGTGTGTTTATTTTTTTTTGTATCCAAATGGTTGCTTTTAATATTTGAGCTATTAGAAATGGATAATTTATCTTTAAGTTTATCAACAACAACGTCTTTACTAGTTTCTTTTCTATTTTTATGATTATTAGAGGAAGCCTTGGATTTATCAGATGTTGAACTTTTATTTTTATTGATACTATTTTTTTGTTTTGAAGATCCTCCTGCATTACTATCATCGTCACTTCGATGATCATTCAACAATTTAGGTTCTTTGCAAAGGCTTGAAGATTTCTCCTTTTTATCTGATCTAGAATCTTTTCTATCTCTTTTTGGCGTTCTATCACGGTCAGAGTTAATTGTTTTTTTATCGTTTTTATATTTTTTGCTTTTATCCTTAGAGTCACTGTAACGTTTACTATAGCTACTAGTACTACTAGTTTTTCGTTCTTTAGAACTATTACTATAATTTTTTTTAACATCATAATTTTCTCTACTCGAAGATCGACTATTAGCATTAAGATCTTTGGATTTTTGTATACTAGATTTTTCTTGACTACTTGTGCTGGAAGGCTTACTTATTTTTGAAGAATGATATTTATTTTTAGAATTTAAATCATTAGTCTTAAGCTTATCTATATTATTAGAAATTTTATCAATATCGTTTGATTTATTATTTGTATTATTATTATTATTTTTGTTATTGATAATACCATTTTTATCCAATGGAATTTGTTGTGATTTTTCAGTAGAATTTGTATCTACATCAAAGGCATTTTGTGATTTTTCAATCAAATTTATATTATTAGAAGTGTGTGGTGATTTTTCAATTGTATTGGTATTTGGTTCAAAGCCATTAGAGTAAGTTTCATGATTTTCATTGGAAACTAATTGTATAGGGCTACCTATACTGACTAAATCTGATATACCAGAAATGCTTTCATCATGACTGTTTTCATTATCAAGAACTGAATCTATAGGTTCAAATTCAGGAGAGATTTCTTCAATATTTTCCATGTTGTCTGTTTCTGAGATAAAATTTAAATTAAAATAATATTTGCATTTACTATGGTAATTAATAAATATATATTAATTTGAAATATTAGATTATGGCTATGGCTAACTTACCTATTTTAGGATCAGGAACATTGTTTACTGTATCCTCAGTATTTTCCAAATCTGCACTAGACTGATTTAAACCTTTAAACGAACATTTAATTTGTAAATATTATAATCTTAACTGTGATCAGATGTTAATTTAATTAATACAACAATTTATTTTTTATTTATTTTTAACATTTATTTAATAATTGTACATTTAATAATAACACTAATTATATGTTTAAAAGGACAATATTAAACATATTAATATTATGTTTCTTGGTATAATTCAGTCATTTAATAGTTTTATCAATATCTAGCTAAAAATAAATTTACATATCAGTATTAGTATATACAACAAGATAGAAGTATAAAATCTCTTTTTCCTTTTCAGATGAAGGAATTCTACCATTAATAATTAAATTAAGCTCTATTACACCCACACCGAAATCAGGAAATTTGTTTAATGCATTAAGTTATTAACCTATCTAATTTATCCTTATACAGTTTCATATTGCAAAACTATTTGAATCTCAAATTTGAAAATGATTTCAGCCAACAGTTAATGGAATTTTGATAAAAGATTAATATGGTTTTCATTCTGATCAATCTACACTCTCGTGTAATTTTGTATTTAATAGAATACAATAGAGTCATGTCTGATTTTTTCTGTTTTTGCTAAACAATTGTAGTATTATCTGAGTAAGAGTAAATTAATGATAAAAAGAAAATTATGAGAAAGGTACTGAATGACAACTAATATATTACCTACATTATTTTTTAGAAATAGTTAGGCACATATTTAAATTTACCGTGTACCTTTATTAATATGTAAATAAATGAACAATTAATGGATAGATATTCAAAATTAATAAAAAAAAAATTGAACATGTTTTTGGGGAATATTAATTACTGAGGCACATTATTCTAAATTTTGAAAGAAGACAATGAGTTTTTTTTTTTAATCAAATTAGTAGTTAACAAATAATATTAGCATTACATTTAATTTTTTTTCAACCTAGTTATAAATGTATAATATCACAGCATAATAGTTTTATAAAATGATTGGTATTTATTGTAAATACGTAGTAGTGCAAATATAATGTAGTTAAAATAGAGAATACATAATGTCTTCTATAATACAATAACTAAGGCTGTGAATTTAATGTGCCAAAAAAATTACATTAAATGTGTAATTTTTTAAAGCATTAAAAAATGCATTTAAAATGTCAAAAAATGCAATAGAATATGCACTTAAAATGGTTTTTAATTTAATTTGTATATTTATATTGATTATAAGGATGTTATATGCATAAAAATGTATTCATTTAATAAAAAAAATATAAAAATGTTTCTCGAATTTAAATTTTGATTTTGAAGTGGTTTGATTCTTTAATAATTCCATTTACTTCAAACATTTTTTTATGTATTTATTTTGTTAAAATAATAAAACAACTTTAAAATTTTATAATATATAAATTTGACTTGTATACAGTTTCTGTAAAACAAAAAAAAATGTTTTCAAAGATGTTAATTGACAGAATTTGATTAAAAATACGGAAAAATATGACCTAAAAAGGTAAATAAATTAAAAAGTCAAAAAATGCAAAATAAAAGTTTCATAAATGGATTTGTTGTTTACTAATTCAAATTATGAACTTACAAAGCTACGTTTTTCTCAATCACCAAATAAAAAAATGCACTTTCTTACAAATTCACAGCCCAAATAAAATTAGTAACAAATAAAATATTCTAAAAACATACCATTTTCATTAACTGGAGGTGCTTCTATTTTGATTCCTAAGTATTCGTTTACAGCTAATGCTATTTGTGGTTCAAATACATTTAACATCCTGGGTGCCAGTACTTGAGTAACTATTCTATCAGCACCTTTTTCAATTTCAAGACTGTCGGGTCTAGAAAACATATTTTAAATTTCAATGAAAGCATTTATTTATCTTAGATGAATTTATTGAATTGTAAATTAATAAATATTGTGTATGAACAATAGAGTTGTTCATATCTAGATTTTAAATAATTTCAAGCACTCCCTAGATGGATTTCAAATAATGGAATAAGTATTGTCAAATTTTTTTATTTTCTCCCTTTGTTTCTCGATTTTGTAAAAACTATTGTTTGTTATTAAATTATAGTTTAGTTTAGTTTCAATATAATTAAGTTATTAAAAACTGTTATTTTCAGTAAATGTTATTATATTTACTGAAAGTGTAACTAAAATATAAATGACAATTTTTTAATTTTTAATTAACATTTGTTTGTTAATGGTTGCTTTTATATTTAAAACTCTAAAGAGATGCTTTGCAAGATAGATTGTAGGTTAGAGGTTGAGAAGTAGGTTAGAAGTTGGAAAGTAGGTTTGAAGTTGGGAACATAAAGAGATGGATATTTTACGTAAATCTGTACACAAAAATTAATTAAAAGGCCATAAAATTTAGAATTTTTATAAAAAAAATTGATATAAAAATTCTTATAAAGAAAAATTTTATATTACACTCAATTTTATTTATAGCCACTAAAATTTTATCCTCAGATACCTACCAAATAAAAATTATGTAAAAACTAGAAAAATTAAAATGTCCATAAGTAGCTCAAAAATAGCTAAATTTTTTTGAAAATTTAACCATACTGATGCTCATGTGATACAGACCTAGCAACCTCGAAGACCTACAATCAGTACTAAAACGAGGCGGAAGAACTTCTGATACAGTTTGTTATTAGATCATTTAGGGTGAAATTTGGAGCAAATTGGACGGCTAAAATACTGTAATGAGGAAAGAAAGGGGAAACTACTTTATTATATTCCTATGTTAAACGGGGAGAAAAGACATGAATAGGAAACATATAAACACAAACGATTAGAAGCGGAACCCAGAGTCCGACAGCACAAGGAGGAGCAGGGCTTCCCAGATTTTCATCTAGCGAAAAACCAGGTCACATAGTTAGTTTAAAAGATCATACTAGAATAGGTACTTGGAATGTAAGAACTTCATTGAACTCCGAAAAATTAGAAGAGTTAAAACGGCAGATAAGAGAAAATCAGTTAGATATTCTAGGAGTATGTGAAACATAATGGACTAACAATGGTAATATCCGGAGCAATAACTTCAAATAATACACAGAGGTGTTAAATAAAAATTATGGAATATGTGTAGAAAATAGCTACCACATGAATGCTAGAATACTGTTAATTAGGATTAAGACAGCTCAAGTAAACACGACCATAATACAAGTATACTTCACAATATCAAATAGTGATGAAGAACTAGAACAAATATATAACATCCTAAAAGAACTCATAGAACAAACACATAATAAAGACAACATAATTATAATGGGAGATTTTAATGCAGTGGTTGGGAATGGAACTGATGGTAATGAGGTACGAAAATATGGACTGGGAACAAGGAACTAGAGAGGAAGCAGACTAGTCAGCTTCTGTAAATTAAACGACTTTGTAATCACAAATACATTTTTAGAAGTAACATTAAGGAGACAATACACGTGGACCACCACTGTTCGAGTAGTTCCTAAAGGAACCTCGAAGTTGATAACAAGTGCAACAAGGACAGAAGAGTCGACTTTATTTTCTAATAGTCCCTTCAAAAAAACAATACTTATGGAACGCCAACGTTCTACAGTGAAACTAGAGTGAGCACTTTAGAAACTGGGGTGTAGTCATGAGGATCACAGGAATGTTTAACAAGTATAGAGAATCTCAAAAACCTGAGTTGAACTCTTTCGATCTACAAGGAATAGTCGGTGGTATGAGGATCCCAAACAACCGCTCCATATTCCAAAATTGGGCATACAAGAACAAGGAAAAGAGACTTAACCGATAGTCCCAAGTGAAATCACGCGCCAATCTCATAATAAAACCAAGAGTTTTAAGAGCCTTGCAACATATATAATCAATATGGGGGCCAGGATCAAATCTAAAATTTATATAAAACCAAAGTCCATAACATTATTAGAAACACACATAATATCAACATAAGTTGATAAGAAAAAGAGACAGGTGAGCAAGTCCTAAAAAAATACATTACTTTACATTTGAAGAGATTAAGAGACATTCCTAACTTTCCAAACCACTCAGAAAACCTGATAAAGTCATTCTGTAATTGTATACAGTCATCAATCGAACAGACCCGTGCATGAAGCTTAATGTTGTTTACAAAGTAGAGTAGGTGGAAATACCATAAAGAATTATGAAAACTGTTGATAAATAAAGAAAAAGTAATGGAGAGAGGTGGCCCCCTTGAAGAACACTGGAAGATGCTAAAATACATAGGAATTAATACCAGAACACCTAACCCACTGATATTGATCACTAAGGTAGGACTATATCCCGAAAACAATAGGTTACACATAGTAGGTGAACGCCTAGGACGAAAACCATGTTGCTCCTCCATGAGAATATTATTAATAGATGGCTAAATATTGGATAAAACTATAGATTCAAAAATGTTTTAAGTAAATGATTAAATAGAAATTGGGCGACAATTTGAAACAATTCCCTGGTTACCAGACTTAAAGATAGGCGTTATAGAACTGAATTTAAGCAGAGGGAAAAATACCCTCATAAAGTGACAATCTAAATAAGGTCCATAAGGTCCAAACAGGAAAGGCTATGACATCCCTTGGTTCACATAAGAAATGCCCTGAAGGGCTATCAAGGTCAATAAACCAGACCCTTTTTAAGGCTAATAGGCAGCGATATACATCATTGACTGTAAAAACAATATTGTTCAGTAGATCAAAAGTGGGAATATCTAATTCACTAGCATCAAAGCGAGTTTGATCAGATGAGTAAACTAACAAAAAATAGGATGAGAACAGGTTAGCAATCATCTGGTCATTAGTAGAGATAATGTTGTTAAAGGATATTTTCTTTGGGGATTTTATTACGAGAGTGATTATTTTTTACATATTTCCACAACTCGCATGGTTTGTGCTTAAGCGAAAGTTTAACTTGTTCTACATAACGATAAAGTTTTTCGATTCATATTTAAACCTGGTACGAAGAAACGAGAATTCACGATAATTAGAAAGACAAGTTGATTTAAAACTGCTTTTTTTTAAAAAAACTTTTTTCTTGAGGGCAAGAATGCGTTTTAGATCTTTGTTGAACCAAGGCGGAAAAATTGACTCTATAAACATAGCTGTAGGCACGAGATTGAGTATTTATTAATGCAAAGCATCATAGAAAAGGTTGAAAGTTGTATCAGCGTCACAGGGTAAAAAGTAGAGTTCCAGTTAACAGATACCAAGAACAAACGGATAGCTTCATAATTTGCTTTTGGAAAGTTGAAGTGCGAGTGGTCACGATTACAATGAGGTAGGGGAGAAGACACAATGGGGAGGGATATAGACACAATCGATAATAAATTTGGAGGCACTAGAGGAAAAAGGGACGAAGATGTTCTACATTTGACTCAAGAATCGAAATACAAAAGTGAAGGTAAGTCTTTATGAACAACAATGAGGACTCTTCCCCCTCGGAGACATGAACTGGTAGAGGAACACATATCAAACCTATTAATATTATAATTAGCAAATCCAAGTTCACAATTTGAGAAATTATCAGTTAACCATGTTTCAGTAAGAGTGATAAAAATAGAGTTAAGAGAAGGTACATTAAAATTAAGATTAGACAGCTTTGTGCGAAGGCCGCGACAATTTTGGTAGTATCTATGGGCGCTGGGAGAAGTGGATCACTCGTTAAGCCTGTTGTCGACCGTGGCTATAGGTTTTTGACAGAGAGATTACACTTGGTGTTCCATTGGTAAAAAATATAGTGAGATTGGATTCCCCCGCAGCAATACGACGATCGAGTTCTTGGTGACACGTCTGAAATAGTTGTCGCTCAAGTGGAGTTTTATCCCGAACAAGGCTTGAGAGTGGAGATAAGTGACAACACAATTTATCTAAGGATTGGCCCCGTCAAAGCAGTAGAAGCTGCATCAGGGAAAGCGAATATAACTTTGACTGGCCATGAAATAGTATAGGATGGTTTACCAAGACGAATAGATAAATTCGATTGGTATAGCATTAGAAAGTTTAGAAAAAATACCGCGAAGGATATTTTTGTCGTCATAAATTTTGACCGAGAGGTCAGTTGAAGACGATTCCGATATGCTATATGCAATGACGTTAGACTTGCACCGGTCACACACAGTGAACTCATGGATAATATCGGAGACAGAAGTACTATTGGTAGTAATAATGACAAGGGGTGATTTAGACTCTAATGCATGCACTTTAGATTCAAGAAAATCGACTTTATTACGTTGTTTAGAAATTTCAAGAGTGCATCGAACCGGTCCGTAAAAAAGTTAATACTAAATTTCAGCTCATCGCCCACAGTTTGTTTTGAGATGTCTGAAGACGATTTATTGCTTTTAGGATTTCTTCATTTGATGGAGAGGGCATGATAGAACCGGAGAGGGTTTTAGACAGAGTCGGTTTGGTATCAGTCATATTATCAAAGACAGTAGCAATGAATGAATAAAAATAATGGTAAACCACAGTTTTATTTTAAAATGACAATAGAGGTAGAAAACACTAAACACACTATGTGTGTATAAGTAGTTAAAGAAAATAACTGAGTGTTTCTACGTCCGCATTGTATACGGTAAGTGAGACGGATATGTATAATACTGGTTTTATCACCATATAGGCAATGTGGCGATAACTTCAGTGAAGCACAGCGGCCGTTATCCGTTGTGTCGATAAAAATATTAAAATAACTCACGTTTACGGCGACCGTGTATATAGATTGAAGCCACTTAAACTTTCCAACAGGAAAATAATCAGGGGCAACAAGTACAAAAACGGCACCAAAAACACTCACACTAATTTAATAAACCGTTGGATACAAAAAATACGAAATACAAACCAATAAAACCCAAAGAATTAAAAAAAAAATGTAGAAGGGAAGTAATTATAAAACGAAACATAATCCATACAACCGGTAAAGACTGACTGAATTATTGATTGATTGATACTATTTAATATCTATAATATAATATTATAGCATAATATTAACCAATGGAAAATAAAATCTGTCATGTACCTTGACTAATAAATGGTTAAATATTGCAATATTCATATTTGCAAAAACTTCAAAAAATCGTAGAAAATAAAAGAACATACTTTAACAAAAGTTTCAACCACCAAAATTTTTATAAAAATCTATTTTACAAGATGGCTGTTTTGAATTTTTTAAAAATTTTAAATTGTTTATTTTAAGTAAAAAAAAAAAAGTTCAAATATAAACTGTAACACAGAGATATACTAATTATTTAAAAAAAATATATATCAATAATATTAAATAGAACAAAAGTTATTGCATTTGTTGAATCTTCATGGGACACACTGTATACTGGTCAAATTACGATACAAGCTTTTCTAGATCAGAAATAGTGATCATTAATTTATCATGATGAAATGTAAAGTTACACTTAAGAAATATAAGAGATGGTACAAATACAAGATACGTGATCCCAGTAAACTCAAAATGGAAGAATAAAGGATAAGCTACCCATGTAAAATAAATAAAATAACAAAATAAATGGACACTCACAGTATGTGGACGTGAGAAGATATGAGAAAAAATATCAAAAAAACCACTAAAAAATCTATTGGATATTTAAAACTGACTTCGAAGAAACCATAGAAAACAAATGAAATTATGGAGTTGATAAAACAAATAAATAATTTCAAGAAAAAGATGAAACGATTTATAAGTGTAAGGAAGCAAAGGAGAAATGGATGGACCAGTATATTATGCCAAGATATTCAGAATAATGTATCCTCATGTAATATAGGAAGAATACAGAGTATCATAAAAAAACTTTCAAGGAATCCAAAAACAAAAGGCACAGTGGTTTAAAACAAACAATGAAACATTGTAATAAGAGAAGAAAAAATAACAATGAGGTGGAAAAAATATTTAGAAAATGTATATAATGGAAATTATGAGATGCCAGAGAATTATGAAGAGATAAACCATACCAAGGAAGATGAAATAGGACTCAGTATAATTAAAAGTAAATTCATCAAAGTGATCCATGACTTGAAATCAAATAAAGCAACAGGTATAGATGAAATAACAGCTGAATTATGTAAAGTTACAGGAGAAGACACTAGATATTTTTTATTTAAAATGGTAGAACAAATATACAGAGAAGGCGTAATTCCAAAAGATTTTACACAAAGTAGAATTGTGTTTATTCGCAAAAAAAGGAATCAGAGTTCAATAACTATAGAATTAACAGTCTTCCCACAAACACTTTAAAAATAGAAAAGTAAATTTGGGAGAAGACCAGTTTGGATTTAGGCAAGGAATCCCCATTCCTGGGGACCAGAGAAACTATTTTAGCCTTGAGAACAATTGCAGAAAGAAGACTAAATATGAACAGGAATACATACATAGGGTTTATTGATATAGTAAATTGGAATTTATTAATGACACCCTTGAAAAGAACTAGACTGGATTGGATAGACAGAAGAATTATTATGGAACTATACAAAGATCAAGAAACAATAATTAGAATGGGAGATTGTGTATCTACAGCTAGAATTCGTAGAGGAGTGGGACAGGGCTGTACATGCAACAATTTCTAACAATTTCATTTAATGAAATATTAAAATGATATCTTATAAAGATTAATATAAAGAAAACAAAAATCATAGTATTTAGTAAAGAGAGAAGAGTTCCCATCATTAATATACAATTAGATAACAAGCCACTTGATCAGGTACATTAGTATAAATATTTAAGAGTACACTAACCAGTGACGGCAGATGTTTGGTAGAAATAAGACATTAAATAGCTATTACAAAGAGAAATCCTCACAAAAAGGCAACTATACACCAATAAAAATTGTAGCCTCAAGACCAGAAAAAACTTTGCCAAAGCTAAGTATGAAGTATTTTGTTTTATTGTAGTAAAACGTGAGACCTGAATAGTACAAGATAAAAAAAAAAAATTGAAGCAATGGAAATGTGGACCTGGAGAAGGTTAATTTCTTCGCGTTAATTGGACTGAAAGGAAGGTTAATCCGAAAATTCTCTAAATAGTAGAGGAGAAAAGAGTATTGCTATCCATCATTAGATAAAGCAGAAAACCTATGGGACACTTAATAAGACCCCTTATAAACTCCTTCATAACTAATATAATGTAAGGAACAATCAATGGTCATAGAGGAAGAGGGAGACATTCATAGGAGAGATGAACGAAATGATTAGATGTAACAGGTATTTACACATGAACTGGCATTAAAAAGAGAAGAGTGGAAGGCTATTTTTTTTTTTTTTTTGCTGTGACAAGACTCAGAAAAGAAGAATTACATGAACTTGCCCCGCAAAGGGGAAAAACAGGATTGAAATATTAGTTGTATGGTTAAATAATAAACAATGGCAACAGTGGAGAAGCATTATGAAAACAGATCCTCCATTGCTATTGATATAAATAACTAAATAAGTAAAAGTAAGAATCATTACATATTGCTATCAATAAATGTTTGAATTTTGGATTTTGAATATTCTAGTTTCGGAAACTTAGATATTAATTTTGGTGAAATCTAGAATAATCACAATAGTTTGGTGTGGTGAAACCACAAGTGATTTTTGTAGTTTGGACTTTTATAAATCTTAGGATAAATAACTAATGTTAGTAAAATTCCAAAATTTTATTTTATTCTACTTATGGTGTGGTTTTTTTCCTTTGTTATATACTCGAATATTATTAGAATATTATACATTAATTTTAAGTTTACATTACTAATAAATATTACTACAACAATTTAATATAATATATTAGGTAACAATATTTTTATTTATACTTTAAATATAATAAAATAATAAAGTAAAACAAAATTATTAAAACAGATAATACTCGTAAATAAATAAAATAAATAAATATATAAATAAAAATTAATTAATTAATTAATGAATGTGTGGCCTGGAGTGTTATGATGTCGCGTTTTACATTTTGACTGTGATATATCTGATGATGAATTTTTAAATCGAAACCGGTCTTATATATACTTATCATGATACTCCAGGCGACGCATTCATTTATTTATTTACTTTACTTATTTACTTAATTTAAATATAAGTTATGACAAATGCAAAGTATATTAATAATTGGAAAACGATCGAAATTAAAATTTCAGAATTTTAATGATTAATATAATAATTTTAATACCAGTAAAGTGGATGCACGTATATTAATTGCTATGGCTATTTTGTACTAGTTAATATTGTATGTACAATGGGGTGAACCAGTTTTTTTTTCTAAGCCCAGGCTAATCTTTATAGTTTGTTTATACAGCTGCAACAATAACATAGAAACCCATTTCAAAAAAAAATCCAAAATCTACAAGCAGCAATTTTAGACAAATAACGTAATTTGTATTTATTTTATTTTTACAGTTTAAGAAAAATCGCTGTACAAAAAATAGCAAATATTTTTTATTGGTTGAAAAAAATTACAACTACAACATAATCTTAATTAAAATTGTGAAAAAAATAATATTGGAAAATATTTTTGAGAACAGTTTCACATGATTTATCAAAATTATATTATAATTTGTGTTCCGTGGATAATAACTTTGTCAATAATGATTTTCTTTTTATCAACTATGGGATCTTATTTGATAATTTTTTTTTTCTTATAACATGCTCATGTTTTTTTCTTTTTGTTCATTAATGATTAAACCATAAAAAAAATAAAATGCATAACAAATTGTGTTATTAATTAGATTAATAACTACTTTTGACTGGCTTTTATTTTTTATTAAATAGGATTTTTTACTATTGTTACATCTGTATAAACAAAGTATAAAGATATGTTCGCAAAAAAAAAAAATGTTGGTCCACCCTTATGTACAATATTGTAATAGCGTACAGGTACAAATTATAAAAATCATTTGTCAAAACTATTTTGTATGTTCTAAATTTTACAGAAATTCATACCTGTTTTCCTAATATTTTATTTTAACCCATGGCTATTTTTATCCTTAATTTAAAATAATTATAGGGTGTCTTCTATGCCAGTCTTGGGAGTATTTGTTTTTTTATAATAGGGAAACAAAAAATAAAAAAAAAAGATAAAGACCACTATATTAAATAATCATTTACAAATTTTAAATACGAAAAATAAAACCAAAGAAAAAACATAGTGTTGAGCAAGGACGAGCCCTGTGGGATACTTTACAGTTACAATAATAAGAAAACGTTATTATTTATAATTCCTTTGACTCGTGTCACAAATACTGACAACAGATGGGAAATGACCAATGACTCAGGGGAGTAAAATAAAATTGTCATACTATCACGATAGACAATTATTTGCCAAGTACAGGAGTCGTGTGGGACCGACTTAAAATTATAATACAAGTTTACAATATTATAATATTTTGTAATCACCATCTATGAACTAATAACTATATATTCAATTATAATTTTTAATTTCCTATACTTAATTTAGTTTAGTTTTTTTTTTTTTCGTAAAACACAAATAAAACTATGATCATTAAACTAAATTAAAAAAAAAAAATAAAATACATATTGATCTAAAATTATTAATTATAATAAATTAGAAACATACCCATCTAGTAAATGTTTTCGAAGACGTTCACGAACATTATTTTTATTCAATTCAGGAGTATATTTCACTTTACTTAAATACTTTTCGACAAATGACTCAATCCGCTGTTTCCAATTTTGATATGTCGGCTACAAAAATAAATAAAACAAAGCTAATCATATAATTAAAAAAAAAAATACAATAATTATTTTTTTGTTACAGATATTAATATTGTTGTATCATTTAATGTTTTTTATTATTAATTCTAGACATTATCTATAATAGATATATATATATAATAGATCTATAATATTTATCTATATATCTATATTTTATGTAAGTTGGTATATTTAAGTACTTTTCATACACAAATACCCATACAAAATATTAGTATTTTATATTTATGAACCTATCTTAAGTATTTATATGATATAACTAATGAATTATTAAATAATAATGATGATATTGGAAAATTTAAATTAATGTTAGGAATGGACTAAAAGTGAAGGTTATACTCTGTATAAGCCTGTATATCAAATATGAGCTTAGCTCACTTGGTTTACGTATCAGCTATTACTATTATTATTATTGTATTATAATTGAATTATACTGATATAAATAAATAAATAAAATAAAGTGAATAAAATACTATATAGTATACATATTGGAAGTCAAAGAGCAAAAATTGTTAAAACATTGAAACAATTTATACCTTAGCATCAATATCAGTAACACAATGTCTACGAAACTCATCAAATGTGCCATTACATTTTAAACTTTCTAGTAGCATAAATACAGTATCTTCGACACCCAAAGAATTGTTTGCCAGTTCCATTGTAGAATTTCGGGATATTAATCCCGGTCACAATTGTTTGAATTATCCAATGAACACTATTTAAACACAAGTTAAACACCTACATTAAAAAATATATGATGTTTGTTGGTAATTTTAAATACTTACGTACCTAAGTATAGTATCTAGTATACCTAGTTAAATTATTTAACACAAATTGAATATTTAAACCGAAAATATAAGTAATTATTACAATTATTCCAAATGAACATTGTGATATAAAGTATAATAACGTTTAGTGTCGAACAACAAAAAATAAATCACGATTACATTTTATTAAATCTTGTAGCTGTAGGTGAAATACTTAATGTTTAAAAAGTGTCTTGATAAGAATTCAAAGTCACAAGCACACAGCCACGGACATATTTTACAGAGCACTATGCACGGAAGCAAATTTTTTTTTCGAAGTAGTACCCTTATAGAGCGCGCTGCGCGCTCTATAGTCTATCCGTTCGATGTTATCTCGAATCCCCATATCATTGTAAATCACAGACATATAGATGTGATTTAATTCAAATAAAAACATTTTCATTTAAAATTATACTTTTCTTCCCTGATGATATCATTTTTAGAAAGTGGGAATGAACTTTTAATTAAAATATCAGTATGTAACATATAACATGAACTATTGAAGTGCATTATTCATTAACAATTAATTGTAATTATAAAGACCTACGTACTAAAAAATTTAGATAACTACTTTTTTGCCTTATTTTCTTTGGGAAAATTATTTTCTATGGCATTTAGTCTGCCAATGCACGAAAAATTCTTTAAATTTGGCATAATTCATATTTACACATTTAAACATTGTAATATACAATAAATAATTTTGTGGAAACAGTAATCGCCTATTTCGGTGTTATATTTATTTTATTTAGCTTAAAATCTGGGGGTGCTAATTTTAGATTTATATTTTTGTGAGATTTACATTGAACCCCAGTATGTGACCCAAAGGGCATTTTCTATTATTAAAGTATATTATTCTTATTCCTCTATTGAACCCGTAATAAAATGATATTGTTGCAATAAAAGATTTGTTGCCAGGTCCACACAGACAACAAAATTAAAAATATACATAACCCGTGTTTTTCGATAAAATCAAAATAATATTTCAAAAATTTTTTAAGAACATTGTATCCTAAGGTTTTGGTGATTATAACCGAATATGTATGAACAACAGGAACGGTTCCAGGGGGGGGACACAAGCCCCCTCCCCAGACATTTTATTTATCATGTTGTTTTTATTTTAAGAATGCTATGGATCCTGATATTACTATATTCTAATCACTGATAGGCATGTATGATAAAATATTATATTATATTTTAATAGTATTTATGTTGTAAAAAAAATAATTGTCCCCTCCCAGATCTTTGCTCTGGATCCGTGCCTGATGGACAATGTTTAACTTTTGTTCAAATTTTACTAAACTCCGTGTAGACAAATATTTCGTTTCTTCGATAACTGCGTGGACCCGACTATTTAGAAATATTCACCGGCCGACGATAAAACATTTTCTCAAAGTATGCACCTGTCTACAAACCAACAAAAATGAACTTCAATTTGAATGGACGAAGAAAGGGTTCTAAATAAATGCTTTGGTAGATAGTTAACGGTTTAAAGTTAGTTCTTTTTATGGTTTGGTTCATAGTGCTCACCGAATGCCTAATATTTCGCATTTTTTTTTCGCTCTTCGTTTTAGATTTTCTGAGAGGAGTGAAGATTATATTGGTTTTACCATGAGTGTTTTAGATTCGTAGCGGAGTGAGGGATCTATTCGTTTTACTGTGTTTAACAACTTTTCGAACAGAAAACTTGCGGCAATCAAAAAATGACAAGAGAAAATTTTGTTGTACTTTGGAAATACATAGTAACTGCAGGGTCTAGGACATTTCGGCGATAAAAGCAATAATAAACGATACGGTGAATATTATTTTTGGTATAAAATGTGTACCTAATGTAGTCACATAATTAAAATATAAACAAAAATCAAAAATTACAGATTCATATATACGATTAGAATTTTGTAAAAAAATGTACAATTTGAATGCACTATTATATTCTCCTAATAAATGAATAAGAATATAATTTTTATTATACCCGCCATCTAATAATTTAAAAATAAGTTTACATCTAAATTTTATTCAACTTTAACAATATATTTTAATCTATTAGTTATTACTACCTATAATATATTATATACTTACCTACTAGTTTTTTTTTTTTTTTTATCTACCAATACCTATAAGATCATATTTTTTTTTTTTTTACTGTAATATTATGTTTTATATGTACATATTATTTTATAGGTAATAAAAACAATTTTACCGTAGATCTACTTTATCGCCGAATATAGGCAACGCTGAAAAGTCTGCATTTAGAGGGATCATTTATTAAATTCCCTAAGGTCTTTCAAAATGAAAGCTATAAAAAAATAAAATTTGCACATCACTCAGTTTTTTTTTTTTTTTATCACCACTTACGATTTATAATGAACTTTTTGTAAAAGTTGTCTAGCATGTTTGTTAAGTCTAACAATCTCATCCATAGAGTACCTATCAATTAAAAATTACCAATACTCGATATTGTATAAACAGAACGTTATTACAAAATTACAAAAGATAATGACAATGCTACGGTTTAGAGTTTCATGGTTTATGAATTTGCATTAATTTTTTTTTTTTAAAAACTTAAAAAAGTGTTTTTATTACGCGTATTACTTAGTTCAGGGCTAGAAATACATTTGCCACGTTTTCCTTAACGCTTCAGCATATAGCTTATCAAAAACAAACTTCGATTCATACCTACATCACAAAGTTCAAAGATAAAATTGTTCGTTTCGTCTGTTTTGCATTTTCCACGATCATGAGTTATGCATTTTCGGTACCTACTTTAGGTGTCGGTTTATTAACATTTTTCATTCATTTTCCGTAAATTATATGCATACTCGACATTTTCAGTATAGGTACTTTTAAACAATCGTACGACAAATATTTGTATTTATATTATTTCAACGAATTAGAACTCGCTCTACATTATACTTTTATGAATGTGTATATTTATTAAATTACAATTAACAATTATCTTCATAAATGATATGATCAGCGGAATTTCGTGCGCACGGTGAAATATTAGCGGTACATTTTTGCGAAAATAGAATACAGATTCATAGATAAGCTCAGTGACGCAGAGCAGGGAGTAGCGGTGCGTCGACTGGGGAACGATTACCTATTGTGTTTATATTTACATTTATTATTTTTATCCAGTATTCACTGTTTATGGGGATTTCAGTGGCATGTTCAGGAAATTTCGAGCGGTATTTTGTCGGATTGTGTATTTTCACCGCTAGTAGTTGCTGGTTAAACGGACGAGTACGCATTGTATTAAAACTACGCGTTATGTTCGATTTATACTCGTAAACACATTCCTAAAAACACAACAAATGCATTTTCACATTTAAAACATTATTTTTAACATTATTGGTAACGTTTTGTGCTTCATTTTATTAGCCATAGTTCTAATTAAATATTTTCAAACGTTTGTATTTCCTAAATGTGTAATTTTTAATGAATAATTAATATTCATAGTGTATTCAAAACTTATATTTTATAGTTTTTGTATATAAACCTTGAAAAACTATAAAACTAAACAAATATGAAATAAACACCGATTTGTTATGTAAAATCTGTATTAAAAAAAAAAGAAAAAAGAGGTGAATCTGTGGACGGGTGCGACCATTGTTGTAGTTGGGTTTGAGGAAAATGGGATACATAGTTAATTAATTTATACCTGTGACCAACGATAAACTGTTATAACGAAATATGATTTAGACTACCAATAGATTAAAAATGAAATGAACAATGTTTACTATGATTTATTAATTGGGACAATATTTATGGGAGAAAAAATAAGCTATACAACAAATTTAAAATAATAAAATCGTTGTGCTGTAATTTGAAAAAAATTGTATATTTCATCTTTTTTTGGTTTTCTCAATTGTTATGTAAAATACTTAAGATATCGAAAAAAATGACTTACTCTGTCAGTGGCGAAATATTATTAGGAACAAAATTGATCTCTGGTCATTTATGAATTAGAGCAATATTTTTGGTTGAAAACATTGTCTAAATATAATAAAAAAATGAAAACATTAATGCCGTACATATTTGCCATATTACATATCATTTTCTTTCGGATTTTCCCAATTGCTTAGAAAAAACCGTCGGAAAAATTAGCTCCCTAACGTATCAACTAGAGAAAATTACCTTTCAGAAAAGGGGCTAAAGTCTATACTTCGGTGCAAGTTTTACAAGTAGAAAAGTTGTCCATGGACAGAAAAAAAATATAAAAAACACATCATAGTAAAACCAATCAGCATTGAAATATACGTCTTTTCAAAAACCTACAGTGAAACTTCTGTATAGTGGACATCCATGGGGAATTAAAAAATGTTCTCTATAGGTTATATTATTTCAAAATAAAAAGCTTGTTATAAAAGATATAAAAACCTTTATTTTTTTGTTTTTCAATAGTTTATAAATCAAAAAACACCCATGACATTCCCTTCAAAATATTGTTCTCTATGAATTTCTTAATAGGCACTTTTACTCTAAAATCAAAATTAAGCAAGTTTTACTTATTCTGTGTAAGCACTGTTTTGCATGTTACCCCCTGGTAGTTGGACTGAGACAGAAGACAAGAAGATGCGGGATAACGTTTTCTTAAGATAAGATAAGATAAAATATCAATGAAATGTATATAAAATAAATGTGTATAGTAATTTTTATTACTTGAACATTTTTGGTATGGGCATGTAATGTGTTAATTTATAAGAGGTAATTTTTAAATTTGGTATCAGTTTTTAGTGGTTACGTTCACTATTAAGAGGCTATAACTCATATTATGTACATACATTTTTGACGGGGAATTAAAAAGTGTCCACTATTGAGAGGTGTCCATGAATAGAGGTTTCACTATATTTATAAATGTGTTTTTACAAAAAATGTTAAAGTAAATATTATATAGTTAAATTTTGATTATACTTATTGATTAATCATTAAAAACAACACATTCAGGAAAAATATATTTTTGAAATTATTAAATTCTAATGAAGAAATACACGTAATGTAAAAAGCAAACTTTATGAAGTTTTCCCCCTAACTTCTAAACGGAGTATGTCTGATTATTTTTACATTTTCAATGTACATGTGAAAATACACATTTTGAAAAAAAATAATGATTAATAGAATTCACACAAGAGCTAAACTAAAATTATGCTAAAAATTCCATTAATGGATGGAGTATTACTTTAAAAAATTCTTGGTCTTGAAACTGTTGATTTCCATTAATCCATTGACAAAATATTTCATTTTCAAGTTAAGGTAGGGGAAGTGTCATGGAGCATAATTTGTGGTTTATTTCTCTATTGAAATCCAATTACTTAACTTTTTTAAATGATTTATTACTTATCAAACTACTTTAAATCAAAGCATTTTAAATTCCACCATAAAAAAAACCATCTCTGAATAAGCATAGCAGAATGGATGTTTCTGGTTAAAATTGGACAATATTTTTTTCTATATTGATCACGTACATTTTCAAATGGTTTTCTTCTCAGCAATATAAAAATAATCAGTCAGATATACAATTTATTGGTTTTCTTGATTTTACTGTAAAATTGTCTGTTAACATGCCAACATCAAAAAATTACTATCGGTGTTCATGATAGGCTGGTTGAAATAAATTTTTGCCAAGACTTTATTATTTAGTCAGCGAAATACAGATCTCAATAAATAATACAAGATTCACTTTATTTGGTGAAAACTGTGTTGATGAGATTGATTTTTTATTATTACGGTGATATTTTAAAATTAATGAGTTCCTAGAAAATTAATTATAAAGTAATATTAGATAACATTTCTTCAAAATCTGTTGTTTGATTGCTTGTTTCATTTCTTTCAAAAAATTTCATAAATATATCCTCTATATGCATGAGTTCCAGATATAATTCAGATTGATGGCAATCTAATATCTTACCACATTGCTGCATGAACCAAAAAAACGAATATGGTAATTGATGTTTTAAAATTGTGTGCGATTGATTAATATCAGCATTTTGAAGTTTTTCTATATGTAAGTACCAATAGTTGATGCCTGTTCCTAAAAATATTGTATTTGGTATTTCTTCAATAAAATTAGAATGTAAAGTTTTGTTCTGCTTATTTTCGTTTAACGGTTCATCAATTATATGCACATTAGTAAATGTTTTCATTTGTGCAGTATGCTTAAGAATACTAGTAAAATAACTATATGCAGTGACTTGTTTTGTGTAATGCAATGGCATATTACAGTTAACTTTTATAGGAATATTACACTCATCAGCTAAATTTTGGATTCTGTAAAAAAAAAATTATTACTATTTTTTTTTTTTAGAAATAAGTGAAATACAATGTAATTAAATAATAATATTTCAGAGATTATAATTTATTAATACATAATATAATTTTATTATCTAAGTCATGCACAGCTTTACTCATACACAGTAATAAACAAAAATATACAAATTATTTCATCCCTGTGTTCTCAAAATAATATATGTATTTTTGTTTTTATTTTAACTGATACGTTCACCCCTATCAGAGTTAACTCGCATTGATGCATTTACCATGTCAAATTAAATGCCTACCATAACCCTCCACCCCTATCATAATTACTCCCTCATAATTTACAACTCCAATACTTATTATTATTCCTTTTTTTAACCCTAAATCTCTTCTGTTCCTCAATATCTTATTTATTGCATAATTGTAAGCTGAATGTGTTAGTAAGACATTTTCGTTACCTACTCTCACACACCATTATTACCACTATGTTATTTATTTATTTGACGCTGTCCGCTGGATATTAAACTATTTTAAAAATTAAAAATGTGCAAAGTATGGCCATGTAATATAATTTTGATGGTTGGACTTTATATGTGGGTGTATAACTGATAATTAAATGGTGAATCCTATGTATATAATATACAATATAAAATAAAAAATATTGTGTTATAAAAATACTATTTTTGTTGATTAAATTAATTATTTTCAAGTTCATTTAAACTTAAAAATAAACTAAAAAAATATTGATATTAAAATGTAAATTATAAACAAATGTGTGTTGATAATTAAAATTAATTTTTATACTGTAATTTAAATTTAATATAATTTTAAAATATTTTAATAGATTTGTAGCTTCCAATTTATTTTAGTGCTTATTTCTAACTAATCTAGTTTTTAATAACTATAGTACTGTACACATTTTAATTTTAATGATTTTATATTCTATATTCAAACAATTTTGTTTATATTTTCATTTAAAATGACTGTGAGTATTCAAACAAACCCTGTAAAGCATTTTGTAATTATAATCAATGTTCCCCCAATCAATAAACAGTCTAGCCAATGAAAATGTTATTTATAAGGTAATACTAATAAATAAATACATAGTCTGTGAATGCATTTTATTTAGTCATGAAACAATAAGAGTAATTGAAATTTATATATTTATTAAGTATAAAATGCTTATCAATAATAATAACATTGATCTTTTGTATAAAAAAAATATACACACATCCAATACTGAAAACGTACAGTTTTCTTATTAACTAAATGATGTCATCTATATAACATTTTATTTATTTATAAACAATTAAATTCAGTTTAATCAATTGTTTTCTTTTTTGCTAATTTTAAATATTTTTAATAAAATTAATAGTAGGAAATTCCCTAAAATAGTAGCACCATAGATATTATAGGAAATATATACATATTTTTTTTTTTTAGGAATTTTTTATGTTGTGTTGTAAAAAGTTAGAATTTAAAATATTTTAATATCAAACCAGCCAGCCATTTCTGTGTGTACAATACAAAAATAAAAATTTACTATAATATTGTAAAATATGAGATAATATTACCTATTATTATTATTTACATCAAGCTTTTCCTCAACTAAAATATATAAATTTCAAGATTAAATTACTAAATAAATACTTAATTTTGTTTGCATTTTTAAATCAATGGGGATAAACTTTTAATCTCCCCACTATGCATGGCACTGCTTTCAAATAATCAATTATATATATTAATTTAATGACTGATTTAATAAATATAATTTGTAAATTACACAGTTCATAAATTCTGTTAATTGATTATTGTAAAAAGAAAAAGTTTGTTTTTATAGTAGCTTTAGGCTTATCATACAGCAGTGTAAATTTGCTATAATTTAAAAATTGGTTATTTGATATTGATATTTTATTGTGTAAAAAAGTACCTGTTTTTGTCAGTTAAATACAAAATATCAGTTTGAATAAAATTTTGTTTTAGTATTCTTTTTGTTTCGTCACTTAATTGCATTGAATAATATTCAAATATCCATTTTAAAGTTGATGACAATGGTTTGGTTGAAGCAGGAATTCCTCTATAACTTTTTTCTTTTTTATCTCTAGGCAATGATTTTAATAAACATTCAGTACTTTCTCTAAAGCCCTTACTTAATTGTTCAGCTATTCAGTATAAACAACATTTTGGTTAAATAAATAAATATTTAAGTAAAAGGTTAATGAGATTATTACTTTTTACTATTGGCATAGTCGACTTCTTAATGTTCCAATCATTGATAAATAACTGAGTTTTGCGTATACTATTTCCATATAAATCTTTATGCAACATATAGTTGTACTCAGATAAGACTGAATTTCTACATTCTATGTATTCGACATATTCATTCCAGTTGAACAATTTTTTATCTATTTTATTTGATCTACGTTTAAATATTATTACATACAAATTAAATCTTACTATAATATATACAAAATAACAATATTATAAGCATATAACACAGAGGATTCAATTTATTTCAAAATAGATAAAATATTAGAATATGGATATTTTGGAAGCAAAACCATGAAACATTAGATCATTATAAAGGTTGCCACACACTAGATAGGAGCGTAAAGGAAACAAATTTACATCATCAGAACGGAAACAAATTTTGTCTGCACACTATGCCGGAATCAGCTTGAATTCCGCGGCCATATATTCTTGGCCATTTTGATCTCATTGCTCGTGCTCAATGGTTGAAATCAATAAAGCTCATTATTACATTAATTATATTTAATATTTTTGAGTGTTTGTAAAATATAAATAATAATATAATATAATGAGTGATACAAGTAGTAACAAAAGACATGATATTCACACTAGCTCTTTTGTTAGAATCTGAAGAAAAAGAAAAATATACAACGAAAAGATAGTGGATTCATAGCATGCATATGGCAAGGAAAAAAGGAGAGTTCTATAAACTATTCCTAGATTTAAAACAGGACAATAAACAATTTTTTCAATATTTCCGAATAAGTTACAAACAATTTTGCCAATTGTTAGAGCATATAAACCCGATATACAAAAAACAAACACAAATTTTAGAAAATGTATATCAGTAGTCGAACGGTTAGCAGTAACACTGAGGTCAGTATTTAATTAATTATAATTTGACAATAAATAGTTTTAATTTTAATTTATTGCTATTTAATTTAAAAAATTTCAATATGCATGTGAAAAACTGTAATATTAATGTAATGAGGTATTTTCTTTCAAAACGGAGTCGTAATAGTATATATGACCTATGTCATATAAATATGAATATTTCTGCACTTCACGAATACATTTTTCATATGAGATATTTTAATTGTTTATGTCAAAGTTGTTTTTATCAAAAAAATATTAAAATGCTTATAATAAAAAAAAAATTATTGTTGTAAACTTTCAATTTTTTACATACAACTAATTACAAAACGATGATAACCAAAAGATGGCACGTATATTTGTATCAGTGTGGATGCAAATCTGTCAAAATATTGTCGACAAACAATTTGGTTCCATTCCAATCCGACGTGACGTTTCCTAACCGATCTAATCCAGTGTGAGGCAACTTTAAGAGACATATAGGAAAAAACATTAAAAAAAAAGTACTTACCACAAATATTTAGGGAGGTAATACAAGGAAAACAATTTCTCAAGGTCTACAACTAAATATATAGACTTGTTAAGTTTTTAAATCTAAATAAGGGATACAGTAAGATAATGAAATGTATTGCTATTATACTAAACTGTTTGAATGAAAGGAGATAAGCTTCAAAGGGTAAAAAAACCTAAGAGTCAAATATAGTTTACAACATTAAGATGATTTGTTTATAAATATAGAAATGTAATAAACACTGTTATTATAGCCAATGATCTATAAATTGGTGTAATTAAAAAATAAAAATAACTTACAAGTTGACTTTTTCAGCAAAATCTGAAGATAAATTTTCTGCATTACCGTCAAGAGTAAATAGAAATTTGGCAGCAAAAAGAATGTAAGACATTGCTTTTATTTCAATATCATTTAATAAGTGGATTAATTTTAAATCTGGAGGAGATATTAACACGAGTTTACAAACAAAATTTGTAAAATCACCTAGATTTCAATTAAAATTAAGTTAATACAAAATACTTTTATAGTTTAGCTAGCAATTAATTACTTGGAAGTTGAAGTTCATCGCAAAAACGAATTACTAATTTTTTGAAATCAATATTAGGTAAATAGTTAATTTTGAAAACATCAAATATTTGGCCCAATTCAAAATTTAATGTTTTTCTTGAAGAAATATTAACCATTTTACAAATATTAATACCATGCACTACATTTTCTGGTAAATACATATCAATACGATTTACATGCAAATGTCCTTCATGAATCCATCTATAGCAAGTTAATGAATAAAAGTAAACAAATTTTAATAAAAACAATTTTAAAATAATATTATTAGAATATACCTCATTATATCAGACATAAAAATATCATCGTTATTGATCATGAGAGCTAATTGTATAATAGATATTAATTTCTTTATATTTATAAAATTCTTTTTTTCAACAGTTTTTAATTTATACCAACATTTTTTTCCATCTCTAAGTAGATTTGTTGTTTCTTCAGTAGAAAGATCATCAGTCTTAGAAGGTAATGATTTTAAAGTTGTCTTTACCTTTTTGGTAAATTTGATCCTAAAATACCAAAATGTTGTTTTGAAAATACAAACAAATATATAAATTAGTGTTTCAGGATTTTTTTTTTTTTTTTTATTAGATATTCTTCAATCCATAAAATTGTGTTCCATACAGCTTAATGTCCCCTAATTTTAGACTTTGAACAAGGAATGAATTTTATCATCATTAACAAATTAGGAAAAAATGCGTTTTTTTTTAAATATAAATAATAATATTTGAGGTAAAAGGTTTTAAGGTATATATCAAAAATTAGCAGAAGAAAAGAACATTTATCATATTTGCCAAATTTAATATTCTAAATTTTACTACATATTTAGGCCATTGAAAGTAAATTTTTGGATAAATAAATTCTTGAAACCACCTTTAACTAGTGTTTTTAAAAACAACAAGTGACCTTTTTGCTGTATTTTTAATTTAGTTGGTAAGTAAAAAAGTAGTTTTTTAATTTTCTCCTATAGGTTTTCTAATAATTAAGCAAAACCAAAAAAAAATTGTAGAAAGAACAGGAAGATTTACAAAAATAATACCTTTAATATTTTAAATTTTGTTGTTATTCAAATAAAAATGTATAAAAACTTAAAATTTTGACAGAAAACTTACAAATACTTTTTCTAGAAATAGAACAATTTTCGAATAAATTTGAGCCATTTTTGAGCTGTTCATAGACATTTTAATTTTTGAGAGTTTATAAACAATTATTTGGTAGGTTGTCAGTGGATAAAATTGTTAGATTAATCAGAAATACATCAAAATTCAACAGATTTATTATAAGGTGTACTTTGTGGTCAAAAAAAAAAAAATAATTTTAATGTAATGTTTTTTTTTTAAATAAGAATTTTAATATTAAATTTTGACGAAAATATTATGGCCTTTCAACAAAACATGTATAATTGAAATCGACTTTGAATCATTTTCAGTAGCAATGGTTTATCATTGCTTACAGATATAAAAAAAATATGTATGTATCCTACCTTCTCACCCATAACAGTGGCATACCTGCCCCCAGTACCTCAGTTTTTTTCTTTTTCTGATAACTTTCAATTCAATGATCATAATTTAAAAATTATTACTTATATAAATACAAAAACAACTCTACTTCTTTTTTTAGAAAATAATGCTTGAGACCTTAAAAAATCATTTCAAGTCTGAACAAAATATTGTTTTGGGATTAAGGAACCCCAAATAATAATACATTTTTATGAGGATCCCTAAAATATAAAAACATTATTTTGTATTTAAAAAGAAATTTAATCTATTTTGTTTAATTATATTGGTAGTCATAGTATTAAAATAAATGTAATAAATTATTATACGCGCATGTATGACTAGGTAACTAGGAAAAAATCATTAATAGGTATTCACTGCATTGCAGCACAGCATATATATGGCATGCCAATGCTGCTTTTTTCATTACTGTTATCATTAAATGGTTAACTGTGGTAGAATTTTAATTAACTTTTTCCGGGGCTTCCTGGAACCCCTGCTAGTTATTCACAGGACACTGCTCTAAGGAATAAGAAGTAGAATATCTGATAAAAAAGTTCCTGATACACCCTAATATAAACTTTGTAATTTATTTATAATCATCTTACTTGATCCTACTTGGCTTTTGACTTCTTTGCAATAAACTAACATCATCTGATAGTCCAGTCATTGAATCTTTTGTAGAATTATCCATTCTACGTAATTTTCTGGAAATCTAAAAACGTTGTTTAAACTATTAGATATCATACTCGTGCTACCTTAGTACTTATATTCTTTATTTTCTACTGAACATATGGAAACTATTAATATCCAACAATTCTCTAGTTTAGTGATTAGACTAAAATTACAATAAAGTTAAAAGTATAAAACTAATTTTTTTAAGACAAAAAAATTAATTTTTAAAATATGAATATAACTTTTAATTAAAATATCAAAAAGATCTTTAAAGATAATAATGTATTCAGCCCTCTTGTTTTTTAATTAATGTTAATTATTTTGCTCTATTTTGTATTTTATCAATTGTGAAAAAATATTACGAAGCAAACTTGAATATGTTGTCAATTGAAAGACAAATACAGTAAATGAAAGTGCAATAGGTCTTATCTTATTAAAATTAAAATAGTATTTACTCTATTTCGTTTCTGACTAGCTGTTATAACTGTGGCTGAGGATTCACTAGACAAATATGATCTTTTTTTATATAAGCGACGTTTTCTCCCTCTGCAATTTATTCCGGTTTTCGCTTGCAATATTTTGTGTTTTATATTATCAACACCATATAAAATTGAACAGTCACTAAAAAAGTGTATTTATATTAAAATGCAAATGTACTCATTGGGTTTTCATACAATATTATTCAATACCACAGAAACTTCTATTTTAATTTAAAATTGTTGTGCAATATTATAGATGATATTATAGTTAGAACAATATTAATTTAATAAAATAAGTGATGAAATCAATAACAAACTATTTTAGACAATAATTGATTTTTTATCTTACATGTTATTAATCACATTTAACTTTGGAAGTTTTTTAAATTGCTTTGATGTGAATGCTGCTTTGATTTGTTGCAAATATCTGACCCATATTTGTAAAACTATTACTTTGATATTGGGTTTAGCGCCAAGTTCAATAATCTCATTGGTAAGTCCTAAAAGTATTAAATTGAAACATTCCCATGACAATAGTTTGTTTGTATTTTTTATTTGAGTTCCAGCTATTATTTCTACATCATCATTATCATCCTTATTCACAGTCACAATATGGTCATTGAAATTAATTTGTTCTTCTCTTATGGTCTGTAAAAGTAACCAGTCAAATACAAGTAAACCTATTATTTAATTTAAATTTTGAAAATCATTTTTTTTTTAAATTGTATATATGAATTATAATGTTAAACCAGTTGTATTATTTGTATGATAAAAATATGTGAATGTAAATAATATTTGTTTTTATTGTATACGATTTCAATACTTAAAATATAAATCAAGATCCCCTGCATTTATGTCAAGGGTCCACAATACTATTGTTGGTTCCAGATATATAACAAACATGTACAATAACACAAATATGTTAAGGCATACATTTTAAAGTATATTATTCTGGTGTAGAACATTCAGTATGTTTTAATTATTGACTACACTCACACATTTAAACATTTTCGTTTTGTTTTAAAAATAATTTGTAACATAGAATATTCAAGTTGATACTTATCAATAAGATAAGATTACGGAAATATCAATGTCTTGACTGCTAATGTTTTGTATTTTTGTTTTGTTTATAATACATTTTCAATTAAACGGGTGTGTTAAAGTGAAAGAGATTGTTGCAGGTGGGTTATATGGGCACCCCAATGTCTGGACTTTTCAATTTATTTTTATTACATTGTATCACCAAGTTCAGAATTTACACCAGAGTATTTCTCGCTATAAAATTAATTTTTTCTTTGGGGTACCAGGGTAGCACCAGTTACTTAAAAAATTTTACTACAAACATTTTTTAGTGGGAAATATTCTTGTACAAATTATGAGCTCGGTACTACAAATCAGAGAGCAAATCAAGAAACCAATAAAAATAATTTTGAGTTACTGAAGTTACTACATACAAAGTAAAAAAGAAATATTAAAAACTATTTTTAAGACAACATTTTTGATTTTATTTTAAATAATACATTTTAAAAGTTTCAACAAAAATTTTAATATTTTTTTATATTAAAGACAAAAATATTAAGGTATTCTGACCTTGGTAGTACAAATTGGTACAAATTATAGTACAATTATATAAAAAAAAAAAATGTAAATAGTACATTTTTAGGTAGTGGTGGTACTGGAGTAACAGTACCCTGGTACCCTATAGGAAAAAATTTTCAGTGAGAAATATTTAGATACAAATGGGTAAAAGTTATTTTATTTTACTTATACAAAACAGACTAAAGTTCAAAATGTACAAGAACATAAAGATAAGTGCTCATTAGCAAGATGCATCATGTAATGATCAGGGTGGTTACGAGCATAGTTTGTGGTATTCAAAGGAACTACAAAGGGGAGAAAGATTCACAAGAAGCGTGAAAGAATCTTGAAGTTCACTTGGGATAAGAGTGATGGTGCATCAATATTGTGCTATTAATCAACTTACTCAAAAACGATAGGTTAGCTGACACTCATCTGACAGCCCAAAATAGTGTCGAACATTGGAATAATTGTGCTGAGGTGTTTGATACCTAGACCATGATCTGCAAAGAAGAAGAAATGTCATTGTGCTCTCACCAACTCGGGAGCATTGCAGTGTGAGGGTCCCATAATACTGAAGAGTATTCAAGAATCAAATGTACCAGAGAAAATTAAATTGTTTTTAATCAAGTAGAGAAGTGAAACTTGGATATAATGTGCTTTACAAAGTCCAACTCTTTAAAAGCAATTATAGTAGGTACAATCATTGGTAAAAAATTAAATAAAAATGAAAAGTCCAGACATTGAAAAGACTGGAGTGGCAGGGTAACTAACCTGATTATCTCTAAGCGAACAATTTGTTATTCTTGATTTCTGTTAAAATAATAAAAAATGTTGAATTGGAAAATATATTAGATCTCAAATAAAGATGAAATTTACAAAGTCAAGGACCGAATTTGGTTGAAACCTGGCTTTTGGGGAAATAAAAAAATAAATATCTAAAAATCACCCCTATATTTTTCATTTTATTTCCTTAACTTATAAATGTTCTAGTCAGAATTTCCTGCAAAAATATAAACGAGATTTCAATACTTTTTTTTCATTGCCTAACAAAATGTTATATAAAAGTATTTAAAATATAAAAACTGAAAATTATGACTGCCATAAGGTCATATTAATTATATTAATTATATTATATTAATAGAACACCTCTACAGTATTTTTTTTTTTTTTAACTATAGTTTTAACACCCGAAAGCCAGACAGTGTGTGAATGATGAAACTTTACTAATACACATCTTTAAACTAGACATATCTAAATTGGAAAATCAAAAATTCAATCGAGTGATATTGGTCATACGAGGTACACAGAATTTAGCCGGACTTCAACCCTAAAGTTTTCTCCCCAAATAGAATATTTATGCAGCTGATCAATTTTTTTCATGGTATTAGGAAAAAAACTTCCAAAAAAAAAAAAAACCGTTGTAAATTAATACATACATTTTTTTAATAATAAAAAAAAACCATAAATATTTATTATACTTTTTGAGTTAATAAAAAACACAGGCAGTTTAAAAATAATTTTTTAAAAGCATGATTTTTGTATGTTATGACTTACTACGATTAAAATTTTTACAATACTTGTTAGTTTTTTGTGTATATTTATCAAATATAGGTATCTAATATATTTACAGATTAATAGATGACCAATAAAAGTACATATTGAAGATTTTTAAGCAATAAATCAGAAATAAGATAAATATTATACAGATAGATTTTCCTTAGAGGTACCTACATTACACATATCATATTATTCTGTTTTTAAAATTGGCATTAAATAATATAGTGGTAACAAAAATGGACAACTGCTTACAAAATTTTTGCGTGCAAATAGAAAATAACTAAATAAGTATTTTGTATTTTTAAATTACCTATTAATTACCTATCACATTTTTTTAAATTAATTTTTTTTTTGTAAACACTAATACCTGATAAAACTGATAATACATGAACATTATGCTTTTAAAAAATTATTTTTAATAACTTAAAACAATAAGTATAATACATATTTATGGTTTTTTGGATTCTTTTTCCAAGTATGGTTTTTGGTCAGTCTTATTTTTCCCTCAATTTTATTTTATATATACCTACTATTTATGTAGTAAATTATACATTAATGATAATCAATCTTTCAAAATAATTTAATATTCATGAATTTCAAACATTTACACCCTCTGAAAAGCAATTACAATTTGAGTGATTCAATGTCAGCCATTCAGAAGTTTCACTGTTATATCATGAGATTGTTAAAACTTACTTGAGATTGTATTCCACATTCGTCGCATATGAATGCCCCATCCATGACGCTGAAATTATTATTACCGCAAACATCGCATTTATCATTATTCCTTTGCATTTTGTCAAATAATATTGACAAAGTGACAATTGATTTATAAAAGATTTATGATTTTTCAAACTTAAAACTCGCTTTACGATCTACTTCAACTTGTATTGTTTACAATTCACAAGGGAAAGTGTATTGATATCACATATATATAAACCACGGACCTTAAATTGTGATATGAACACATCATAGATGGCCCATGACTATAGATAAATATCTATAATCGTGAGCTAGCCTACTATTCACGTCTTATCACTAGTCTTACCACGACTGGAAAGAGCTAAAATATTATTTTTCACCAAAATATAAAAATCAAGTTCAAATTTAAATATTTGTAGTCCTTGCAATTAATGTTAAAATTAGAATGTTCTCGTTCATAAGAATATTAAGTCAATAACTTAATATCATTGTTATTGTAGGTATCTATAAATACAACCAGATTCCGAGAACTGTAGTCTATCGACTCTCTTTATCTGATAATTTTGATTTCAAAGGCATAAAAGTCTTAGATTCAGTTTATTTATAGTTTTCTCGTCATTTTCTAAGTTCACCTACATACACCAAAATGTATTATTCATAAAATATAATTATCATTATGGTTAAGGTCTCGGGATTTTAGGTTTAAGTGTTGGTCAATCTCATCTGATAATTTTTTTTTTTGTTATTAGTTTTAAGAGAACTGTTATGAGCCCATTTATTATATAATCATAATACCACCAGGTATTGATGGTAGGTACGTCACACGTGATTATATGAATTCAACCAATTGCGCGTGATATAAATTTTGCACATGCGCATTTGCCCCAATTCTATTTAGTTATGTTTGGTTCAAATAATTACTCAATAGCAATGCTCTATCTATAGTATATGATCTAAGGTTTACAGTCGTTCAAGTGATAGCAAATATTTTGATTTATAGTTACCATTAAATATCTAGATTAGATTATAAACGCAAAACATTGAAAAACTTAAAATATGTGACTTAGTTAGAAGTATTAGTATAGTACTTTGTCTAATGATAGTATAACTTTCACATATTGTGTACACAAATCAGTACACTTTTGAGTGTACTAACTTATTATATAACAATTACATTGTCATTTATTTACTCATCTATACTATTGTAAAGTTCGATGATTGGAATTATATAACACTTAGTTCTTAATTATACATGAATCGATTTAAACGATTTATATTGTCCGGATCAAACTTAAGTAAGAAACGATTAAATTTGGGCATTAACTACTACTAACATCAATAATAATTAATAAATATGGTGAATTGTGTACAACTGTTGGTGAGTGATGTGTATGCCCAACATCATCATTTTTTCAATCAAATAGTTCTTTTTGATATTTAAACGTAGATACACAAAATAAAAATCTTACCAAAACTAACAACTAAATTAGTTTCTTCGATAAACTTTGTCTTGCACTCACCATCAAAATATACTGGTAAACAATATGTTGTAATTGCATAGGTATATTATTCTTTTTAAAACTACGAGGTCATAAAATCACTCAAATTATCACTTAAAACCGCATATAAAGTTAACTATTACCATCTACAATTGCAATTTGATAGTTTAATATTCTACACGAAGAAAATATTGCTAATTTCAAGTCTATGATTACTTCTTTTTTAATAATACAATACAATACCTATATTTTTTTATTGATTAATTTTAGTTATGACAAACAAAAAATGCACTAGTATCCATTCTGCGGCCATTGAACAAGTACATGAAATGCCTATCAACGAAATCATACGACCCTTTCCTCCACAGGTGAATGAAGAAAAGGTTAAAAGTTTAATGGAAACTTTATCGGTAAGTGCATTAGTGCATTATTATAACTGACTATAGTCTTATTAAATATAATATGGAAAACATAAATATGATTATTAGATAAAAGATATAAACCTAACTAAATAAAATGTACACATTAAATTTGAATGAAATAATGTAAAAATGATTGATGAAATTGAAAAAAAAATGTGTATACAAATTGTTTTTATTTTAGTCACGCTAAAAGAGTTGTACTTTTAATGTTAAAATAAATTAATAGAAATATGTTTTGAATTTAGGACCCCAGTCGTAAAGATTCAGTACCACCAATTGATGTATTATGGATTATAGGAAAAGAGGGAGGTAATTACTATTATTCATTTGGTGGATGTCATCGGTATGCTGCTCACAAGAGATTGAAAATGGATACAGTCAAAGTAAAATTGGTATCATCAACTAATCAGGATTTACATAGTTACTTAGGTGCATCAACACCTGACCTTAAATAATATTATTTTTATATTATTTCTTTTTATTTCATTGGTGGATTTTAAGGGTTATTAGGATTTACACAAAAAAATTTCAAAATGATTTGAATGTTATTTTAATTATTATAAATTAATAATAATAAAAAAAAAAAAACATTCCATAAGTAATATTATTGTTGTTTTTTGGAAAAAAAAGTTGCTTTGATAACTTACTATTATTGATATTTTCAAGGGTTGTACCAAAGTGGATCTTGCTGCAAATATATATATTGTGTAAATGGTGAAAAATAAAGGTATACATCTAGTTTATGACCTAAGTTCGTTTATAAATTTTTTTTTTCCAAAATGTGTGTTTTTGCAACTATAAAAGTAAGTATTATAAGTAAGTTTTGATTATACCAATGGATTAAACATTAAAAACATATTGGGGGGGGGGAATTGAAAATGTTAATTTCTAGCTAAGAAATACGCAAAACGAAAAACCTGAAATTTATGAAGTTTTCCCCAATAATTTTAAAATAAAGTTCATTCGCCTTTTTTATTTAGATTCTTAATGTACAGAATTTAAAAAAAAAAAAAAATTGGAAAACGAGCTTGGGTCGTAAACTATTTGTTACAAAATAAAACAATCCAATATTATTATAGATCATTTTACCTCTTGGGTTTTTGCTTTGACTTTTCTTTCGATAAGTTGCTGTAGTGCTTCTGATCGCACTGATAGTGTATCTATTTTCTCGAGAAGCTGTTGGTATGGTGATAAAGGTTGTGTTCCCATAACAACATGTCCAAGTTTTGAATCAATTTTGGCATCCAACCTAGCATTTCTTATAAGATTTACAATCCAACATTCAGCCTCTTCTGGGTTCATATTGAGTTTCTCTGCTAACATGCTAAACAAATTCAAAAAAAAATATTGTATATAACTGTAAAAATTAGAAATAAAATATTTATAAACACACCCGATACTGATACATTGGTGTATACGGCAAAAAGTTTCAAAAATCATCAAACGAGCATTTTCCACAAAATCATCAAGGCAGGCAGTCAAAAAGAAATCATTAAAAAGAACAATTTGGCATTCGTGTAATTTATCTCTAGCTCCTTCAAAGTCAAAATTAACATAGAGATTTTCAAGTAGTTCAGTTATTGGGTCACGATATGTGTACGATTCCTAAATAAAATATGAGTACTTATTATACTTTATATATAATTTATGATTTACCGATAAATTTAAAAAAAAAAAAAGATAATAAATAAAATACATTTGAAAACATACTTGCTGAATAACTTTCACCAAGTCCTTCATAGCTGCTCGTCTTGAACGATTAATAATAACAGCAGTAGCCAAATAGCGAAGAATATGAGGGCACATGGTTTGAATGGCATTTAAATAGCTAATACAATAAAATATATGAATATTAATATGCAAAGAATTAAGTCTTGACTTTCCAATATATATTACTTAGGTCTGTACAAAAACATATCAATAATAAGGTCACGTCCTTTAACATGGTTGAAAAACACAAACAGACTCCAGTGAATCAACCAAGTGCGCTGTTGAAGCAAATGTAAAGGAGAACCATTTGTATTAGAATCAATATACTCTCGCAGTTTGTTTAAATCTTCAAGAGCAGTTTCCCAATTTTGAATAAGAATTTCAGATGCCAATTTTCCCCAAAGAACATTCAAGTAGTTCTAAAAAAAAAATGTAAATATATTATTATTTAATAATGTAAAATCTAAATTTTTTTAACATAACAAATCAACCAACTTTATCAGTAGGAGACATAACCAATAAATAAAAGTACAAATAACTTGTTGTACCAGCATAGTTTCCACAATCATAATGATATTTTGCAAATTTATACATACTCTCCATCATTTCTACTTTAAACTGTAAATAAATAACATTTTAATAATTGATACTCATTATTTTGTTTAAGTTTAAAAAAAAAAGTCAGGTAAATAATAAATTAAGAAATAACAGTAGAAATATTTACATTGAATTCTTGAGTCAAATACAATGACAATGTTTTAGGATCCCTCATTGTTTCCATATTTTTCATCACTTGGTCATCTTTAAGGAAATTCATAACAACATTAACTTCACCTTGAAGTTGATGGAGTTGTGATACAATTTGATCTCTTCTAGTTTTCATTTCCTAAAACAATAATTCTTAATTAATAGATATACTTCAATTTATTGTAATTGTAAATTAATTAATTTAGATACCTCAGGTACTTCTTTATCAGGATTCAACTGTTTGTAAATCTCAATAACATAATCCATCATGTTAGTTTTATTAAGTATATCCAATTTGGCTTGCAAAATTTCATTCTCATTGTATATCTAAAATTAAATAGTTACAATACAATTAATTGTGAAGTAAATATTAATCAAATCAAATATCTGATAACTAAATAACATCTATGTAAATAATTACAAATTTATGTTATTTTATGTCATTGTTGATAGGTATATTGTAAAAAACCAATTTTATTAATATTCAATTAACAATAGGTTGTTATTGTCAGAACGTGAGTGACAATGATGATATTTCATATACAAATTGGTATAGATTTTATGTTAAAATGAAAATATTTGATTTATAAACATTTTTACCTTTTTCGCCCATAGGAACTCTAACAATGGGGCCACCAAATGCCGGTCCAAATATTTTGTCATCTTACTAGTTAAATCGAACTTAGCCATGTTGATCGTAGGTGAAAACTTTGAAATGTGCAATAAATTATATAGATGAAACACAAAAATTGAACATTAATTACTACTTACGTAGTTGCTTGATTATGGGAACGCTAGCTACACCGTCAGAGTGGCGTTACATTGTTTTTAAGGTTAGGATACAGTAAATCGTAATCAAACTTTTACTATCAAAGACACTGTATGTTTATATCACGGTCATAACCACAGATATAAAAAACAAGTAGTATGCTGTGGTCGTAACAGTTATAAACATGAACACGGTTATCTCTGTGAGAATTAATCTATGGGTTATCAACAGTAGATAACCGTAGTTTGTATCTTATCATCACACGGACAGATAATATGTTAATATCCTGATTGAAAATAGTAACATTGGTAAAAGGTTTATACACAATATTACATAGGTGTACATGTTAGTCGGAACGGATCTATATTCTATGGAACGGAACATTCAGCATGAAAACGTGTTTCGGTGTGTGGAGTTTCATTTCGAGAACAATAACACGCGAGGCGATAAACGGAGATTTTTATTTAACTCTCTTCCACATTAGGCTTCATATTAACGTATCTCTCTTGATCCGTCCGGACCGACCACGGCTCTCAATTATCCGGATGAATGTCTAGAGGGGCTATGCAAATGCATAAAAGCCCTCCCACACCAACTACCAATTTCTTAAACTATGAAATATTATTTTCAAAAATTATATTATTTATTGAATAGTGTTTACATTGCAGCATCGTTTAATATTTGAATGCATAAATAGGCAGGCGCTTTGATTTTTTCATCCAGGGAAAAAATACAATAATCGGTATCTAAAGAAAATGTTTTTAATTAATATAATACGTTTAAAAAAAATTGCAAAAATAATTAGGTAGTTATTCGAAAACGTGTTTTACGCATATTATTGCTCATTGCTTACTTTCGTTGGAAATCTATTTATCTACATACAGTCATGTTATATTTCGAGTTTATTGCTTGAAAAACCCTACATAAAATAGTGTAAAATAATATACTGTATGTATTACAGGTACCAAATACACGTTATATCGTGTATTTGGACTGAGGGTTTATAAATAATAATTTTTGGTACATTATTTTGTTGTCAATTTATCCATAACGGGTATTGCAAGAATATCTGATTGCAGTTTTTGCCGCAGGCAAATATTAAATAAATATGTTTTCGCTTAGTCGGGGCTTTTTTTTTCTCCCACGTGCGATTTTCGGGCCGGGGGCTTTATTTCCCCTACAAAATCATTATCAGCCATCATTAGCGTGATACAATTTGTCTACTTTTGATTCAATCTAGTGTTCCCGCCCCTACGAAAATTCCGTTTCAAATCTCGGCCGAAGAAATCGGTTCCGTTGCCAGTACATATTAACTCGGTTCGTGGAACAGACGGTATCGGCCGTGTTTTGTGGCGTTGCGGTCACAGAAATTCGTGTCCAACGCCACCGCCGCGTCGGTAGACCACAATACACTACGGACAGAGCCACCAGAGCGGACCGAGCATATGTAACCAAGGGGAGACGCGACGAACGCGCACGCGCACGCGAAATTTATATCTCCGCTGGTTCAGTGACGACCAAAATCCCCATTGTTCAAATGTCAAATGGTACCGCAGCCAAGTGAAAACAGGTTGACGGGTGTGCCTACTGCAGCCGGCATGAATTGTGAATCTTGAACAATAAATATTAATAATCGCCATCGAATTCACGCACGAAGTGTCTAAATATTTTTCATTTCACTGTTATATTGATTGAACAAATGATAAATATGCGACCAGCACTGATACGCGCGCGCAATAGATATCGCTCCCCTCGCGACCGTCAATGACGGTGCAGATTGTCTTTAACCGCACAGTTCAATTCCAACACCCACACGTAATGCACAGCGTTTGTATTGCTGTAGCTCTGTTCACAGTAGATGATCTGTCTGATGCCATATCCCTATAATATCCATGATAATTAGTAAATGATTGTCATCATTTTATCAATAAACGACGTACTTAATATTCGACAGTAAAAAAAATAATAATCGTGTAATTATCATAGAAAAATAAATTGCAGGGTATTATGTGTTGCAAGTTGAATTTGAATCATGCTAATAACTGATTGAAAGTTATAATTACACTACAACCTACATACCCGCAAGTCCAAAATATGAAGGACAATCCTGATTTTAATATTCGTTTTATTCGACTCGTAGAAGGTCATCCCTGTTTGTATGACCGTTATCAATCAGATTATTCAAACAGAGCAAAGGTTGATGAGGCTTGGGAAAGTATAAGCCGAGAAGTTAAAGGGACAGGTTAGAAATAATTTTTTTTAGTATTTTGTAGAACTAATTTGCGCTTTTACAATCCATTATTGCTCTAAAAGAAGAATCGAAATTTGCAAAATATTTTTAAGATGAGAAAAATACATTTTGAAAAAAAAAAAAAAAATGATTCTTTTATTACATTTTGATTGCGAAATATTCTATTTTAGTTAGGAATAAAACTAGAACATGTTTTGAAAAAATTACATATTTAAAAGTTCTTTTTACTATTACACTCGCGTTTGATATGAGTGGCAGTTTTAAAAAAAAAAAATTTATTGAGGATATACCAACAAAGAATCTAATTCTAATAATAAATAAATAGGTATATGTGTTTAGTGTAGGTAATTGTGTATGTACTAGATTAATAAATAATATGTTTATACATGTATAAATATTTTTATTAGGTAAACATTATTTTAACTTTTTAAGAGCATTGCAATTTTTACCTACATAAAACTTAACCCAAATATGTATAATATTTAATTATTAATATTGTAGTTATAAATATTGTTTAGTTAAATCAATTTTGTATTATAAACTATTATTATTATTTTTTAATAGTAATAGAATGTAGAGAAAGGTGGAAGAATCTTCGTGGGTGTTACACTAGAGGTTTAAAAAAGAAATCAACATCAGAATTACGCGGGAAATTTAAAAGATCATATTACTTGTCAGCATATATGAAATTTTTAGAGCCATTTACAATACCTCGTACAAAAATTGGTTTGTAAATTATAGTATTTTAACGTTTTATATAGGCAATGAATACGCTAACAAAAATATTTGTGTGTATAGGTAAAAGATCAGCATTGTCAAGCATAATTACAACAGCCAAAGAAACGGAACAATCAAAACAAACAAGAATCTTGAATGAAAATTATTATTTTGAAAGCAGTGATGTGGTGCTAGTTGATGATGAAGATGTTGAAGAGTTTCCTGTAACTTTTGAGGAAGAGTTTCCTCTAACTGTTGAGGAAGAATTTCCTGCAACTATTGAGGAAGAGTTTCCCGTAACTGTTGAGGAAGAGTTTCCTGTAACTGTCGAGGAAGAGTTTTCTGCAACTGTTGAGGAAGAGTTTCCTGCAACTGTGCAGGAAGATTTTCCTGTAACTATTAAGGAAGAGTTTCAAGAAGATGTTGAAGTAATGTTTCCTGTAGTTGTTAAGGAAGAGGTTCATGAAGATATTGAAAACCCGATTTCTTGTGATGTTGAAATTAATGAACCAAAAACCAAGTTAAGAAAAAAACCTTCAAAAAAGAAATGGCAGCTGGTTCAGTTCGATAACATTAATAAAGAAACCTTTGATTTCATTAGTAAAAAGAAAAAAGTGATGTCTGATGAAGATTCAGATTTTTGTTTTTTAAAAAGCTTATTGCCAGATTTTAAAAAAATGGATGATGACCAAAAAAGACGTTTTAAAATTTTAATGATTAGTACAGCCGGAAGTATTTTGAATGAACATAAAGTTCTTTCTAATCAAATTTAGCCTAACGTAGACATATCAAGTAGCTGTAATTGTAATCTGTAATTTATCTTATTTATTTTTTCTTTAATCATGATATAATATACCTAAGTATAACAATACCTAACAATACTTATTGTTGGTTTTAATAAAATGTATAAAATATTTTTATTCAATTGTTATATCAAAATATTGATTACTCCCTTGATACTAAAAAGTTATTTTGTTGAGAGTGCATGTTACTTTATTGTTGTATCAGATATTTACTTTTGTGAGTATTTACATTTGACTCTATCACTCTTCATGTATTTTGTTTGCCACAGAATGAGATCTATCATAATACTATGGCATTTTTTTAATTAAGTATAATGTGACATTATTTAAAAAAATATTATAAATAAATAGAATATTAGTTCAAATAAATTTTGGTGTTGAAAATTAAATTTAGATAGTTGTTTCACATTACAAAATTGGTGACAAAAATAATATTAATATAATATTTTAGATCTGCTTGTTTTTTATATTTCGGAGAAAAAAATTGTTTTGAAAAAGTATATATTTTTAAAAATATTGAGTATGACTACTTAATGAATCATACAGTGTCGAATTTGTTTTACTAAAAACAAAGGAAAATAGTGCGGTTAATTTTGAATCACAATTTGATATGAGGTTATAACTGGTTTCATAATACTGTGCTAGCCATAAAAAAATTAAAATATATATACACTAATTAAATAATTACAATATTTAGAATTTATTTTGGTAACTGTTTCTTTAAATGTCCAAAACAATTCATAATTTTAGTTTGATTACCATAAGGTGCTGGTACCAAAAAAAAAAAAAAAAATTGTAATAAATAAGTGATTGGGTACATAATGCATAAGAATAATGACAACACAATATACAAGTAACAATTAGTGGTTGTTATTAACAATAAATTAATAAGTATAGATATTATACTTGTTAATCAAAACTCAAATATTAGTATAAGGTTTAATCACTGTTGTAAAATAGGGGCAAATAGGAACGGTCTTGAAGGTTTTTCCGCAATGACAATCAATATTTTGGGTCTTTTCACCAACACCGTTTTAAACAGTTTAAAAGATAATCAACCAATTGTAGTCAGTTATCAGCAATGAACTTCGTTTAGAAGTCAAATAAATTACTGTTTACATGGTTCAAAGTGGGCCTTATTTATTTTGAAAGTTTTTTAAAAGTAGGTATATAAATTTGACCAGAAAATCAACCAGACGCATTACAGAACCGATGTTAATTATTATTATTAAAAATGGTATAGTAATTTGTAATTAAGGTAAAATTGTATACTTATTGTTTATTTTAATTAATTTTAACATGATATTTAATATTTTAATATATTTCATCAGTAAAAGTTTAATATAACAAATTTTATTTTATCACCTAAAAGCAGAAAGGTCAATTAATTAAAATTATAAGATTTTACAAAATAATAGACATTTAAAACATGAATGTTAATTTTTGTTTTACAGATATATTTACTTATTTATTAAAATAAAATACTTAACCAAATAAGAAATATTTTTTGACCATCTTTTCTTAAATCCAAGGCCGTATTTAGGAATTTGTCACCCTGTGACAACAAAAAAATCATATACATATGAGCCTGTCTCCCCCCCCATCAACCCAATATATTTATATTTTTATATCTTTTCAAATAATGTATTTTTAAGAGTTTGTTCCTATTGCATTCATAGTTTCTATTTACTCCATTTTATAGTTTATCATGCATGTTTAAATAACCAACAAATATTTTCACCCAGAAATCTACAAATCAAGTAAATATAGTTTTTCAATTAAGCTTTTGTTAAAAAAAAAAAATAAATAAAGCCTGTATAATAATATGGCTTAAAAAAATGTGGAACATATGAACTATTGAAAAAATTTAAAACCAAATAGATATCTTAATTTTAATTTTGTAAAATATAAACCTACATAAGTCCGTTAACCTAATGATTAAATTTCAAAAATATAATTTAAGATAACTTCTCAGTGATTCATTTACCTGTCATAGTAAGCTTGATATATTAAATATCATATATCATGAACCTTAACCTAGATATTAAGGAACAAATGTATAATATTAACTCGTGCAAATAACAAAACCCTGATATTTAACAATACAAAATGCTGAGCTGCTCTTCTGCCTTTAAGTTCTATGATAATATTTTTTGTTAATTTTACATTTTAATTAAAGAGTGTTTATTGCTGAGGAATGTGTCATATATTTTTTAAACCAGAGAAAATCCTTGTGTCTGGTTAATGGCTTGCGTTAGTTTATACTTCAGTTTTCCTTTTGATTGATACGTAGGTAAATCTAATAGATTAAAACATGTGTGTGCTACTGGTAAGAAATTATCATCTTGGGTAGGTTGTATATAAATCTGAAAAATATTGATTAATTTGTTTAAAGTATACATACAGTTAAAACATATATATTACTTTAATGGCTTTCATTCCCATAACAGGTACACGATCAGTACCAGTAAGAAAGAGCAAAAATTTCTTTTTTTGATCAATGTCAAACTCGTGAAACACTTCCCAAAATAGTTTTATTGTCTCGTCGTCCTTTGTATATCCGTTTTTATATTCAGCATTTCTTTCCAACTCAAACCAATCATAGTCTTGATTACCCACAACAACAGCCATTAGTTCTTGTGAATGGAATAATCTGAGAACTCGTCCACCACACACTTTTAAAAATGCATCTTTAAATACATTAAATTGTTTTTCAACTCCACGGTTTAAAATCATATCAACATATAAATCAACAAATTCATGTCTAAATACAAAAAGCATAAACTTAGATTTCAAATAAATTTTAGATTAGATGGATTTTAAAATGAATTACTTATTTTCTTGAGTGACTGATATATTCGCTCCACCTGGTTTCAAGGGGACAGTTTGAATTTCACCATAAACATCTCTAGTTATTTCAAAAGTGAGATTAAATACATCAGAAAAATCTGGTTCATTATATGCCAATAATACTTCAAAACTCCTATAAAATAATTAAAATATATATATGTATTTAATTTAAATTAGTTTCATAATTACAATTATTACTTACTTAACAAATGTGGGATTCAAATCCTTCAAGTCTTGAAATGTTACAAGCTCATTAAGTAATTTTTTGTATAAGGCCAAAGGAAAAGGCAAGTCTATGATGATAAAATTGTATATGGCTAAGCCACACATTAAACCTAATGATAAAAAAAATAAATAAATAAATAAATATAGTTTAAATATAAACTATAAAATTAAATTCACCAATAAGGTAATACATAGTGAGATCTTCAAAGGAATAATCATTAAACCATATCATGTTGGTTTCTTTATAATTCACAAACATCCCAAACTTCGGATCTAAAATTTCTTTAATTAGAAGCATGAAAAATTCTTTTTTCACTCCTCCGGCATCTTCAGCCTCTTCACCAATAAATCGTACCTATTTTATATACAAATAATATTTCATTTATAATTGATTTTTTTTCACATAATAAAGTTTTTTACTTTCAAAGGTTTTTTATAATCATATTGAGTATATTGAGATAATTCACGTATTGCATCTTCTACTAAATTAGTCCGAGACACATTCAGTTCAATATATTGATTTATTAGATGATTGCCATCTGAAAATAGCATTTGTGTGAATGCTCTTGTTGCTGCAGCTTGCATAGCATGTTGCATCTGAAATACAGAAACAATTATAAATTTTTGTTTTTCAACTAAATATTACAGTTATTTATTTATTTGTATGAATAAGTAACACACCTGTAATTTTTGATCTACTTGTAACAGTATAGTCTTAGCTTCAGCGTCAAAAAGAAAAGCATAATTACAAAAATAAAAACCCTGATCCTAAAAATATTAAACCAATTTACAGTAAATTAATATGACACATTTTATATAGATTAATTGCAATACTCACATTAAATCCATTAGAATCTGAATGTATCCATCTCATGTAATCAAACTGTATATTGATCTTTTCAGTTAATTGGGGAATATAAAATGTAGTGTATGGAACTTTTAGCTGGCCTTTCTTCATTTGATGACCATTTAAATTTGAATTTAATTTATTAAATTTAGCTAATACCGACGCTGCCACTGTCAATGCTTTATCCCAATGAGTTTGTTGCTAAGATTAAAATAATAAATAATAGGTGAAGCATTTATACATTTAAAAATATCCTTAGTTCATAATAATATAATTATAATATTTTAATTTGTTATTTGCTAAGATAACTTCGTGAAGACAATTAATTTATTTGTTAAAACTAAAAATGTTGTGTAATAGATCATAATAAGAAATACATGTCGATTAGAAAGTAGAATAAAAAATAAATTTACCGAGTTCAATAATAAAAATAATAATTTATTTTTTTAGTATATTAGTAATTTCAAATTGAAAAGTTAAAAGTTAAATTAATTCTTGAATATAAAATAGATTATTTAAAAAACACAAAAAAGTGCGGTCTAAAGTAGAAAAAGAAAAATAGTCAAAACATATTAAGAAAATAAGACTTACAGTAGAATTTGAACTAGTGTTTAATTGTTCAATGAATAAATTTTTAAACACCATAATTAAGCTTTCAAAATATGTAACTGGCATTGAAGAAATCCATAGATCTGTTAACAAATAAAATTAATTTAATTATATGAAATATTGGTTTTAAATAATAAATATAATTAATTAAGACCATAATTTTTATATTTTCTTACTAAAGAAAAGTGTTCTACATAAAATATTTAATTTTTCCCTATTATTTTTCATCCATTAATTCAGAAAACCACTGTAAAATTAAACCAATATTTATCACCCAATGTTATGTATTTAATCTTATTAAAAACATAAAAGTAGGATACAGAGGGGAAACTAATTTGTAACTAAGCAATGATAAAACATTGCTAAAGAAAAAATAATTATAAGTGGAGTTCAGTTGATAGTGATGCTTTATTAACAATATATATGTCATATTATGGTAAAATAATTAAATAGGTATTATACATTTTCTTCAATAATATTTATTAAATATCGTACTGATTTTCTCGTTTTTTCTAAGTTTTTCACATTTCCAAGGAAAACTCTTGGGAAAATCGAAAAAATAATTTTTTTCAAGTACCTTTTCAGTCAGATTTACTTTTAGAAAAAGTGCTAACATTGTAAATCTGAGCAAAATGACTAGTAGAAAAGTTGTTCACAGGAAAAAAGAAGACCATAATGTATTTTAACTAATACCTAAATTTCTTATATATTGTTTTTCTTTTTTTTCGGTTTTAAAAATTTGATGAGAAAACTTCTTAGATAATCAAAAACTTACCTCTGCAAAGTACCTCCCCAATCCGATTTTCTTCAAAAAAAAAGCGCTACACTTAAAAATCTGAATAAGATTTCTGGTAGAAAAGTTTGTACAATAAATTCAGGGGTATTTTTCAACTGAAATAGTTCAAGTGAGCGATAGCTGGATCTCTAGGTACACCTAAAATTAATTTGGTTTTTCCTCGCTTAGATAAAAGGGAAAAAATAAGTTCAACCATTTTTTTCGAAACACGAGTTTGAACTCGCAAACCCTAGGATGACAATACATATGTATAACCATAGGCTATCACTAAAATACTTTAAAAAAGAGATTAAAGAGTTATTTAACATAACATATAATATACGCAGTACGCATAATATCAGAACTTCAAAAAACTATAATTTTTAAACTTAGTCAATCCACTCAATTTTGACCCTACAATCGTTCTTGAATCAGCAATATACATGTTTACAAAAACAAAAACAATTGAAAAATTAAATTTGTTCCACTTGACTTTAACTCTAAAGATTTTCGTCAAAATTTGATATTAAAATTCCTTTATAAAAAAAAAAATGCTACATTAAACTCAATTTTTTTTTTATTTTAAAACAAAATAATGAACTTCCTGTTAAATTTTCAAGCATTTCTGTTAAGTTTAAAATTTTTACCACAGAGGACCTACCAAATAAAGATTACATATAAAACTCACAAAACTAAAATGTCTATAAATAGCTCAAAAATGGCTTAAATTTTTACCACTTTTAGAAAAAGCAAATATAAGTTTTCTGTCCAAATTTCAAGTCTCTATGAATATTTTTAACTGAATTACAACAAATAAAAAAACTGAAAAATAATAAAAGTATTATTTTTGTAAATTTCCCGCTTTTCTTGTGTTTTATCCTGGTTTTTCCTAGATATTATAAAAACCCCTTGGAAAATCAAAAAATAACCTCCTAAAAGTACCATCTGGAAAATATTTCATTTCAGAAATTTATTGAAAGTGAATATAATGATATAATCATTTATCTGCTGTTTTTAACAATAATCTTACCAATAGTATCCAGTTCCATATTTTTCAGATATAATAAAGCTTCGGCATAAGGCACTTGAAGTATAGTAGCATTTGTAATATTTTTAAACTCATGATACATTGGTAAAGTTAGGTAAAACCGCAATGACTCTACATCAGGAACAGGCAGTGATAAGGAATCAACTGCACTGGCTAATGATGTCAATATCTAAAAAAAAAATAAACAAGTACTATTATGTATTTTTAATGTACAATAATAACGATAATACCTACCAAATCACTTAAAGAAGTGTTGCGTACATGACTAATAGCATCAAAACATTGAGCAGCAAGATCAAAATTTATGCCATGGTTATTTCCTGAACAAGTGTAATGACTATCATTTAACATTAAAAATGAACCATTTAAACATGATAGGCTGCTCATTACTATTTCAACAAATCTTAATAAAATCAACAAATAAATATTGTAGTTTACAATTTTTTTTTTTTTTTTTTTTTTGTATACATACGACATTCGTTCATGGTCAACAGGATGATCTGGTAAAATAGTCGATAAATGTATTACATCTGACATTTTTACTGTCCAAATTTGTGAGTTTTCTTGTATAATGCGATAGTCATCTGGTGGTATCTCATACTACAATATGTTTAATTTTTTTTTAGAATTACTCTAAGTACATCAGTCAAAATAATAAATACCGTTTTATGAGTAACTTTAACAAAACATTGATCACCTCCAGCATATATACTCTTAACAATATATTGCTTATTTGTTTCTATCACAGATACTCCAGTCGGGGATAGCCAAGGCCCTAAAACTAATTGCGGTGTATTCGAATTAACTGATGCTCTTGTACCTAATTGGCCAACTCCACCAAGTCCAAATGAATACACTCGACCTTTTGAAGGCACTAAAGTCAAAGTATGCCGCCTAAAAATATTATGTAATATAAAATTTAAAAAAAAGTGACATCAAATAATCAATGATAACTAAAACTCAATGATAATCATTCAGTGTAAAGTACCGTCCACAAGTAACTTGAGTTACAGTACTTCCCATAAGTTCTAAAACTTTTCTTGGAACAATTTCATTTGAAAAACTACCATGTCCCAATTGACCATACATACCAGCGCCACATGTAAATACTCCACCATCCTAAAAAATATATTTATAGTTCATTCAAAATAGATATTGACTATGTTTAATATGTATATATATATAAATATTAATTACATATGTTAGAAATACTGAAAAATCTTCTCCTCCAGTAATATATTTCACTTTTACAGTGCGTAGAGTTTTCAGTTGTGTAGGTAATAATATGTTAATTTGATTATTTAATCCTAGTTGTCCAAAATCATTCTTTCCCCAACCAAAAACAGCACCTAAACCATAAAAAAGTATCAAATTTAGTTCAAGCAATTATATGTTTAAAATCAGGGGTTGGTAATATACAAGTATTAAATGTTTTATATGTTACACATATAATACACTACTTATACAAATATTTTAATGACTAAAACATATGATTAATTATTTTTTTCTATGAATTTGTTTAATAATGTTTAATATTCACTAATTGTTTTTAATCTAATTCTAAACTAATATTGTATTGGTATTTTCAATTTTGTATTAATATTAAAGTGATTACTGTTTACATATGTTACAGTTCAACTAGAAAATACTTAAATAAAGATAGCAAATTAATGAAAACATTTCATTGTATAAACAATACGAATATGTAGCTGAGAAATATCAAAGCTAAAACATTTATTAATAATACAATTGTCTTTTTATTATTATTTAAAAATGTATATTATTAATAAAGATAAACTGATTTAACTAAATAAACAAAATTTTATAAACTTAATAACAATTAATATAACAAATTAAACCTAATAACTGTTATTAAGTGCAGCTACAATAAAACAACTTTTATACAGTATGAAAACATATAAAACCAAGTACAGTATTCCTTCATTAACACACTTGACAAAACTGCAAAATGTGTATTGAAAAAATGCGAGTTAACTGATACAATAAACTAATATAAGACTTACTCTAATATTAGACTTAAAAACAAATTTGCGTTATCAAAGGAGGTTAAATCAAATACACCTATTAAAATAGTCGCTTTGCACAGTTTGTTGAATAAAGTGCAACTGCTTAGTCTATCTCATCTTCATTTTCAATAATTATTGACAATGTTGATTTGGGAATGCTAAACTTCTTAGCAATTTTTGTTTTAAGTAGTGTCCTTTTTTCTACTTCAACTATAATGAGCTGTTTTAAGATCAATAGACATTTGTTACCTAACTCATTTTGGTCAAGATTTTATCATTACACTGTACACAACAAACCACTAATAAAATCAATTTGAAACTGATCGATAGAGCAATAGATTTGTATGAGAGCGATTAGCAACAAACCAATCAATTATAAAAGTAATAAAACGAAAGTAGTATGAAAATAATAAATTGTATTTGTAAACCGTAAATAGAAAATGATAGCTTTCTGTTCATTATGCAAACAAATGGTTCCATTGTTCCTAAAATTTGTTCAAGTTTTGTGTTAACCAGAAAATTTTTTGCAAATCAAGGAAATAAAAAACCTATGTTATAGTATAAGGCCCTTCTCGGACCAGAAAACTAGTTCACTTTATTCATAATTCATATTAACCGAGTTCATGTTAGCAAGAGAGTACTGAAGTTGTATGCTACTGTATACATGCTAACCCTAGTTTAAATAATAATAATCTTACCTGATTTTGATACAACAAAACTATGATAACCACCACAAGCAATAAATGAAATTGGTAAACCCACAAGTGATTTGACTAATGTTGGTTTGGCTGCAATTGGGTTTTTATTGCCGTGGCCTAATTGCCCAAATTCGTTGGAACCCCAAGTATATAATTCACCATCTATTTAAATAGTATATAAAAATATAATATCTAGGTATTATCAAAATTATGCAACATGTATTTTTCCAAAAAAATACGTTTTTATTAAATAATTCAGATTACTCTATTTTTAAGTTTTTTGGAAAATAAATCTTAAACATTGACTTACGATTAGTTAGTGCCATAGAATGTTTATATCCGCAACTAATTTGAACTACTAACATACTGGCTAATGATTTAACAATTTTTGGTTTATACTGAATCCCTTCTTCGATCTCAAGTCCTAAATTTCATTACAATAAAATATAAAACTAACTTTGAAACATAAGATTCAAGTTATTAAATTTTACCTAGTTGATGGCATGAGTCAGAACCCCACGTATATAGCTGTCCCCATTCATTCAGTGCCATTGAATGAGCTTCTCCACATGCAATGCTTGTCATCACTAAGGCATCCACACTTGTAATTTGTTCTGAAACATCAAAAAAAAAAAAAAAAACAAAATTAATAAATATAAAATTCAATAGTTAAATTTATTTTATAAAATACACACGTAGCTTAGTGCGAGGTCCACAGTGTCCAAGTTGACCAAAATCGTTGCTTCCGCAAGCGTATATTTTTCCATCTTCAGTAACAGCTAGTGTATGATTCTTACCGCAAGCCACTAGAAAAAAAAAATTATACATAAAATAATATATTTGGTCTATAGTCATTATTTGTTTACACAATAGACTTACCAGATTTAATGTTATTTATACTCTCAAAATTAGTTATCTCTTCTGGGCTGAGGATATGGTTTTCTTCAATACCACCAAGACCAAGTTCCCCATTGACTGTATTTCCCCAACAAAACATTGTTAAACTACTAAAGATATTTTCATTCCCGTCATAAACTGTTTCTGAGTCCTAAAACAATGAGGGCATAGCATATTTTATAAATATATTATAGGCATTATTTTCAAATTAATCATTTGAAATTTGTATTGTGCAACAAAAATAAACTAAGCACACAACATAAATCCGAATCACACACGAATTATCCAAAAATGAATACCTTACCATAGTTTAAAAGGTTTTATCATTACTGTGTTAGTTTGAATAACATAATAGATCACCTATTAATATTCATTAACATTAAATAGTTAAAACGTTTTATTTATTTTTCAAAATAGTTAATTCTTAATATAAAATAGATTCACAAAAATTACTCACCAAAATATTAAAATAATATCGAGTTAAAATACTTTAAAATTAATTTTTGTACACATATCACAAAAAATACAAAATTGTATCAACAGAATAAGATAATACGAAAAAAAAAATGGTTAGATCATGTTGTGAAAAATGGGTAGGGGCAAATTTCCAGAAATGATAAGGACAACTATTGATAAGAATAAATGATAACGGCCCGAAAGTGTAATTTCTGCACTTATATTTAAATTTGTAATATTTGTATATTTAATTACAAAATTGCTTCATGTAGGAAGAATTTACCACCTCAATTCAACCGCTGTCGAGATTTTAATTGAAAATAAACCCTAAGTTGGTGATTTGTTATGGAAAACACGGCTATATCTTTAGTCATAATGTATAATCACGTTCATATATTGTGTTACCACGGTCTTAGATTACCGATAATGGTTTTTATCATTCCGAAATGACGTTTACATTTTACATCAAAGAGTAATTACTCAATGATTTTACATACTAGCGCTGCCCACTGGCTAAATTTTCATGCTCAGTTCTGCTCACTGCCACGGAAGTGGGCCGAATGTATCGAGTGATCCATTTATTTGGGTACATTCATTATCTCGGAAAGTTGACGAGATATTTCACTTTTAAATTAACACGAACGCGGCGTGTTAATAATGCACCACTACTCGTCTCCAACTCAAATTTAAAAGTGAAATATCTTGTCAACGGATTGACGGAAATCAAAAATGTCAACACTAAAATTGTTTTTAACTAATACTCCATTTATATATGGAATTTCTAATGTAGGTTACTATTTCAAAACCAAAAGTAAGTAATTTTTTTATCCCCAAAAATAAGGGTGAAAAAAACTAACATTAATATAAAATTATAAAGTAGCTTTTTTCTTAAATGTTCTAGAAAATAAATTCAGGTAAAAGTTAATACTTTCCAAATTAATGAGTGTACTCACTTAAATGGATTACCTGCTAAACAAGACAATAGACATGTACTATGAGCGCGTACAATTCTGGAAATTACAAATCTTGAAAGCACAAAGCTGTTAAGTTTAAGTCTTAAAAAATAATTTTCTATTCAATTAGTATAACCCACTTCGGCACCAAAAGCATAAACGTCCGCGACTTAGAATTATTGTACATAAATAAAATTAGTGAATAAAAATTCCTCAATTGGCAAATTAACTTCAATATTTAATTAGGCAGGTATTAAAGACTTAAGTATTGTAATGACCATAATGCAATAAATTGTTTAAAATGATATAATAAACTAGTTTATTACCTATATCACCGAATATATATAATCATGAAGATTAGAATATAATATACTTATATAGTATACATATATTTTAGAAGTGCATATTTAAATACATGTTTTGCAAGTTTTTAATATACGTAAAAGTGCATGCTTTTTTATACGTTTTTTGGCGCATGAACTTACGAGTACATATATATATATATATATATATATATATATACATATATGTACCGAATTAATAATTATGTATATCTATGCATTTTATTTGAACCATTTTTACTTTTTTAAATTTGTCAATGAAACATGTAGTATGTATAGGTTTAGGTTGATGCCTTAAACGACGCAAAATTTCCATCCAGCGGTACTTAGCTTGGAATATTTTTTGAAATGATAAACAGTTGACCCCCTAGGAACTTTTTTTTTAGGTCGGTGATTGGATTCCAAATTATATTCACACTGTAAATACCTATTTACCTTAAATTCTTAAAATACATTGACTTTTGCCCGGTAGCACACAATTATACGATAGTTATAATATTGGGTTAATTTTTGTTGATTTATAGGTTACCTTGGCTACAAGGAGTGAAAAACAGACAATATAATATGTACCTAGTCTGTTTATTATGCAATAAATACTATTCATCAATCATCATATTTAGTACTTAGCTGTTATAAACCTTATCAGTTTACCGAACTCCGCTCAAAATAATTGCAATGAATAATGATTTATCGTTACTTTCAGTAGGAAAAAAGGGTAAATTACTGATGAGACGGAAAACTAATGTTTCAACACCAAAACGTATTCAAACTAATACCCCATCTATGTATGGAATTTTTGTAAAGATCACTTCCCATAAGCGACACTAGTGGGTGCCCGGGTGTGTTTTAGTACCTCCAAGCTCTAGTTTAACACTTTCAATCCTAAATCACTACCTACCCTCAGTCTAGGGATACCAGATTTATGTATTATAAATAGGAGACATATTAAATCTCACTTAAAATTTACATACATTTGTTACAAACTATGTGGTGGAAAGGAGTGACCGTAAGGACGTAGCCCTCAAAACTAGTCCGTAATTTAAAAGTTATCCATTCAAAACCAAAGTCTAAGAAAAATAATGTTGAAATCAAATTGATATATTAATAAGTAAACATAATTTAAAAATGTAATTTGTCTATACTTCTACAGTGATATTTACTACCCAATCTTATGATAACACGCTAATTTGAATTATATAATTTAAGAAATAATGAAAATTAAGGGATACACGGAACGGAGGATTCGAAATACGGGAGAAAATGTCGTTTAGACCATTTAGTCGGGACACCGGGACGCTGGTCTCAAATATGGGACAATCCGGTATAATATGAGACGTATGGGATCCCTATCTCAGTAAAAAAACTAAAAAATAATTTGAAAAAAACAGTATTCTTGTGATGTTTTTATCAAAAATAAATGACTTTATTATTGTCATTTTTTCCATTTTAAAGACTTAAGACATATCTAAGATTCACGATGTCTCCAGAATGTTTAAGTGATATTTCAATTCTCCATGTTCACACTTCACAGAGATAAAGATATTGATCTATCAACAGTTGAAAATAGTTTTATTAACATTTGACAGTATACGAAAATAAAGCAACACACGTTTTCATAAGTCTAACTTAATCTAATATTCTGATCTAATTTATAGAAAATACATTTTTGATCATGTGTATGTGTTATGTCTAACTTATAGCGTAAAATATAATAATGATGCATCTAAATCTACTAAATAAGTTTTGAAGCAAATTTGTTTTATGATACTTTTTGTTTGCTTTAATTTATTATTTTTTAAATTAATAATATGATAAGTTGACTTATATTGAAAAATTTAAACTGTTTTAAAAAATAACGAGTGGATCATACATAGCTCGGCTCCCCGTGATATTTCCAAAACCTGGCGCCTATAGTTTTTACTACCGTTGGTGTCGCTCGTGTACTAAACTTTTTAGTTTTTAAAATTAAATTAGTTAAAGATCACGATTGTGTTATTCGTCGTTTGAACAGAAAAAGGCATCAAACATTTACTACAAATATATAGACTAGCGGTGACTATTATAAAAAATAATATTAATACAGTATTATCCAAAAGCCATAATCACCCTACACTTGGAGTTGAATTAACCAGCCGGGGTTTTAAAAATAAATTAAAGGTAAGTACATACTAAAAAGGAGAGCTGATACTGTGGTTGGGTGCAGCCGCGGTTGTAAGTGGGGAGTTCGGAAGGTAGGATACATATAATTATATAATTTATATCTGTACGCTTAGATGAATCATTGCTAACGAAAAACGATTCGGAGCGAAATTCGGTAAGACTTATTTTGAAAAGTCGTAATTTTTACGATTTCAAAATTTGATCTTAAAACACGCTTATGCAAAAAAAAAATAACGCATTAAACTCAAATTAGGTTTTTAGACCAATAAGTACAAATTAAAGTGTACCTTGTGTTTACCTTTCAAGCATTTCTCTCAAGTCATATAATTTTAATAACAGATACTTACTAAATAGAAATACATAAAAAAAGAAACACGAAAATATCAAATACCTATAAATAGCTTAAACATAGTTAGAATGTTTTGAATGTTTTACCACGTCTACAAAAGGCCAATAATATAAGTATTTTGTGAAAACTACAGGCCTCTCTCTGCAATAGTTTTTAACTGAATAATAAAAAAAAAACCCAAATGCCGTACACTTTGCCGCGTTTCCTGTTTTTTCGTAATTATTAGGAAAACTGAACGGAAAATAAAACACCGACTTTCTTACTTAAAAACTCAAAAAAATTGTTTTATTAAATATTTTCCGTAATTATATTTTTCAAATAAAATACGTTTCTATTAATATATCTTCGGATTTAATAATTTCGTAATAAATTATGCTTTTGGAAATTTTCGATATTGTATAAGTTACCCAGATCACTTCATAATCAACTAGTTGGTTTTCGATTATTGTTACCTGTCGATTTATACTCTAAGTTTGAGACTTTACAGTTTTCGTCGCAACATTATGTTGTTTTTGTTCAATGACCTGAAAATATTCATTGTCGCGGCATTGATTTGCTATCTATATTGGATACTTATAAAGAATAGACACCTATATTCAAAATAATTTTGTAACAAAATCAACCTTTTTGGACACAATACCTAGGCACCAGGTACCCAGGTATAATATTATAATAATAAAGCGTAGGCACAGGTGAATAATTAGGTTTTAATTTTTTTTATCATGATGCAATAGCCATGTTTTATGGTTCATCTTTTTTTTTTTTTTTCCATAAATACAATATATAATAATATAATATAATATAATAGTTTGTATTAATGCGCTATTGATGTTTACCAGCTGCCTGTGCCTGCCTAATATTATATTACATATTTTATAAATTTTATATACGTTACCTATCGATACAATATAATACCTGTATTATTAATTATTATGTGTGTGTACCTATATGTTGAAGGTTTACTTACAAATATGTCTATACTATAAATCATAATAGAACAAGGATTTAAATAATATAATATCACGCTAAACGCATAATAAACTGTGATTTCACATGCAGGATAGACCTCGGATGATAATACTATTAAGTTTGCGATATTCGATTATTTTTGGATTACGCGCCATACCCATATGTGGGTTTGAGAAACCAGGCCCTCTAAGGAATTTTAGTCAACATGTACTAACATTATTTTAATATAACTACACATTTTTTTTTTACAAATTTAGAAAGATATTATGCACTGTTAAGTTTTGTCATTTGTCAATTATATTTTTA